CAGTACTTGTTTTCTCGGGCAAATTTTTCTGGTTGGCATTTTCTACAATGATGAAATAGGCTCTGGCGGACGCTACCTTTACATCGAACCACGCGCCATAATTATCTGAAACAAAATTTCGCTTGTTTTTTTTCCCATCTGCACCACGAATCCAATGTTGCTCTTCGGACCAGTGTTTTTTCTTAGCAATAACGTCCGCCAGCATGGTTGTAAGGAATCTGCCACTTAATCGTATTCCACGCTATTCATTCAATGGTTCGAAAGCAGTAGATGGAATTGACATAATCGGTGTGGTTAGCCGCATCTTTTTTGCCTGCAACGCAACAACAAAGTCATTGCTGTCGCCACTGATATCCCAACCGAGTTCAAAATTGATCCGGTTAATACCGATGCCAGTATCCGGGCTGGTTTCATCAAAATTGAATTTTTCAAATTCAAATGGGGTTATGCCTGGAGATTCAAGGAGGTATTCAAAGCCTCTTGTACAGTACTGGGGTAGAATGAAGAGACGAAGATTGAACTCAGTTTCTTCAACAAGCGGTACAAAGTGATTCGGGATTCAGTAGTCATTGTACTTCCTGTTGTTGTTCATATAATTCACAGATGTCCGCCAACTATTTCTTTACGGTGGATGCAACTGCCGAAAAACTTATATATGGGCTATATGGGCTAATATTGGGCTATTGTCCCATTTACTGGGGGATACGGCATGTTCACTTGTCTCCTAATAACTTTGGAGAGCGCCATTATAGTCCAAGCTGAAGAAAATGCGCCAAAAAGAGTACAGTCAATACAGGCTTTGCGGCAGTCCGGGGACACATAGAAGTGGAGATTTGTTGTGGTTGTGAGTCATCAGTCACAAAGTAAAAAAAAAGTTAGGGTTGCATTTTTTTGAAAATCTATTTCGAGCGACCGTAATGGCCTTCTATGGGGCATGGGTCGAAATAAATTAAAACCTATAAGCGGGGATAACGCAGGAACGCTCCGGGTTTGTCAAACCCAGCGGAACAAACAAAAAAGCTCAATTTTCACGATCGGAAAAAGTCGTCATAGGGTTGCGAACTGGTGACTAAACCATGAAGAATCTAATTCGGTGATACTCCTGTGAAGTACAAGGCATGGGATGAGTTACAAATGGGTATTAACTGCAGGCTTTGGCTTTAGATTAGAAGGATTGACTGTCGTATTTTCAATGAAACGTTGAATAAAATCGAACTGCGAACTTTTTCCTTTTTCACAGTTGTGCTTATTTTACAAATAATATGTGTTCTTCAGAACTTGTTTCTCCGAAAACATTTCAGTTGTCAAACTTAGTTGACTGTAAGTTCTCACCCGATTACCCTCAATATAATTATCAGACAAAAATAAATTATTTCCAAAGTTTGTTTTCAATGAAATTTAGTCATGTGCTGGAATTCATTACTCTACATCAGTTTTCCTGATCGTGTTGACATAAACTGCTTCCAGTCTTTACTAACGCGCAATTCTACACTATAATAATTTATAGTCTCAGTAGCTCTTGGCACTTTAGTTGTCGCCCGTAACTTCGCTCAGTTAAACCTCCTTTATTTTTTGTGAGTGCGCGTGACCTCACTTAAAATTCTCCAAAAAATTAATAGAAAGCAAATTTTACTATCGTGTATATATATATGTACACCGGAAATCAATCAAACTAGCAAATATCTTTTAATAGAGCCGGAGCTATTCGCTTCCTCCCAGGGACAATACTGTTTGATCATGATTCAGGACAGGTCTATAACGGAAATGCGCTGAATTGCTTACTATGTGCAAACGTGAAATAAAGACGAATACAACATCGTCCTCTGGAGAGCACTTTCTGCATATATACGATGCTTGCGATAGGTTCCCAAGTTCTATGATAGATTCTTCTCCCAATTTCTTGCAGGTGCCATGAAACTAGTACACACATATTTCGCATTAAATGTTGTTGCTTCCTCCGGCACAATTCTACGAAGCACATGCCGCCTTGCTAACCCCTGTCACACCGATCTCCAACGCAGGCCAGTTGAGACTGGCGCTGGTCCATTGCACTTCATTACATGTTGACACACAAAGCATTTAGTTAATTGTACTATAAAAGTTCAAATGATACACAAGAACCAAGACGTTGATTGAAATATAAAATACACAAGCGAGAACTCGGGCGTTAAACTTGAAATATTGAGATTGAGTTAGTCATGTCTGATGATAGGACTTTTTGGTCCAGATACCTGGTTTAATGTCAAAAGTTCACTACGTTCTGGTTTTCTCGATTACCTATTAAATTGGCATAAAGCGTGCGACTGCACAGATTGATTGTTTGCTTTATACCTGAAATGTTGAGTTTTTGTTCATTGACTTGATTACTGACAAATTGCTTTCCCGTTCCGAATGCAGAAATTGAGATTGTTTGACGTTGATTGCTAATCGACCGTGTGTCACCATAAAATATAGAGTGAGAATGTCCCTATTCTGCGTGTCCTATCCTAGTAGGCCAACTATTTAACGTATTTTGGCGGAGTAACTCCACCGACTCTTTCAGAGGTCAAAAAGTACACAATCGATTGTAATGCCAAATATTTATATTTTGTACAGTTGCACAATCGAGTATATCCAAATAACAGATAACGAAATAAAATTAAAACCTTAACACAAGTTTATGTGATGAAACCAAATTTTTAACTCACAAAGAAGGACGAAACAAAGATGTTAAACACTTGATCTGGGATAATTCGTCATCAACTTTTTTGCATAAAACGTTGCACCTTTACCATCCATATTCCTTGTCATGGCCGCAGCAATCTCATCGGGTTATCGGGTATTACATGACAACCGTGATTTCCCTGCTCCCCCTTAAAATTTCAAACAACCACTCCCATTTTTCAACTGTGATTCGTAAGGCGCATCGGACTAGAGAAAGCAAAATGTTTTAGGAATTTAAAGACGGCGGTTTGTATATGAAGTAACTATACCGGTATTGGGTTTGAGTGTAGGCAATAAAGCACTACCTGATCCACGCATTGGGCACACCGGCTTGTAAGGCGGATGGTCGATTTTTGTGAAAATATAGGATTTAAAGTGCGCCTTGTGGTCCGTCAAAGACGACATATTGCGGCAAAAGCACATGACGGTGATTTTGTCTTTTTCATCTTATCCAAATTAAACTATCAGCTTTGCAACATATATATTTGGAAAATCAAAAACCGCCTGATTTATTTGAATTCATGGTGTATACTTTCATCAGTTACAAAATAGTTATTGCAGTTGCGCAAAACCAATACGCTCAGTGGAAAATCTATACCACCCGTTTCGGAGCATACATTTCTGGAAGGGCATAGACTTTTAAAAGTGAATAAGCCATATGACACAGGAGTCAGCGTTATCTTAAGAGCATTGTTTATTATGCGACAGAACATTAAAAAGAGCAAAAGTGCTATTTTCCCTCACAGGCGGTAACATATAATATTGGCGTTGGGATGGCACTGTGCAAAAAGTGCTTCGTAATTTTCTGTGTGTCATGCCTGATACATTCTGTTAAATCGATCAGCATAGAACCTACGTGCTGATGAAATTATGTTTAAAACCAATATAAGTTGAGGCAAACAACGACCATGTAGGAGATGTTGAAAAACACAAAATACAAGAGTAATAATTTTTTATGCACAGAAGAGACACCCATCTTTCCACGCAAGTTAGGGATATGTAGGCCTACAGTAACTAAGTAAGAAAAAGATTTGCTGCCTATAACAACACATTGGAAAAACAATCCATAATCCATTTCAAGTTCCTCGATTGGTTAGCTCGATATAATAATTACTACAAATACACATTGTTTGTAGATCATTTAGAAAGCAGTTCAGTTTGTTTTCTGTTGTTTGGCCGTGTATTCGTTTGCGAAGCATAGCAGCCTATTTAATCAATAAATATGAGGTATGTCTAAACCCAGTTTGAAAAGGCCTGTGTTTTATTTTACAATGAATCAAAACTAGTTTAATAGTGTGATGTACGCTCGATTGTTAAAAATCAAATCGGCCATTCAGCTGATCGAACTTGCCAATATATATTTCTAGGAAAATTCTGCCTCAATATTGGATACGAAAATTAAGGAGTGGTATTTTCAGTCTTAGTCTACTAGACGTTGCGGGTTTTTATTTATTCATTATTTTTGGTAATAATGGCCAAAAGGAGTGATCCGAATACATTCTCTGTTGATCATATTGGGCTCGTTATCTTGCTATTTGAATATATTGAAATTCTGAGCGTGAGAAGCTCAGGAAAGTAATTTTGAGCCGAGCCGAGTGTTGAAGTACAATCATTTTACGGGGCCAATATCTCTCCTAATATACACATATAGCAGTGTTGATTAATAGCTTGATTATCTATGATTAATCGATTTTTTCTACAAGACTTTTAACACAGAATGTGACATTTTTAAATTTCAAAATTGTAGCGTACTGAATGTAGCTGCCAATATTTGTCCATCGCTGGACATCGCCAACGATAAACTCGGATGGATTTAGCAAAATATGTCATTCACTCACTACTTAACGTATTCCAATGAACTATTTGATTTGACAATCCCCTTGGATATCGGGTATTCGCTTTTGGACGTATATTAGTTTATTTAGAATTATTATATACTTTATAAATGTACAAGAAAGTATTTGAATACAATTACTATTTTATTTATTGTACATTTAAGTAACAAATATAAATAATGGATCAATCAATGAAAACTCATTTTCAATTGTAGTCAATTTTCTACATTAATTCAAGACCTTTGGATCGCTTTGCTAAATTCACGTTATTGTTGAACTTGTTATTATTTCTCTGGAATTGAATTGACAATAAAAATTGTGATGCAATTTACAAAGGGAGTGGTGGTAGCACCAGACTGGCGTTAGAAAAACGCATTTCTATCTCCTTTCCAAGAATTGTCAACGATTGGCATCTGGATCCTCCCGAAGCAAATCATTGTTCGTCAAATAACGAAATTTGTTTCTGGCGTTCGGTTTCTGATAGACCCATGGAGTATTCGGGAGGGCAAGACGACGCTATTATGCAGAATTGTGGAGTTGAATTCACAAGCACGCAAGAAAATACTACAGGCATAAATGAAACTCCCAATCTAACCATGCTGAGGAGTTTTAAAAGTTGCAACGAACTCAATTTTCAGCGATTTAAGGAGAGTTCGTTTGGAAATTGCAACGATTATTTAATAAGAAACATAGACGAAAGATGCTTGCCGTATTTCCCTATGACAGCGTCAATCGCCGAAGAAAGTAGTTCAGGCGACACAGATTTTATGGAAAACGTATCTGTCTGTAGCGCATTCGGAGAGGGCATTGGAAGTGGCGCTAACTTTGCTAACATCGTAGATACAAGCATGTATGGAAGCCAGCAGCAAACTAATAACGAAGAAAATGGTCACGAGGCTAAAGGAATATGTAATCATGAGAAAGTTGGTCAAAATACGAATGAGTGCCTGAACGATGACGGGAATGGCATTGTGGAAAAAAGACAAGATTCAGCTTTAGAAAGTACCAATAACACAGAAGGCGTCCAGCAAAATGTTGATAAAAACGAAGACACAGATCCTTGTGTTCCCGGCGTTTCTCGCATTTTTTCTCATCCCCAGTGCTTCGCAATGAGCACCACATATCCGATTGAGGATTCGACCACTTCCGTGGGTCCGTTTCAAATATTCGGCTTCTCCTCTCAAATCCCACCATATTTTCACAGTAGTGTAGGATCTCACAATGTAAATGAAACTAACGAGAGCAAGCCGATAGAAAAGCAGGTAGTTTCTCAATCAATTTCCACACCAAGTTCTTCAAATCCGTTGCGCCAAAATAACACGGAATCTACATTTCAAGCGGACAGTAACAAGCAGCAATGCGGCATGCAACAATGTCAGTACAACGTACCAATGGCAATGCAAATGCCACCCACAGGTGAGGTTTTATGATTTTAACAGTTGTAGTGGCTATATTTCGAAGATTATTATTTATTTAATTGATAATTACTCGATAACGGCAATGCAAATTCATTGTCAGCTAAAATTTCAGTGTACCAAATTGCTACTTTGGACGTTTGCATATTAGGAAAAGTTTCAAATCGTAACATGTTTACACAACACGATGTTTTCTCAAAAAATATGAGGCTCAACAGAACGCATACGACAGTAAAAATTAAACTGTGAGTTGTATCTAACAACTGCTTAATTTTATTTAGCAGTGCATTCGATTAAATATTGTTTCCCTGTTTTGGTAACACAAAATATTATTGGCACGATATTTTGTGCATCAATAGAATCTGAGCTAGACGTAATATTCTCAAACGATTCTTTTATTTAAAACTATAGACAGCCCTCTTATTAAAAAAAATCATTCGTCACAGAAGCCGAATGGGCTAAACGCGGTATTTAAACAAAATGTCGGCAACTATAATACAAAATTGTTCATCAACAATTTATCTTTTGTTTCGATTCCGCAAAAAAATATAAACTGTTTCCAGTCGACAACGTAATAATATCTTGCTATATTAGTTACAATTTTGACATTTTCGGCACAATGCTATCGTCCAAAAATGAGATAAAACAACTAAACTGCCTTCTCAGCAATATTCCCCGCGTCGTTATTTAAAATGGCGATATTATGATTGCGTTCCGGGTAACAGCTGGGAATGACGACGTGTAATAAATCATTCGGATAAGGGGACGTCATGTTAAATTGTTTTCGTGGTCTTAACTAGAAAATTTCAGCAAGCCTTGTGTGTGTTTCGGATGTTTGAAAATGTTTTCCTTTGATCTATGTTTTTCTGTATTTAAAAGAGAAAGCTTTTCGTCACGTTGTTAACTTGTCTTAGTTTGTAAATTTATTCCAACATTTAATAATGCAGAGTTATGTAGCGTTTTAGCAGTAACCTACCTCTTGCAAATCAGCGCCAATATTGTAGTTACAGCAAGACACTAATGCGGTGTTACAGGTTGTGACATTGGTGGTGTCTTAGTGAAGGTTACGAGAGGTGTCATAAACATAATTATGCTAAATTTCTTTCAGTCGATATATAAAAACTGTGGGCATCCACGCCTGACGATTAAAGTTGAGAATCGAAAAATCGCCGAGAGTCGCCGGCAGTCTCCACCAACCGTATATCCGTAGCGTCTGATCTCTTTTGCAATAACCATGCGTACCCGGAATAGACTGTTGCATAGGCGCACGGCCAGATTTAGAAAATGGGAGCACGTAGGCTACACCGTTTACGAGGTTCCTCGCACAGCGACCTGTTACATGCTTAATTAAATTTATCATGGCTTCATACGGTTAATATATCTAACTATATATCTGAATTATATATGGCCGCAATAGATGAAAATTTTAGCTGCAGAGACGATACTATGGTTTAATTTCAAACAATTTAGGAAGTTCGAAGCTGTAATTAAACATTACGTCGCCGAAGAAATACACGTCCTGAGTGGGCCAACTGCACCCACTTACTATTAAATGAAAGATTACTGATAAATAAATTTATCAATGTTTAAAATAAACTGGCCTACCATGTAAAATAATACTTGTTGAGTAAAATAAATATAAAAATCGTAGATTCGTTTTTGTGTAGATAAATACAGTTATCATTTCCTTATCAGTTAAAAAGGGCCATATTATTGAGTTAAATGCTGTTTGATAAATTTAAAGTTGTTTTACAATGAAATAGAATGTAAACCTTTAAGGTTAAAAAGGTAGAGTTTTTCAAATTTAAACCGATTCATGTATACCACCGTATTTAGTTTGTTAACATTTTAGACGGGATATTTGTGACAAGAATATTTAACCTGGTTGAGGCTTGAAATAAATTTCACTTTCAAAAAAATTCAAACGGATTAAATTCTGTGACACGCCTTTTAAATTTAAAAACATATTAAAATTGAATGATAGTTCAAATGAAATGTCGAAGCTCTGATGGCTTTGCAGCTCCAAGGTTTAATCCGGTCATAAATAGGAGAAAGGAGGAGCTTTTTCACATGGCACATAGCCTGGTTTCGAAATAAACGAACATTTTTGTAATGGAAATTTCGAGGCTTTACGCACTATACGACCCACCACCGTTGGTATAGTGCAAGCGAGTGAGTGCTTTATTCGGAATAGGAATTAGGCTTAGCACGAATGTAATGTTGAAAAATATATTTGTTAAAATGTAGTTTTGCGAGAATGTACTTCAAAAAACCTTTGGTTTGGAGAAATAGAAATCTTTGGTGAAATGATCATTTGCGCAGATGTAACTGATGCAAATCTACTGTTTACACTTCCAGAAATCTAGTTGTTCTTATATAAAAACTGATTTATATATATTGGAAATTCATCTGGATGCGTCGCGACCCCCTTTGGATATTTTCTAACATGCCGCGATTAAAATCAGTGGGTCCTACAAAGAAAAGGATATAAAGTATGGGGTCGGGTTATTAGGGTGAATTAGCTTTCGACCAGAAAATACCGGTAGTCAAAATAGGTCTGGGCGGTACCGAAAAATACGGTAATGAAAATGTATAACTCGTACTTTCATGTTCTAATTTTTTAGAAAGTTTGCTATTTGTAGAATTTAAATTTTCAAATTAACAATTGAATGGACATTAGAAGATGAACATAAGGGCCGTTACAGTTGCAAAATTCACACGCAACACATAAAATTAAAAAATGAACATATTTAGATGAAAAAAGCTGCCCCATCTATAAAAATGTCTTGCCGCTAACATAAAGTATCTCGTCAAATGATAATCCAACACACAAGTGGTAAAACTAATAGCAATACTTCCCAAACGGGGAAGAATTCAGCCCAAGGGATGGATTTTGTCGTTTTATTAACGCAGGAATTTTCCTTATTTATATGTATCAGCACAAATATTAATTTAGTTTTTCATAATGAACTTTCAAACGGAAATGCGACTTGCGCATTACATTAGCAAGCGGTCCATTAAAAATTGAATAAATAAAGTAGTTTTATTCATAGAAAGGGAGGGAGGAGTTCAATAAAAAAGAGGGGGAACCACAGATTTATAGTCAAATTAAAATGCGTGCTGTCAACAGATAAGATGTCATGGTGGTAAGAGTGTTCTGAAGTGGGAGACCTTAGTTTGATTTTAGGATTGGTCAACGATGAGCCTCAAAAATTGGTTTCCATTGTTTCTCGTTTTTGATTTTTCTACCTATAAACGAATTTAATTTTTCCACCACTGATTAGGATAGATTTTATAGTAACAAGTCGTGCGAAAAATGATTTTGTTCTGCGACTCCATGAAAAGTGCTTCGCGATCCCCAGAAAAGAAACGCCCGCATCCGGAGTTAGTTTTTAAGCTACGTAAGAGTCTTGTGATTTAATGAGTTTGGAGCAAAAGAAAACTTTTTCTCGACACCTGAGCATGTTTGTTTTGAATACTATTATCTCAGCGTAAAGGTTATGACTACTTTGACTCTATGTTACGTGGTGTACAATATCTTACTCTAGTTTATTTTTATATCCTTGGCTATTCTTATTGGAATCGGTAGGTCCGGAGATCAATAAAGCTTCTGATATATAGCAATCGAATGGACAAGGCAAAAAATACATGAAATTGTTGTATTTATCGTTGAAAACCTTTGTGATTAGACCAACAAATACTCATTATAAGATTCAGAGAATAGTATATTGATTGTCTCTGATATTGGATAAAAGTGGCAGAGAAAATAGCTTCTGTGCAAGATTTGGCCAAATATTCATAATATTTTTGCTGAGGGATGTCGACGAAAAGCGAAATAAAATACGACCGAAACAAAATGGCGTCGTTAAAACATGTTATAATAAAGCAACAATTTGCAACTTGAAAAGGTTTGATAACGAATAAATAACATGTTTTAGATTACACGGGAATCAAAGTTACTGACAGAGTATTAAAATTGCGGAACGGTTATGTCATCGCTATTTGTTTACTCGTTCGGATTTTAGTATTTCCGTGCTTTGATGTGTTGGAAAATAATTCATAAATATACAGGGTGTCTCAAAAGTAAGTATACACTTTCAATTTTAATTTGCTTTTCAGGTACTCATCACTGACGTTCATTTCTTCATAAAACATAGTATGGATAAGTAGTAAAATTTAGGTATTGTTCGTATTTTTCATCATCCAGCAGAATGACGAGGAGATTAAACCAAAGAAATTGGTGGAAAATTGCTGTTGGCAAGAAGCATATAAATTAGTAAGGCAAACTCAGGGCCTCTTTAACAAAGAGTTTGGAATTAATTGGGTTCCGAATGTTTTTCTTAAAGCTCTTCGCTCTCTGGTCTTTGTGCATCAACTAGAGATCCAGTCTCATAAATTTACGATAAATTGCATAAATTGTTTGTCGTGTAAGAGTCGAATTAATTCCAAATTCTCTGTTGAAGTGGCGCTGAGCTTGCAATACTGTTTATATGCTTCTTGCCATCATCAATTTTGCACCTTATTTCTTGGGTTAATCTCCTTGTCATTCTGTGGGTTGATGAAAAATGCAAACAATACCTAAATTTTACCCCTCATCCACACTACGTTTTCTCAAGAATTAAACGCTCTATGATGAGTACCTGAAAAGCAAATCAAAATTAAAAGTGTTTACTTAATTTTGAGACACCCTGTATACAGTGGCACAACCAGGGGGCGGGTGTCGGGGTCGAACCCTCCCTTTCAAATTTTTTTGAAAACTGAAAAAGTCGCCGATAACGCGTGCAAATGCCTTCTGCTAAAATCGCCGATTGTTTTCATCAGCGTGGCGCGTTATTTAGGACGTAAACGCCCTTTACATTGGTGTCTATGCACTCTCCAAATCACAAATTTTCCACAAATTTGAGCCACGGTATCAACGATAATTATTTTATTTTTGTACTCGCCCGGAATTGTGAAAACTGAAAAAGTCGCCAATAACGCGTGCAATTGCCTTCTGCTAAAATCGCCATCAGCGTGTTATTCAGTCTGTAAACGCCTTTACGTTGGTGTTTATTCTCTCTAAATCACAAATTTGTGCCACGATAAACATGATAATTATTTTATTTCTGTACTTCCACGGAATTGTGAATTCGGCGCGAGTTATTATACGTTCATCGGCGGCGAGGTTATAAAGACAAATGAAGGAGTGAATCCGTGACCTAAATTTTTTGATTGAAAAGCGGCAATATAAAATACTGAAAATAACCGTAAACAGTATAAGTTTTGTTGAGTCCCGCGACAGTCTAAAAACGCTTTTCTAGGCATTTAAAATCTCAAAATTTCGGTCCCCGTTTAGGGACAGAACATACCGTCACTAAATCGAAGCACGGTTAATTGTGGGCGGGATTTTCCTTTTTATCCATTACTTTAAAATTGTCGTCGAAAATTTTATGTGTTATCATTAAACGACGCGATGGAAACGCGATTTTTCCCGGTTTGTGATGATATATAAAATAATTGAAGTATATCGATCAATTTTTATTGTACTGAAATAAATTTTACTCAATGAGAATTTACAGCAAATTAACGGATTTTCAAAAGGTTTTATTTTTAAAAATAATTGGAATGGCAACATTGCGATTGAACGGAGTCAGTGTTACAAGTATATCTCAAATTTGTCGAATTTGCAAAATAGAAAAAATACGGATCAATACAATATAAAATCGGCAGTTAACCACACACTTTATGTCTGCGAAATTCCGTGGTGTTTCAGAGTGGCTCTTGTTTTGTCGACGCAACCGCAGGTAAAATTGAAGACAATTAAATTAATAAAACAGGATATTTTAAATATGCCAGTATCGGTCATGGATTAAATACTTTGCACAAGAAAAAAAAATTGGTTTTCGTTGAAAAAGTCGGCTCTTTTAACTAGTGGCGTATTCGCGGCGACTGTTCGGCGTGGATTTCGAGGCGGTGAATTTGTTGTATATATACTTTATATCTATGTACTGTATTTACAGTATACTTTATATCTATGTTCATTGTATAAAGTAAAATTGTACTATACGGAATTTTATATCAGATATCAAGATTTTACTAACGGCGATAACGAGTTCGGAAGATTGCAAAAATAAGTGTCAAAATTAAATACATCAGTCAGCTTATCTCATATTTTTATGTCCACAGATCGCCGTGGTATTTTACTGCAGTAATGTTTTGATTTTGACGTAAACCGCGCAGTCGCAACCGCGAGTTACGTTGGACACAATTAAATTAATATATAGGGACATTTTAGAATCTCGTAGTTGTCATGAATTGAATATTTTACGCAACAGAAAATTCGTTATACGCTGAAAACGCGGCTCTATTAACGAGCGCGTGATCGTGGTGACTGTTACAGACTGCACTGGAAATTTCCGATTTTAAACCCCCTCTTTTTTGAAAATCCTGGCTGCGCGCCTGCCTGTATATATATATACGTTGGAAAAGAACTGATATCTGTTATAGATGTGTTTTGTCAAACTTGAAAAAATTTGTTAAAGCATAGTTTTAAGTTATTGTATCAAAAACGATTTTTTTGGCGTTCAATTTTATATTTCCATTCTATAGATGTTCAAGATTTTTTGATAACTCAAACGAAGACGAGAAAATATCGAAGTACTTCCATCAGCATTATAGAATATGGTGAGTTCATATCCACTCAATTTCCGCGAGGGTCGATGTCCACTATGAAGATAAGTCATTGATTAGACCTAAATCCATAAATTTATACCATATTCGCTTTATAGGTTCTCAATACTTTCTGTTGCGGAAAGTTTGAAATATTTTGGCTGTTGTTAGAAATAACATTCAATGAATAAAATAAAACCCCTTATTTCCAGGTGATATGAGCGCCTATCCTCCATATCAACCACAGCTGTTTCAGCAAAGTGGTGCATATACCACGAGTGCTGCAGTGCCCAGGTCTCCAATAGTCCGATTAAACGCAGGATATCCACAAACATCACACACCAATTCTTATCCAACGTACCATTATGCTCAACGAAATATACGCCATTCACAAATGACTGACCAGACACCTTCAACCAGCGAAGATACTGCTATGGTATCGGGAGAGCAGCTCGATCACAGCAATACAAACGGTCTTCTACGCGATTTGAGCGATACTAACAACACTTCCTCGCAACTACGTGCGATGGAGGAGAATAATATCAAATCAGAGTTCCATCAAAGGTAGGCGGGGTGTATGGTTAGAATACATGAATATGATCCGACACACTTATATGTTGATGCACATATTAAAAGGTGGTCTATATCTATAATAATTAGAAACAAACAAATAATAAGAACAAAAAACCCAATAAGTAATAGTGAAAATTAGAATTGTTTACAAAAATTTGTGTAAATTGACCTGTTACTTTCTCGCATTAGAAGAATACTAGTTTATGTTATGGAATTCCCAACACTCTTAACTCTTTTGTTGGATATTGTTGAGTTATTTGCTTCTTATACAGCAATGAGGATAACATTGATTATTACTCAAATGGAGCCAACTATGGAACGAAAAATGAATTTTCCATTGAGCAGGATAACTACCAATTTCAAACACCCAATACAGCATCCAGAGAATATTCGTCTGACAAAAACAAAGATTGTCCTGCAACTAGTTTTTGCACAGTCGATACTTCTACAGAGAATGTAACGCCAGTTTTACAAAATCAGCCATTTTTTGCAAGTCAGTGTTCGGTTTTATGCGGTCCTTCCTGTGGTAGCTCGTCTTCATATACCTATCAAAATTCATCAATTGGAAATTCCATTCGACCATACAATGGCCACGGGTTTCCATATTGTGGACAAGCTAACCCGGGTATAGCTATTCAAGCTCCATGGACGGAAGGCATTGCAGTGCACACTTCTCGTCAGCACTATCCAGGTACTCCTTATAGTGAGCAAGGTACTACGAGTTTTCAAGACGGTACTGCATATCATGCTAGACGAACGACATTCTGTGAACCAGGTAGGAATAATTTTAATTTGTAAACTCTAATATTTTAATTTTGATTCACAGCAACTATTCTCTTTTGTAGGTTATGTATGAAAGGTCATATTTTAATTTCAAAGTATGCAAGTATATATAATTCTAGGTCGTGGCTTTACTAAAACACGTAGGCCGGATCGTACGGTGACGAAAAAAGCTTCTGGGAACAGGAAGACGAAAATTCAGAAAAATCGACGGTTTGCATGCACTCATGCCAATTGCAACAAAAGGTATTTCAAACAAGATCATTTAGAGATGCATCTTCGTAAACATGCAGGTAAGTAACTCAAATATTCTTTGTTTTTTGTATCAGCTCTTGTATAGGTTTAATGGCGCCATATATCTGACTGGTATATTCCATACGTTTAAGTGGTTATTTTAATAACTTCGTTAACTTTGACTAATGGGATAAAATTATCACAGAAAGTCTAACTACAAAGATTAATTTTTCGTATAATAAAAGTGATTCCACATTATTGTGCATTCTATATTATTGTTATTGAGACTCGGTAACCGCAGAAAGATAACGGGGCTTTACACTCATGTACAGGGGGTTCTTTAATAACAGCTATATATGTCACAGGTGAACGACCATATTCATGCACACTTTGTGATCGAAGATTCCAGCGTTCAGATCAGCTGAAGCGTCATGGACTTCGACATACTGGCGAAAAACCATACGAATGCGTAAACTGTCATAGAGCATTTGCGCGATCTGATCACCTGAAAACCCACATGAAAACGCATACTGGTTAGTTGTTAGCTAATGTCTATGTTGTAAAATATGAAATAATAAAGGAGCCTGGCGTATGCCAAGAACTTAATAGTTTTTGATTACCTTATATGATGTTTACAATAGAATTCCTAATTTATTTGTTTCTGGTGTCTACAGATCGACCCTTTCATTGCCAATGGGAAGATTGCAAAAAGAAATTTGCCCAACCAGAAGAGCTGTCTCAGCATTATTCTACTCACAAGACTCCAAAAGCGCGAGGCGTCCGCGGGAAAATGAAGAATGTACCGATAACGGAGTCATTCAGCCTTCCATGCCCAAGTTATATCGTTGGGCAGCAATCAACAACAGGTTTGTCGATTTGTCATTTCTGCCTGCCTGCCATATAAAGCGCAACGAAGTAACACCGACTGGTGACTGCCAAGTACGCCTAAACTCATTTTAAAGTGTTATGAAAGAACTGTTTATTGAGCAATATCCCATCATAACATTTTAAAAATAGAATGCATTCTGGATATTGACAATCATGGAGGTCTTTGTAATAATTAATGACATTCTAAATTAAAGACAGATTCAAGTTTCTATTCTACAAGCATGCACAACGTAAAATTCTCAGGAAAGACCAATACGCATTAGAATTTAGAACCTTTTACTAAAATAATAAAAGTCGATATATAAAGCCCAATTATGTATCGACAAGTTACCAGTGCTCAGGCATTCAGCTAACTAGCCATTTAAACAAATTCGAAATATTAACATAAGCGAAATCCTAATCACAAAACTTGTGGAAAATATCTTTAATTGCAAATTCATCTTATACCTAACGTCACCGTTCTAATAAAAGAGCAATAAAATCATTGATGGATCTTGTCAATATAGCGCAGTCCAGGCGTAATATGATGATCAACTAATTCAATCTGTTCCAGATATATATATAGGTTAAGTCACTTCAGTGTATGCTTACTTTTTTCAGGGATAAACAATTCAACTTTGTCGAATGTGACTGATGGACACTTCACTCAGGTCAACCAGATGACGTGTCATCAGTTTCCAAAATGTTGATATAGGGGCTTTTGCTTTGCAGTAAAAACATATCAACATTTGATGAACTTTAAAGAGCATGCTACACTTTTATGGTCGTTTTAAGATTTTTACTAGTTGGATAAAACTTTCATATGTGTACTTCTTTCAAAATTATCGATTACATTTCTTTCATTGTAAATACACGTGCATTGTGCAAAGAAAGGCTTGATATTCTAATGATCAGGAACGATTATTGCGATGCTTTTCAAGAATTCATGAGCTGGAGGTTGATATTGTTACAAAACCCTGTAATTAATAAGCAGGTGCTCCCGAAGTATGCGAACCAAGATGGCGGACATTGGAACGTAACATGGGTAACAGGTTAGGGTTAGGCGATAATTTTTTTCCAATTTTCCTAATTTTAGTCCTATTATCAGTTCGAAGACTAGCCAAGAGCCTCCCGTAGTATTTATACCTAAAATCCGCCATCTTGGTTCGCATACTTCGGGAGCCCCAATAAGCAATATGTTGCATTGAGTAAATTATAGCGCGATGGGATCGGATGTAGAGGTAAGATCGGGCTCAAAAATTCCAGCCCGGCCCGACCCAAGGGCCGGCAACCAACTTGCCTAATGTTAAACAAGTTCATGGACGCCATCTTGTGCCATATTTGGAAACGCGAAACAATGGAGTCTTATGGGAAATTTTCGTCGTGTTGTTGTACCGAATCGAATAAGTCCGCTGGTATAAGGGCTAGAATGAAACTGAAGGGTGGGTTTTGAACTTTAAGATATATGCTATCTAAATAAATAAAAAAATTAAGAATAAAAAACTATCTAATGCGTTAAATTTGACCCCAAACACAGCGTAGAACCATTTTTGGTGATTTTTTCAAAGATTTTATAGTGATACGCTAATTTGAGGCAGTAAAATGTCTCCGCAACAATCCTACAATGTCATTTGTTCTTCTAGCGCAGCTTGGAGCCGAGCAGTAAGGCATTATGGAGCTTGATAGACGAAAAATGTTAACCAGAAAATAGAAACGGCCATTGAAGCAAAGTTGGGTCGGCCGGTAATTTCGACGAATAAATACAACTTTTCATCTGTGACGTCATAAGGAACGCCATTGTCAAATGGTTAATTATGACGATTAGAATGGCCAATTTACTTCGGAAGCAACTCGGAACCGGTATACTTGTCTTCAAAGACAATTTAATGTAATATAAATGTAATTTGGCAAACATGAAAGGATATAGGCATGTTCGTTCTGGTGAATCAGACTCCTAATTAGATATTGTCAACGTTTTCACATTGACACTGTCAGTTCAATAAAACTGTGATAAATATACATTTTATTCCAATTCCTATACCAATTTTTATAGTTTTAAATCTTCAAGAGTAGTACATTGTCGTTGCGTACACTCGGAAAGTGGCGGAATGTTAACTAGATTACATTGAACTAACTTAATCATTGGATACTGATGCATTAGTTTTAAAGCTTGACGCATCAATAAACAGTGATTGATGAAGCAGTATTTAAATTATAACAAAGAATATAACAAAATGTGCGTTAGCATGTTTGAAAAAAATATATATAACAGAACATCTAAAATGAGTGGGATCACCATACAAATCCAAGACGTTTTTTGGCACGAACAGGATCTTTCACTTCATATTGAGATTTGACACTTTCAGTTGTTTCTCTTTGATATTTGGGAAGCTGAACACCAGTGGAATCAGATACTGGATAGCTTGGTCGTACACCCCCTTTGCCAAGGAAACTGGGGCCTCTTCCCCCTCCCGCACCAGCACTTGCTGCCTTTACAAGAGGATACGTGTTGCATTTCTGCTCACTGGCTTCTTTAATTACCTTCCCAGCATATTGTTGAAATTGATCTTCTTCTATCTTTAGCAAATCAACAATTTTGTGATCATGTTCTAGATCTTCTTGTCGTTTAAATCTTTCCTTCTCTGCAAGTTCATTGATCTGTGCAATGTGGAAGTTTTGAAGTTTTTGCAATCTCTCTCTTTCAGATTTTCGCCACTCGCTCTGTTTTTCTGCAAAGACTCTATCTGCTTCCATTTTCATTTCCAAAAGTTCCAAGTTTTTGTTATGTTCTTCTTTCTCTTGTTTCTCTTTCAAAGCAAGTTGCTCCAATCTATGTTCGGCAATGCTCGCTAGATCTTTTTTCAATTTATCTTCTTTTGCTTTTATTTCTTTTGTTAATTTTTCCTCCTTCAATTTCTCTGCCTTTGCAATTCGTGAATCTTCATCATCAACTTTTTGTTTCAACTGATGTCCGAGAAGTTCAACCATGCGATCTCTTTGATTTTGTTGTTGAGTAAAAAGTTCTTTCTCTTTTTGCTTGCGCAGTTTGAGCATCTTCTTCTTGGCATTTGCAAACATTCGAATTTCCTCATCTTCTTCTTCATCTTGTTGTAACTCCAGAGCTCGTATTGCATCTCGATTAGATATGTGATCTTTATGTGACTCCATTATTTTTCTTTTTTCTTCTCTTCTAACTTCATCCAATTTCTGTTGTTCCCATTCATTCAACTTCGCAAGTTTTTTCAATTCCTCACCCTCTTTCTTGTCCTGCTCTTTACATTTGTGTTGTGCATCATAATGCTCTTTAGCTTGAGATAATTGGTATTCTGCTACTTTTCTTCGCATATCATATCGTTCACGTGCTTTTTCTTGATCTCTGCGAATGCCGTTTTCATACTGCAGCCTGTAATATTTTAATAGCTCAGTGTCTTTTCCTTTTTCATTCGCAATTTTCTGTTTCTTAAGTTCAACCTGAGCATCTCTTTCTTTCAAAACTTCCGTTAAAAGAAGAGCTCCATGAAATGATTTCACTCTGTCTGTTTGAAAATATTGCAAAGTTTTTGCTTTTTCGATCGCCACTTGTCTTCGTTTTGCCTGAAATTTTGCTTCCTCAATATCGATCTTAACACGTTCCTCTTCCTCCTTGGCTTCACGGACTTTTCTTGCTTCAAGTTTCTTTTGTCTTTGACCAGCAATTGTATTCGACCAATTTTTCACCACATTCAAAGACTCAGCATGTAATTCTTCCTGCTGTCGTTTCGCCTCTCTAACACGTTCCAGTTCCTTAGCTCTTGAATCCAGGTTGTTTTGGATCCGATTCCATTCTCTCTGTGGAAGTACAGTAACCTGTCTTAAATCTGATCCATCGGGAAGCCTCATTCCATGGGGAACATGTTCTGCAACATCATCTGATATTTGTTCACTTTCTTCAATTGTTTGTTTAGATTTCCCCATTCTTCTGCCATACTGGATAAAGTTAGCATGCTGCACAGTTGCCATATCAGTATGAAGTTTTTATATCATTACGAGCTGAAAAATGGTAAAGATGAATTTGAAAAAGGATTTAATTTCATCACAGTCATTATGCATTAAGAATTACAGCCATTCAAATTAACATTCGGAATTACTGCCATATTTTCAATTATTCAAAATAGCTCATCAGTAAAAATAGTCACGCCTGAATACTGTATGTCGATTATTTGTTGAAATAATTCCTAAACCAAAGCGGTCAGAACCAAGTAAGTGGAATCGATCTACATTCTAAAATTATTTTTGAATATAATTATTCTAAAATTATTTTCAAGTATATTCTAAAATTATTTTTGAATATATTACAAAAGAGATGTTCGATGGAAATTATCCTCAAATCTGCGTGTATTTATAAAGATATTTTGTTTGATTTCTATTTCTAGAAATTTTTGCGTTGAATACCATTTTTTGGCTGATGTCCATTGGCCAAAACAACAACTTTTTTAAATGTTGACACTTTGAATTCTTCCAAAATTCAAAAATATATTACATCAAATATTATCAAATCTAGATGAACTCGAATTTTTGGTTCATTTGTGATTCTTCATCTAGAACATGGGTGAGCAAAGTTTATGGCAGTGGGCCATATAACTAACTCAAAACATCAAGCCAAGCCACACAAAAAATTTGCCGGAAATGCAAAAGAAGACAATCTCTTAGCCTTAAGCATTGGACAAAACGACGAAAAATTTCACGCAGCGACAATAGCAAAAAAACATTATGTATTTTAATCCATGCGAGTCCATAAACTGTCAGATTAAGATTTTATACCTGATGGGGAAAAATCTGAGTATTGACAAGGGCCACACTAAAAGGCTTGGCAGGCCGGGTTGTGTTCTGTGGGCCCCCTTTTTCACACCCCTGATCTAGTATATTCAACTCTCAGTCCAATGCATGTACCACTATGCTAAAAATTGCCAAATGAGGTAAGTTGGTCAAATTAGATGTGTCATGCAGAATACTTTAATATGTTATAACGTTACATGATAATAATTGATATAGATCTGGAAAATTAAATTTTTAGCTATCAAAGTTAATTTTAAGATATGACTGAGTGCCATGATAATAAAGTCTTTCTGTCTAGCTTATGCTTATTCAACTACCACACTCTGCCTACATATATCAGTCATATATTAAACCAGCACAGTCTTGTAACTTAGTCAATTGGAAGAAAAACTCCCGACAAACAAACCTTTTTATGATTTGTCATTTTAATATGGTATTTCACTGGTCTTCTGGTTGAAAAACGACCAAAATTAAACAATGCTCTATACTGGCACACTACAGCACTAAATTTACACTGCAACACCCTACGCAAGAGATGAGACTCCACTACTGCACCATCAATGTAAAAATGCAAAGTCAACAAATGCATATGACTGTATGAAAAAAACGTACGGTAGCTATGCATATGTATGATAGGGTATCTTAATGTTTAAAATGATTATTTATTTAAAAAAAATTAATTATTATAACAGAATGTCGTATGATTTTCCTTCATAATCTCCATTATATACAGATTTAATCAAACTAATAGGCTACCAACAAAGTCAAAAAACCTAGATTACCCTGCGCCGTGTATTGGACACCGGTTGCTAAGGTTACTATGAGAAATAGCTACAGCGAGCTCAGCATCTAATATTCGGAACCCCCTAGCCTGGCAATCAGTCATTGAAGAATGAAATGAAAACATTATGAAATTCATTTCTGATTAATATTTATAATTCTATTTTTACTTAAAAACTAGTATACAAAAATCTTGCTCCTTAGACTCACATGACACCGCAAACTGAGAAGTGACGATAAATTTCAAATTATTTTTTTAAATTAAAAAGAAATATGTTACTACATTATTTCTAAAAAAATAGTACTTGGATATTTTATTAAAATCATTTTATATTTAATCTTATCATCATGTTTTTCTAAATAACTTGGTTAAACTTTGAACTCCCAATTTGTTGTCTTGGCGACGCGTGGGAGAAACTCGCTAAAACTCCCTCTCAGTTGTTGTATGCGCTGCGATTTACTAACTTCATCGTAAAATTGGAGATGGTTTTAAACAATATTTTTGGGGAAATTCATGAAAGAATCTGCACATTTGTGATAGATACGTCATGGAGTATGCAGGATATGATACCGATCATCAAACGTCACCTGCAAGAGTGTTTATCTGAAAATGCATCATGCAGACCAGACTTCAAGTTTAATATTGTGGCAAGCAACTCGAAGGTATGTTTTTATCCATACATTCCATAATATTGGGAATATGCAGTAATGGTTTCAATTGTTTAGCATCATTTCACCAGTTTGTGATAACATTTGCTTGAATATCCCAGACAAATTAACGTAAGTTACCGTACCCATATTACTGTATTACAGTATTATCGCCACAAACCAATTTTCACCACACGCCTTCAGCATCGCCCATCGCCGCACTGCAGTCACCCTTTCAGATAGCGCTGAATATGAGTTGTATTTGGATTGCGACGTCACAATGATAAATATTAAACATATTTTGTCACCCTGTGGCGTAAAGACATTTTAATAAAAACATGCATCCCATTTCGCTGATCAAAATTTTTAATTTCGATGACGTCATCACATGAAACTTCGAGGTGAAAACGAATCTCAATCTCATAAGGCCCACAAAAATGTTTGGAATAAAATGAAAGTAATAACCTTCTAGCCGCGGCAACACTCTTTAATCACTGAAAATTTCAGAGCAAATGATTATGTATTTAAGGAGAAAAGCGTTTGAAAAAAAATTTTTGACATAAGTGGCAATAATAGAATAATCGTAGTTCTGATTATCGCCATACCCACATTTCTGCTATATTCATGAAGTGTCGCTATAGCAAATTCATTTTGTGACTCGCTGCTGTTGCCATTTTTTTCTCTGATTAGTAGCTAATGTTCCAAGACAATATAGAGAAATTGTTACCAGAAGTAGTTAGACTTTGGGTGGTTTGCAATAAAAAGTGGCGATAATAGGGTAACTTACGTTAATATTGGAAAAATGTGGCGCTAATTTTATCACCTATTCACACCTGCAAATTTAAATAGGATAGGTAGGATTTACTTATTTATCGCAGGGGAGTGGAAAGCGATCAGACGGCTTAACCATATGGTGAAACACAACCTCTCGTTGGGTCACCATTCCATATCGGGTGGGATTGGTTATTTGTTTTCGGAAGCATGGACTTGATGGTGGAGGAAGCCGTAACCGACCACCGGTCGCGTGAACCATCCTACGGCAGCAAGGAATCCAGCAATCCTCTCGCATAGGCTTGCACGTAATTGACAAAAATATTCCGTAATTACGGCCAAATCGATTACGTAATAATATTTTTTTCACACATTTAAACCTATCATAACAACAAATTTAATCCACTTCTGTTCCGAATGGGACATCGAAGTTTGGTTTTCATATTCCCGGCAGTACTACACGCCGGCGACAGATGTTAATGACAAATATCAAGGACTGAATTCAAAATAATTTTATTCTGATTTTTATCTTTTGTATTAGCTTTGATTTTCCTTTATCAACTTTATCACCAAATTTTATGCGATCAATTTTATCATTACCAACACTGGTAATATATATATGAAACGATAGTTGACTTTTTTTAAAAAGTATAAACGTATTAATACGACTTTCGTATTAAATAAAAATTCTGGGTTGCTTATTTTCTAATCAACTACAAGCGTATTCTCTTGTTTGATTATACTTTCGCTTGCCTCGCGACGAAGACTTGTTATTTTGCCGTTTTTTACAATATCCGACTTTACTACATAGTTAGCATTTTACATTAATTATTGATGCCGACTTATTGACGATATTCCGATTTCCATGCCTCATTTTACATCAAATCATTCCGCGGCCTAAATGTTATAACATTATTTGCGATAAATTTGGATCAAATATTAATTATTTGTGCATAATTTAAAATACCGTACTTATATGACATGCCTTCTCCGAAAATACAAAGTTATATCGCAAAACAATGCATTTTGTGACATTTATTTTACACCCATGAAAATATTAATTTGTTTTTCTAACTCAAGTCGACAATCCTATTTGCCAAGATTGACACAAGTTTGGTCGAGTGCCGGTGGTGTTCGAGTCGACGATAAATCAAAATAGGTTTCCGCATTTGGTAAAGACAGGTAATCATATTTGGCCGACATATTGCGAGGCATTGTGAAAAACATATTGAGCAATGCCAAGTCCGGACAGATATATAACGATAAAATTGGTAACAGAACATCAAGATTTTGTAATAGAAAATGGATCTGGCGCAGAATAAACACGGGAAATCGCGTCGTATTGTTGTTTCTCTGCCATCTCAATCGCTTTACCGATGCCGAAAAGACTAAGTTGCGTTGGTTCATTACGCAATTTCTCTTCCGTCTTTCTATTGCTGTTTGATAAGCGCGACATTAATTATCACAGCATTTACAAATAGACCATGTTTTATAAGTTGATCTCTTACATTCTTTAGTCGTTTCACCCGAAGAAGTTGAAACCAGGTGTGTTGGCGTCCATCGGTCTCAACACAATTCTATCCCTTATCTACGGTTAATATGTACATTGGCCATGCTAGATAAGTTAATAATAGGTTAGTAAATGACGCGTTATGCCTTCCCCATCTGCGTAACAAGAGAGAGAAAAACGGCTGCGAATACTGGCACTATAACTTCTTCTACTTAAACTTTTAATTTTTTACAATCGACGGAATTGACTGCTCTGAAGTAAGCTCGTTTTAATCGTGAAAGCGCTCGACCAATAATTACGACTTTACGTAATTCGTAACTTCGCTTCCGTAACTCGAAATAATTCCGTAAATTACGTACAAGCCTACTCTCGCACATAACCATTCCCGCATGGGATTCGAACCTGCGAAGCCGGGCAGAGTAATCAGAGGTGCGGTGACGAGTGTGTTCCTAACGCTTAGCACAATGATGTAGACCGCTCTTGAAATCAGAAATCTTTTACCATAAAAGCTGACAGGCAATGGAGTGAATATTTGATGAAGCGATTTAATCAAAATCAGTCATCTCATTTGGTGATAAATGAGGGTCAGCTAATTAAACCTAATTGAACCACCCCGCTCTGGCAAGGAGTTCAGCAGTTTTCTAGTACCTAATTATTTTCACTGAAGTCAAAACTTTCGAACTCGCTCAGGGCTTTTGCAGCAATCATTGAAGCGTGACTTCAATAATTTTATGATATAATCCAACCAGTCGATGTCACTTGTTGATACTTGTTTATCAAGTCAAGCTGAGATCAAATTATGATAAAATAGAATACGCTAAACCCAAGATATTTACTTATGAAAAGTTAGATGAGATCAGAAACCTCTGATCCTAGTATATTGTATTTTTTTTTCAGAAAATATCACTCCCAGAAATATTTAAAATGATATAATTATATTTTCCATATTGTAGACATGTTTTCACATGTTGGATAAGCTTTTACTGTATTTTCACTATGATTATTATGCATGTTGCATTTTACTGTTCTTACATATGTTTATATTCAAATGATTTCAGTTGATTTCAAAATGGTCAGATAAGCCAGTGGAATGCACACCGCATTCTGTGAATTCTGCTATAAGATGGCTGAGTGATGTGAAATGTCAGAAAAATAAAACTCTCCTGAAAGCAGTGAAAATTGCAGGAAGGGAAATGGAACATGGCGGAATTTATTTGGTATGATTTCTCTCAGATATAAAATACAAAGTGTAAAATATTTTTTGGAGAATAAAATTGGATCTATGAATTGTTTTATTAAATTGCTGTTGTTTTGAAAAAATTGCTTTCCTCTGCAGTGATGGAACCAATCCTATTCAAATCTTCAATAATTAGAGATGAAGAAGCTAAAATACTAGATTTTAGATTTAGTATTTTCCCCCTTTCTGAGTCCTACAGGTTTCAAAATTTCCCCCCAGATATAGATGGTTTTGTGCTTATTATTATGTGGCGTTCTGCCAGGCTTTTCTGAAGATATTTTTAACAATCCTAATGTTCAGCTGAGGCGTTATCCACCGATGTGAATTGCTACCTTGACTGTATAAAATAATTTAAATTTTGAGCTATATTTGATCTTCATTTTCATTTCTCTTTTGTTTATTATCTATTAAGGTTTTGAATGGTGTTGGAGATGAAGATCTGAGAGAACATTGCTTGGTACACCCAGTACACTGTATCTTGCTCACTTGTGACAAGGAAAGGTATCCCAGTACAGAAGATGTATTTTGTGAAGATCTGGCAACGTTATCAAGAGGAAGTTTCCACATTGTCTTTTTAACTAATGGTGGAAACGTAGATAGGGTGAGAAAATAAATTAACTTAATTAAGTCTTTCAGCATTCCTTACAAACTAAAATTAATCAAAGTATATAGTATTTTTTGACTATTTTCTTTGGACCCAAATTTTTGGCCTGATTTTGGGAGGGCCGTCTTGTTAGGCGTCAATGCTCATTTTATTTTTCTTAGATTCTGCTTATTTTTTCGCAGTCTTCAGAAGCATAATTTGTGTCAAATTCAGATCTATACTTTTTTGTATTCCACACCAAAGGGTCTGCAGAATCACGGCTAATGTTATTTAATTGACTTTGTACTGTCAGTTCTGCCCATTCTGAGAAAAACGAAACCAGACTGGACCACACGGCTGTTAATGAACCCGTGGACATATAGTGCATTACTCATCACAATATCACATGCCAGATTATTTCAACGCTCCAATTAATGCAGTGTTTGAAATGATTGCTGCTAGCTTTTTAACACTAATTACAGCTCTTATTATTCAGAATATAGTTAATTCTGTAGGTACAGTTCTACAGAAACAAACATGACCTGGTTCTAACTATATAAAATTATGAGCGCATATTGGTGCTTAACTGACCAACAAAGAAACATTTTTCCATTCCCGTCTTATTGGGGAGTTATTTGAAAAAAAATCTTTTTAGTGCTTGAAATAGGTAGACTCATAGGACGAAACAATACAATAGTTATGCATACATGTTTCATTTTGGAGATACTATTTTTTCAAAAAATCCAGAAATGAAAACCAGTGTTACACAATGTGTTGTGCTCTAGTTGTTTTCACTTTTATGATACACTTCATGTTTGGTCACAGTTTTTTGCTATATTTTGTATTGAGTTTTTTTTCTAATTCATAATCAAATTGATTTTCAGGTAATTGAAGCTTATAATTCCCAAAAATGTGGTCCGGATGTTCGAACATGCAGTATAAAGACATCTTTGAATGACACACCTGTGATAGATATTCGACCGGTATCTGCTCCTCCTCCTGTTGTCACAGTTCCAGCATATTATCCATATCCATATTACAGGTTTAATATCAATTACTTACATAGTGTAAATATGTAAATCTTATCGTATCTTATTCGAAATAGCTAGCTTCTGAGCTAGGTTGCTCTACATAGGCGGCAGTCTATATGGCTTTTTCTGTTATCCAAGATCATACATCGGAAACAAATAATTGGATAGATATTTCTTCTATCAATTTGTTCTGGTAACTGGATGGGATGCTATCGTAATATTGATATAAGGCCATACCATACGAGCAATTTATTACCCAAAAAAGAGAAGCGTTAAAATGAAATTTTCCAGTTTCCATCCATTTTTCATCTTCATAAGATGGTCGCGTGTTGTAATATTTTAATATAATTCAGTAAAGCAAACAAAAAGCAACAAAAGTATAAATATTTCGGCATGCTGTAATATATGTTGTGCAATGTTTATTTACCCTTTTTTGCATTTTGATTTGTACATTTTTATACATTCAAATTTAAACATTATTTATTGAGTTTATTTCTTTTTCATGAAGACCATATCCAGTGGTTGATCTTGTTGCAATGCGTGAAGAGTTCCATAAGACACCGATAGCAAGTGTTGTTGCAAGAGGAACAAGGGTTCTTGCAAGAAGACAGGATGGATATTATTACAGAGGAAACATCGCTCAAGAAGTCGAGGTAGAGTCTTAGGCCTTTTACTTAGTCCTTCAGATATTTTTTTGAAGAAATCATTTCAGTTGATATATATCTTACTTAGTTTATTATTATTTTACGTATTTTCCACAGAAAAGTCAATCAGCTTTCATGGTTGAATTTGATAAAACAAAGCGTGGTCCTGAAATGAGAATGGAAGAGATACCTCTGCATGATATTATTGCATTGCATGATGCTGAAAGACATTCTATTGTTCCTGGGGACAAGGTATGTTTTGGTGAGAGAGTGTGGGAAGTATACTAATGTGATAAAATTATGCATTGTTGATTTGTTGATCTAAATCACAATTCAGAATCCCTTGACAAAATGGCCATTTTTAATCTTTAAAAATCATGTTTTGCAGTTGTCAAAATTGAAATTGATTTTCATCAGATATATGAGAATATGAATTATAAATTATGTACATGATATCTAGATAATTATTAAAACTGATTATGACATATATAGATCTAATAAATAAATAATACCACATAGGGCTATTTAATGAAAAGCGTGTTATATTTTATCTTATATTTCAGGTACTGGCTCAATGGAGTAATGCTAGATCAAGGTTTGGTGCAGGAGATGTTTTATCAGGAGTTGAAAATAGAAAAGTTATCGGTATGTTCATCCATAAAAAGCTGAAAAATATTTAGTCTTAGTTAACTTTTAAGATCATTGTGATCAATTTTTGGCGCAATATTATGAATTTCTAGATTCTAACTAGAATAGTTTTCTCCACCATTCAAGCCCATGTATTTGGAACATTTAACTATAGCTATTTTCATACCTAGACGGATCAAGTTTTTTCTTACCCATAAGGGGACCAATCATATAAATTTTTTGTTTTCGTTTTCTGTCCCTCTCGTGTTTACAAAGAATATTTTATTTAATTGCAGGAGATAGGCATGACAATGACTTAGTTGTTTCATTCTGGAATGGAAAAACTGAGAAAGTAAACAAAGGAGAAGCAATATGGATTCCTGGTCCACTATATGACAGGATTGTGACTGAGCTACAAATGCCGGTGAATTGCGATTTTTTAATGATTCCGATATATTTTGTCATTCGTACCAATTTTAGTTAAAGTGTGCCTGAATGAAGTTGTTTCAATATGTGAAATAACATGATATTTGATTGATCTAATGCTGCTAGCTTCTTGTCAAGCTAAATTTCAACTTTTCATCTGTGCTATTTCATTATATTCTGGTTAAGTTACTAGGTCAGTCACAAAGGGGTACTGAGGAACCAGTTGGGTTGAGGAAAAATTTTATCTGTTTATCTGTGACAAAGTGATTTGAAAATATTTTCATTTTTCGCTCATATTTGGAACATGCATGTATTTATAATCATATATCATTAAATTTCTAGCTATCAGCTCGTAAAACATTCACAGATCTGGAAAAATCAACCAAATTAACACAGCCAGTACTTCATGATGACATACTCGATGTTCCGTTTATCGATCCATTGTAAGTTTAAAAAATGTATATGGGCATCTTTTTGTTTTGTGGATAGGATTTACATATTTATTTCTTAGGGAGTGGAAAGACGATAAGTTGGCTTAATTATATGGTGTAACAGGACCTCTTGTTACCAGTCCATGTTGGGTATGGGATTAGTTATACACTTATTTGTTTCAGATGCATGGACTTAATGATGGTGGAAGCTGTAGCCGACCAGCAGTTATGTGAACCACCCTAAGAAGTCCAGCAATCCTCTCACACATAATTCAAAGTAATCATAGGTGCGATTGCGATGGCGAGCGTATTTCTATGGCTTAGCAAATTACTTCATACCACCATGCCAAGATGTGTGCAATGGATTTGGGTAGAAAAATAAACCTGGGAACATCTGTAACATTCATAGATGATCATGGTCATACTTTTCATGATGTTATTTTGTGATGAAGTTTTCTTCAAAATGAATTGATTTTTAAAAATTTTACAGGTATCGAGGTCTGTACTACACTTGGTGGAATCGTGGATATTACTATCTTCCAACATACCCACTGCTGACAAGTGTACCAACATATCTGAGATCTTGGCCACATTTTTTATACCATCAACCGCATGTACTTTATGAAAAATATCCATGGCAGTATTGCTATCCTGAAAATGTTACTTCATACAAGCGGTATCCGTTAGATCAACCAAAATTTGCTGGTGGGTAGAGAAATAACGCTTAATTGTATACAAATATTTATCATTACAACAAACAGATTAAAGGAGATAAAGCATATCTATCTTAGGATAGAATTTACATATTTATTTCGGGGGAGCGGTAAGCCGATACGACGACTTAATCATATGGCGAATATTTGCCTCTCGTCTGGTTACCAGGTCGGGTATGTGATTAGTTAGTCAGTTATTTGTTTTCGGAAGCATCGACTTGATGGTGGAGGTAGCTGTAACCTACCAGCGGTTACGTAAACCACCCTACGGCGGCGAGGAGTCCAGCAATTCTCTTGCACATGATCATCTCCGCATGGAATTCAAACCTGCGATTCCTTTCAGGGTAATCAGAGATGTGGTGGCGAGCTTATTCCTAATGCTTAGCACGATGTGCCACACCGCCGAGCTTAGGACTTGTTCATATAGCTATTAGACTTCTTTTCTTGTTACCAGTACAGGAGAACAGCCAACCTGGGTATAGAACCATATTCCTAGATGATGAACTAAACTTACCCACAATCAGTAAGCAGGGCTGTATAGTCGAAATTTGGGAACATGTGTTTATTAATATTGGGATTGTCGTATTTTGTAATGGTGGTAATCATTATAAGTCAATTTTTTGCTGTCAAAAATGGTGTTTTGGTATTGGGAATTGGAGTTTAACTGAGCTTTTGTCAACTAGAATTCATAGCCAGAGTTATTAAATGACTCAGAGTTTGGGGTCTGAGTGTGGTGATGACACCAACTACTCTGCCACAGTGAGAAGATTAGCAATCGACATGAGCATAAGCATCTCTCATTTTATTCAAACCGGTAAGGCATGTTCCTAATGCTTGGCACGATGCTGCAGCAGTTGAACTATCAGCGATTAAATCAAATATTCAATTTATCTTACTATCTAAATTTCAAAATACCTGATATTGATAAATTGTTTCAGATGATTATGATGATGACAAAAGGCATAGCAGTGATGTCGACCTTGAATTGGATAAATTGAAAGTTAAAAGGCATTCTTCAAGCAGCAGCAGCAGCAGTAGTAGTAGCAGGTATATCCAATATCAACTAAACTTTTATCCTATTCAGGAAAAATATAACTTCTGGAGATATAGCAAAGGAAAGTATCTTATCGTATATACTTCACTCACGTTTTCTGCAAGGAATAAGACTGGATTTATTGTGTTGCTAGAGTTTTTTATCAACTTACCCCTCCCTCTTTATCTTGAAATTTTTGCAAAAACTGTGAATCATTTCGCAAAATAAGTATTTCAATAAACCATTTGCTTCATCAAATTCTTCTTTACTATAAAACTAGATCACTCTGTATTATTCTATTAGAAAAACAATTTTAAATTCTCTTTCTATTTTCCAATTAGGTTACTAAAGACAACCATGGCAATCTTCTTGATAAAAAAGTGAATGAAGAGAGAAATTAAAGCCCAGTTTTGAACAAAACATTCAATGTAGCATAATAACATTCATTTATTTATTATTTTCAGTTCAAGTTCATCAAGTTCTGATGATGATAAGAAATACAAAGACTTATTGACTGAACCTACATACTTGCGAGACCAAGGAACGAATACTGATTATACTCTCAGAAGTTCAAAGCGAAGTTCATTTATTCGTCATGAACCAGAACCGAGACCAGAGTGGAAAAAATATTGGCCGCAAACACCTCAACCCAGGTTTCATCATATTCATCCAAGCAGACGAACCGTGAGTTTTATTTCCTGGTTTAATGCTATTTTCTGAATAAAATTTATATCGGTATCCAATTTAGTCATAGCTGAAGTCATTCTTTTTCTACACCACAAACTGTTATCAAATGCCCTGATCGAATGACTGAGAAATGCAAATGAATAAGTTTTGAATCAACTAACTTTTCAGAATTTGTCTTTCAGTGCATATCGTATAACACTTTTCATCGTAATCACTAGGAAAGGCATGTAACCTTCAAAATTTCTGGAGTGAAAATGCTGTAGAAAATAAATTTTTTTTTTGTGCAACTTTCAATCAGATATTAGAACATTGAGCGTTGCTACTTGATAACCCGCTTTTTTTCCCTACGACTTCCCTCCCCCAGTTTAACCGTGTGACCTTGAAGCCTTTTCACTCCCTAAAGATAAATGTGAAATTCTTACCCTATATATGTCAAGCCAATGTATTATGTATATTTCTGTGCCAAACACTTTGAAATTTTGATACATCTTACAATATTTACCACTTGAATCAAATCTGTTAAAATCATAAAACAGATAATCATAGTTCTTGTTTTTCCTCATATTCTATTTTGAACATCCTTGTTAGTTCCTATTAAAGTGTTAATATTCATTCACAACTATCGTTTCATACAGTGGGCAACTGAGTATGATTCTGAATATCAACCAGCACATGTTAGAGGTATAGAACGAGATTATGCAAGATCAATGGACATTGCTGACTGTAAAAGGTTACTTATCATCCTTGCTTTGTGTTAAATATGATTTATATGAAGGGAATATTTTTATATTTCACTATACATCAGATTAGCTGGAGCATCATCTATTGTCACCCATGTTTGAATTATGTTATTCACTCGCTTTATGATTGTCTACACTTACTTTAAAGCCTTAAATACTGATTTGGCTTCTGTTTAATATTATAATTTCTGAAAATATTTTTCTTCTTCAAATATTTGTTTGTCACAGATTGAAAACTCTAATGAGAATTCGATCAGATCTTGACAAACAAAGGAAATACGAAGAACAAATTCAAAGAACTATCGATGCTAAATCTAAAATAAGTCAGGTGATTACTTGATTATTTTAAATTTCTAATTGTATGAAAACGCGCATTATATTGACCAGCAGCATGAAACCATTCCATCGAAATACAGAAAAGGTAATTAACACTCGACTTTTTTGACTGATATACCAAAAAAAACAGTGCCTTGAAAATATTATGAGAGCTCACAATTTATACTTTCAACTTGAGTTCGTGTCGTAGAGATTAATATGATTTTAGTCGGTGAGATGAATCTGTAATTATCGGCATATGTAATCTGCGGCATCTACACATATGAAGTTACCGCACTCAAGACATGATATGTTATTATTACACACAAAAATTCTAGAGAAATCTTGACATAAAGGAAACTGATGAATATAATCTTTATTGATATTCCCCCCACTCAGGCATTCCGTGGTAAATTTTATGAGAAAGAAATGGATCACTTGAACAGAAGAAATCTTCATCAACAGTGGCTGCAACAAAGAAGAAATCAATATGAATCAGCTCATGCAGTATTAAACAGAGCAGAAGAAAATCAAGAAAAACTGAGACAAGTATATATAGATAAATAGTTTTTTAGATAATGTATAGATTGAATTGTTTTAGTTGAAACAAAAACATGGTAACAAAATTTAGTTTTATCTTCCCAAACATCAACCAAATTTTTGCCCTTATATGGCATTCTAAGCCTTAACTAAAGAATGCTTTTCAACTTTCAATTTATCCAATTCAAGATCGACATCACTTAAAAATATAGTTGAGGGGAATTTAGAATGGCTCTAGGTCAGGGCTACTCAACTATTTTCACCAAAGGCCCGTTTACAAAACCTCTAAATTACTGGGGTCCGGACATTTCAGGAAATTATTTAATTAAATAAACAAATGTGTTATTAAATTACATACAAGAGCAATGGCTCACAGATATGGACACAAATGTCGCACATCGGTACTAGTACGACAAACTGTATAGCCGTGTATGTAAATAGCATAAAAATCATCAAAAGCTATAAAACAATGCTTATGCTGCAGATGCGGTCCATATTGAATGGTCGAAAGGTCCGGATTCGAACCGCGGTCCGCCAGTTGAGTAGCTCTAGACCAGTGGTTTCCAAACTTTTTGTACCATCACCCCCCTACAGTAGTTTATACAAGTTCATTGCCCCCCGGCACTGCGAAAAAAATGTAAAGTCTGAAACGAATATATTACAGACCGAATAACGAGATAAATCATAGTTTATGGTATTTTTTAATAAGATGGATGAGTTCTAATCTAAAATTACCCTGTTTACTGATGAAAAGGCGATTTTGTCGTTTTGATAGCAATAGTAGCACAGCTGAAAACCCCTCATCATATTAGCGGTCGGAAATGAAAGAATCTAGGGTTCTACTTCCTCAAAAACCGCCGTGTACTCTTGCCTTATAGCATTCAACTCCCTAAATTCACCCCATTTTACATTTAGGGTTGCTAATCTTTTGTGGGTCGCATATAATTTTTGAAAGTTAAAAACGGAACAGTGGGCAAAAACCGTGACAATTCGTGAACTCAACTCAGTCGTCTTATTAAAAAATTATTATAATGACATTTAATGTGACACTATTTTGTTGCTGCATCACGCTTGATAGCTTTACGAAGCCAAGATTGGCAGATTTTCTAAATGGGCATCACTAATCCTAGTTCTAGCTTGTTCTTTGTAATCACTGGGATACGGAAACGGCCGTATCTTACTGCGAAGACGAGTCCAGCAATCCTTTCGCGTGATAATCACCTAGGTGATTCAAACATACGAAAGCACGCAGAGTACAGTAATCAAGTGCATGATGCACCGAACAAAAACAGTGTTCTAGAAATCACCCCCTTCGACTTTTTCGCCCCCCTCTGTAGCGTTATCGCCCACCGGGGGGCAATATCGCCCACTTTGGGAATCACTGCTCTAGACTACTATGCAATATTTTCTGTATGATATAAATCAATGAAACAGCACAGGTTTAGCAGTTTACCTATTTATGTAAACATCTATCAGAATACAGACATGGATTATATTTGATCCAACTTTGAATGCATTGAAAAGTTGTGTTTAATTTAGAGACATGTGTGTAATTATACTTTTTTCTTATAATGCTGGTGTTATCATTCTATGGTGTTTCATGCCTTGTCTCTTTGTTGATCTGTAAAATCATTTTCTATTCTAGCTTGATCGTCAGGTACGTCAAATGGCACATTACCATGACACTGCAAGAAATGCAAACTATGAAGCAGCAGTTGGTGCTAAGAAAAAAACAGCAATGGCAAATAGAAGAGCAAGATTGTTGGATATTGAATCACGCCGTTATTAATAATTTCAAATGCGAAGTTTTGTAATTTTAATCGTCAAGCAATGAGAATACTGCCGCGTGAATTTGCCACTGCACAGTTCACTGATGAGCATTACAGTTTATATTTCCAAAATTGAGAAATTAAGGTCATGTATCACTCATAGATTAATCCTGCATTGAAATGCATACATGAACTCATATGCACTTAAATAAAATTCATGGTGCTGCCAACAGGACCTGTTAGATAATATTATGTTTCTGCCTGAAAATATTTTTCAAGTTTAATATGGATACCATTATAATCTTTTAGTTTTAGAATCAAATTTCATATTTAACATTGGGTGATCAATAATAATGATAGATTGAGAAGCAAAATATTTGTTATTATGGCATATCAAATTAAACAAAGTGTGTTTGAAAAATGATTCTTTACTTCTTACATATTCAAAGTACCTACCTATGTATTTTCCTTTTTTTGCCTAAATTTGTTTTATGAGAAGGATTGAAACTAGTGTAGCCAATCAATAGTATTCCTAAATTAATTTCTATCTTTATCATTTTTTTCAGTAATTGAATCTTATAATCAACTTGTAGAGTAAATTGATCAGGAAGATTTAAAACCAAAGAGTTCTATCTTGATCCAAGCCTAAAACTTAATCAGTGAAGTAACCCATTGTTTAATGAAATATTATCTTTTTTCAATTGTTATATTTCAGTAAAATATACATATTGTGTGGATTTTGATCCTTGAATGTTAAAAAGTACATTTTTGTACAAATATACATTCAGCTGCTCCATATTTTTATACAATAATTTGGTATCATAAAAAATGATGGGCTTTTGTTCAAACTTACCATATTCATGAGACAACTCACCAAAATACGCTTATTATTCTTTGTTATAGCTCTCACTAAGTGAAGACGGAACTCCTACTCTAGTGCTCACAATATTATCTATAATTTTACTATTCCATGTATCTATTGTAGAATCATGTACTTAGCATTACTTTGACATACCACTGTATTTTTGTGACATTTTATTAGTAATCTGTAACAGTTTCTGATTTTCTTTTGTTATTGCACCGAATTTTACAATTAGCACAATTTTATGACTTGATCGAGCAATATATATTTGAAAAATATCATACGAGTACTCTGTAAATGTGTATGTAAAATATGGAAATCTATCATTTGTAGTATGACTCATGCTCTTGCATTGGCCTAACTAAGTCTCGAAAATTAACTTTAAGCCACATATGTCATGTGGATAGACTTGATACTTAGAATCCCATGACTAAATTGGACTAGACTTTGTGCAATTTCTGAGATTCAATTTCTTTTAGCAAGATTGCAGAGTTGGTGACTTGGTCATATTATGGCTTACACCTTTGAGTTGACCATGAATATGTGACCCATAAAGACCCATTCAATCAGCTGAATACAAGATTTCTTTTAGGAATGAAAGATTTTTTGAATCCTGAGCATAAGAATTAAAAGTGAAATCCAAGGAAAGAAATAGACAGATTTGAATTATTCAGCTGATCACTCAAGATCAATCCAAAAGAATTTGTCAGATGTAATCAGACATTTTAGGCAGACAGCACATACATGATTGCATTGTACAATTTCAATATTGAGAAAATGTTTGCAAACTGATTTCAATATCTTAACTCTGTATGACATTAGTTAGATTCACAAACAAATTGGTGCGACATACTTGAGATCTTTTCAGTATGCATATCGACTTATGCTATGAAAAGTGATCTAAATAAGTATTAGGACAACAAATTTATATGTTTGTCATAACAAAGAATGGAACATATAAAATAGAGATGCGATTCTTCCAATAAAACATTTATATAAAAATTTCAAGAACATTCCAATGGCACATGATTTTATAAAAAATAAATAATTGCTTGAAACATACTCTTGACTAGAGCATCACATACACAGAAATACTTGTAAAGCATGATAAATCTGAATTGGCAAAAAAAAATATTATTAACTTTGATAACAAATGAAAAATTTACATTACAACTCATTATGAAAATATTTTTAAAGTTTTATGATTTGCTCTCAGTGATTTAACAGATACACGTTTACAGCCATGTAAATGTAGGCAGTTCAATTTGTAACAGAAGCTTATTAATTTCTTGACGCTATCTTCAGTGATATTATTACAAAAACTAAGTTTCAAAACTTCTAGAGAATCATAACAATTTTCTGTTAAAGTTATTATGCTGACATACGTAATAGATGTGCTGCTCAAATTTAATAACACAAGATTTGAGAATCCAGTAGCCAAAGTTGATATTCCTGCATCAGTCACGTTGGAACATCCTGATATATCTAAATCTTTTATTTTTGGAAGCTCAAAGGCGAGATCGGATAGACCTGTATCAGTAATGAGAGCACAGTTGGCTAAAACTAACTTAGACAAAGATTTACAGTGTTTTGATATCACAGTGAGACATTCATCATTAACTGACTTCAGGCCACGAAGATCAAGCTCTTTCACGTTGAATACAAATTTGGCAAGTGTTTGTACACATTCAGATGTTGCTTTTGCACATAAGCCTATTTCAAGTGTTTTAACATTGCAGCAGTTTTCAGCAATTGCTAGAAAGCTCTTACACGTTAATGCAAAACAACCATTCACTTTCAACTTTTGTAATGAATTTCCAATTTTCTTCACTAAAGGAATGAAAGATTCATCACTAATGAAGCAGTTTCCACTGATATCCAAATTTATGAGAGAAACAAGAGATGCAAGTGCACTGACACCATTATCTGTGGTATTACTCCAAGGCACTGAAATGCTTTCAACTTTGTTACAATGAGATGATGCATGAAGCAGAATATTATCACCAAACAACGACTCATGCATACATTCACTCACATGAAGATGTCCTAAAGAAGTTTTGCAATTTTGAAAGAAGTTACGAAGAACTTTTGCGCTCAGGCCTTTTGCAGAGCACCTGTGAAAATGAATATGCCTCGGCTTTACGCTTTGAAACCTTTCAAAAAGTTCAGAACTAAGTTCCATATCACTTGCTTCTACTCTATGCCATAAACATGAATCTTTGGTCAAATTGTAAAACCTATGATTTGTGAGAGATAGTTGCATTAAATCACTTTTTGATAAATAAGAAAAAATATTCAAAATCATTTCATCAGGTAATAAATCCCAAACACAGGAAAATTTTGAAATTTTTGGCACCGAATAGTTAGTTTTATACAGATTTAACTTATTTCTACCAGGACACTGTTGTTGGAAACTGGTTTCTGGAATGAAAAAATTTTCTTTTGAAGAATCGAAAAAAGTTGGTTTTTCCCAGTTATCTGTTGCAAAGTTTAATGGCTTTTCATTCTCAACTTCCTTTTTATAACAAAATAATGTAGGGCCAATTGTATCTTCAATACTTTTATCAGAATCAGAGGACGTTTTATTATAAGGTTGGTGTCGTTGATCTTTTTCTTTTAGAGTTTCTTGTGGTAATAAATCATCTCCAGTGTGCAACAGATGATCGAGAAAACTGGTATCAATACCATTAGAATGTTGTCGATCAACAATCTGAGAACTGAATTCATTCTCATTACCTAATGACATCATGGGGGGACTTGATGCAGAAGAAGTGAAAAAATTACCACCATTCTGAAGATTATTTCCCAAATTCATATTTTGTTTGTCAATTTCATATTTTAATTCACTATTTCCACTACTTCCTATAGGATTTTTGTTATCAGATGGTAACAAATTCATTGAGACTGATAAAACAAGATCATTTTCTTCCTCAACACTGGAATTTTCATTCTCAGATAACAACACATCAAAGAGGTGTTGTTGTTCAGTTTTATCATTATCAATATGATGTAAACTCTCATAATCACCAGATTTATTACAACTGCTTACGGACAACAATCCAATATCATCCACAATTTCATAATCAGTTGGTTCAGCTATTTTCAACAATTCTTTGTCCCGCTGTAAAAGTTCATCTGTATTTTTTAAATACTGTTTGACATATGGTATTTTATCATCATCATCAGTTAGATATTGTGAAGCTCCCCAAATATCATCAGTCAGTACTTCACTGTGTCTTGTTGATTGCTTTTTCATAACAACTGGCTCTTCTTGTGCATCGGGAATAGCATCATTAACGTCTGAAAATCGATTACAAAAGGATATGAACAATGTACCCGAATGTTTAATTGTATATCGCTCAAAATTTTTTTCATTATTCAAACCTAATGTAATTTTTTTCGAGTTTGGGAAACCAATGAAAATTAATGCAAGTGAATTATAATCTTAGTTATATCTGTTGACCGACGACCGTTGGGAAATTTTACTGTTACACAAGCTTTATTCGAAGATGCTTCTTGCTAGTCTACATCAACTTTTTAATATGTAGTTTCTTTTCTCATGTTTTGGACTTTTTAAAGGTTTTGCTCACCCTCCAGAATTCTCCATTTTAAATTTGTGTATATCATAGAGTATTCAAATAAACTATCTAAATATCTATCTATCTATCTAAGTAGCCCATTAATTCATGCATTACCACACCCATTACTCTGTTGGTTGATTTAATAACACTGTTAACATTTTTTTAATTACTATTTCTGAATTTTAGTTTCATTGATGCATTCCTGTATTTGCTTGGTCTCACATCATTTATGGAAAAAATTCCAATGAATAAAATGAAAAATCTAAAATCTGACCTGGTGTCACTGCTGGAAAGTCCCGGTTCCTGTGACGATTTTCCATAACAAATTGTGCCATTTGATTGGCCTCTCGCAACTTTTCAAGCTCTTCATAAACCGAAGCAACGTGGTCTAGATGTGATGCGATTTCCATTATAATGTTTTTTCTGATTTTAGAGTACGAGACAGTGGAAGTGGCGAATACCCTCAATTATAAAGCCATCCTGGCATTAGACTGGCAGTCAGTCGCATAGTAAATTGTGATGATCAAAACCATGGCAACCGGTGTCGCGGATAGGGTCATCAAGTAACCTTTGACACCAAATAATTTTATACATACCGTGTTTCCCCCAAAATAAGACTTAAATATTTTCGGGTAAACACATTAGGTAGAACTAAACAGATTTTTACTTAAAAACCATTAATTATTTATTTTATTAGTAAGGCACCAAGACTGTTTCGAAAATTATCATATAGAACATATTATTGGACACGTTAGTGGACATAACGATCGTTTCAATATCACGTTGTTGTTGTTGTTTTTTGTCGTCATTATCATTAAAAAATCGTTTTTTTTCTTCGAATACTTTTTCGGTGGTTGATGATTGATTTTTTTGCCAGAAGGCTATTACTTTTATTCATTTCTAAATTTTGTATGAAATCTGATATTTCATCCAAAATTTTGCTGTATTATTTTATCCATGGGAACACTGGTTGCCCGGTTTGTTTCTATAAATACCTGCTACGCGAAACTCGGAAATTTTTTGAAGGTACCGGTAGCGTCAAAGGTAAGGACTGCTTCGCTCTAGTTGTCGTGTCCATATATTTGAGCATTGCTCTCTTGTATTATATTTGCATATATGCTCATTAGGTCAAGTTAAGTCGTGCATTTAATACTGGCGCAAGTACATTTACACTCACATACATTAGCACACATGGACTGCACCCGAGCATTTGCACCTGCGTTATTTTCCATGCACGGGCATTGGCAGCCATACTCGCATATATAGATTGCGGCGGCGAAAGTTTGCAAACCCTTCGACATTTGTAGCCACACACATTTGCACCCACATACATTTGCACCCACGAACTTTGCACTCTGTAAACTTGCACCAACGGACATTTGCATCCACATTCATTTATACCAATGCTGATTTGCACCAACAGACGTTTGCACACACCGAAATTTTCTCGCGGACATGTGTACCCAAGGATATCTGCACCCGCGATTAGGATAAGGAAATAGTTATTAGCAACGCACGGCACTGTTCTATAGCGGTTTGAATTCATCTGAATATGAATGGGTCTACCAGACTGGTTTACGGTACACTAATACAAGTTCTGAATTGTTCCGAGATTGCCGCGTTCATTCGATGTTCTAAAAACTCGAGTATGCTACATGCCAGTGCACATGCACAACTCTTATGATTCCTACCAAATGATCCGATCTTTCCTACAAGTCGGCTTGAGCAACTGACATTTTGTATAAATTACCAAGCGTATTTAATCTTGCTTTGAAAGCGTCTGGTCCGTTAACCTTTTATTCACAACACTCTTCTACTATTGATTAGTATCAATAACAATAAATTAAAACATTCAATAAATAACAAGACTTTACATAAAACACTGTATTTGACAATTTATTTTATATATTGTGACTGAATTCATAACTGATCTATGAGTATTTTGTACATGCATATAAAGTTTTATACAGTATATATGTGACGGATTACTCACCTAGCTGAATATATTTGTTTGGTCATAACCATCTTCTCTTCAATTTATAACCAGCAGTTGTATGCAACAATATACCAAATTAGGAAGATATGTAAGTAAGTGTGTATTTCGATTTTCTGTTACAACAAAACAATGAAGCAATACATGGCAAAACAAACAAATATACGGAAAATTGGGAAAGTGAGCAAAATCTAAAAAAAGATTTAGGACGTGCTGATGCACGTGCCGTGCCCACTTACCCCAAACAGTAAACAACACATTGGAGTAAATTAAAAAAAAGACACGAAAGATAATTCAGGCTTAAATACTTGGGTGCGAGAGTGAAGTTTGAACATATACTGCAATTTCTACTATATATATCTAAACAAGAAAATAACGAGATATGTAGAATACAACAAAGAAACAAGTGGTGCGCAATATGTGATAATTAATATGACTCTGAATGCATAACAAACGGAGTGAAATATAACAAGAGCATTCCACTTCATGGGGTTCCAACTTCAGTTTTAATCAATATCCATATGCTTTGTGAACTTGTACTGTGTAAGTGTAACTGTGTAAGCAGTCTGTTTTATGGAATCCATCATCAAATATGGTTACATCTGACGTTTGTATGTTATCCTCAGCTTCGATTATTTTTCCATGATGAACTCCATGCAGGCCAGCATGATCTGATGCGAACTGATCCATATCGTATCCTTACTGTATCTCAGGGGTGATCAACACGTCGATCGCGATCGACCGGTCGATCACCTTGAGCATTCGATTGCGTCTGATGGTGAGTGAATTTTTATGAAATACCCCAAAAATGCAAATGCACAAATTCAAGTTTTTCCCCTGCCAAGGTTCAAAAATGAAGTGCCGAATATGGCGTGTCTAGACTGACAAACGATCCTATATTAAGTTCCGCAGTATGCGAAAGGTATTGCCTCACTCCAAATGTAGTGTGATAAATTTCATTCGCTATGGTAGCAGTGGCATGAAATGCCCAATTTGTTATAATTCTAAGCAAGCGAAGAATCGCGTTTTGGAGGAAATTGTAAATCAGATACTGAAGTTTAAGCAGTCATGTAACATTCATGGTTTGAGAATATTTATTTTTTGCTATTCAGATAATACATGAATACTTGGCAAGGTTTCTTAAGGAATTTGCAACACTTACGACTAAAAAGTAGGCAGGTCATATATATATATCTGAATTTTATGATTTGAATAAAACTTAAATAAATGATGAAACACTTACTTCGGGTACAATTAAAAAATCAAATTAACAACTTAAATGGAACAATAAAATACAAATTTTGTGTCGATTTCATTAACAATGCGCCCACGAAGCCGAGTTTATTGGCAGTGGTGAAGTTTTTCGTATGTGTGCGTGCAGTTATCTGCGTATTCAGTATCCATTCGTTTTTGTGTATGACTTTATAACCGATCAGCCGATCGCGAGCTATATTGAAGATTTTAGTCGGTCGCGGTCAAAAGCAGGTTGGCCAACCCTGCTGTATCTGACTAGAACATATTGTAATTTCGTGTTTCTCATGATTTTGTTTTGTTTTTATGAGTGCCCATGCACAGAATTTACCGGCATCGTTTTGATTCAAGTTTGTCTGTATCTTCTCAGAAGGATCTATGTTTGTCCGGTTTTCCAAGTTTTAGTCCACAAATTCCTTATTTCAGTATTCCAGAGTCCAATATCACGTTCGCCGCAAAAGAATAGAAGAAGAATAAGTAGGTGATCCCGCAAAACCCAATCGATAACATTCAGTGGATTTTTTTAGTTTGCCTCGGTGCCGATGTCAAAATAGTTTGTTTTAATTTTATTATCATTTGAAGAAAAAGCATGTGTTCATGGAATAAAATAGTTGGAGTATGCATTTTACAGTAGTGTTGAACAATGTGGTATGAATACAAGCTTTCCAATAGGATTTACTTCGAAATTAATATAAACATGCGTCAATAAAATCCAAAATTTCATAAATTTTGTAATTTTTATTTTCTACCTCAGTTATCAAAAATTTAGAGGTAGTTAATTTCACCTTATATTCCGGCTAAAGAAAAATAGTTTGAAAGTCTGTAAACGCCGAGCCGAGTAATATGATATATTCTTTGAATATGGCCTATAGTGGTGGAATTATACACTCGAATGCATAGGCTAGCAACATATTTATTATGACACGTGTACGATTCTATAAGCTTAATATTTTGAATTTATGATTGAAACAAATATGCTTTATTGTCTTAAGATCAACTAAGGTGCAATATTTCTTCTTAACTACAATTTACTTCATTCGTGAAATATTGATATGCCAACACAAACGGCAGGTGATGGGCGTATTCTTGAATAATATAATATTCATGAATTAAGTTGGTTGTTATGAATATAAAATCGAAAAAATAAATAAGTATAGTGTCGGCTTTTTGTGTTAACATAAGAGTATAATAAAAATATTTCGAAATGGTAATCATTTTTATGTCTCTTTATCATTTCTGTCTTTAAAATTATTTGGAAGTTATTTTGAAATTGATGTACATACATGAGTGTGGATTTCTGGCGAAAGCTATGAGAAATCCTAAATATGCACGTGATCAAGTATAAAAGAATGAAGCGGTAAATCAGTAGAACCTGTTGGTAAAAAAAATGGCGAAGAAAATAATATTTGATGGAGAACCGGCCTAACAACAAAAATATATATGATAATAAAAAACTAGTATCAAATCACATAAAAAGTGTAAAAGATAATTTCTGACTATAACTGACCAGTTATTTCGACTACACGACCAAAAAATTTAAGTTTCAACTTAAATCCGTTATTTAGCAGAAAGTAATTTTATTTTAATATTTTCGTTGTGACAAGTTATTTTTGTATTTTCATTTCATATGTGAACTATAAAAATTACATATTTTGCATACCGCTGTAAAAAATTGAATAAAATCACTTCGACCAGATGTAAATCAATATTAAAATAATCAAAATCTACTTACAAATTTATTTGGAATCTTTCAGGTAATTGTACCAGTTTATCACCACGCTTGGTATTTTTTAAGTGTAAAAAAAGAAATACCACAAAAATGTGACTAGCGTAATTCACCTGCCCACGGGGTGTACGACAAATAAACAGGAGACTCGCGAAGATAGATGATAAGTTTGATATGTATTTATGTCAAAAAAATCATATTAATACATTCAGTTTTGCAGTAATTGTTAAAATATATCACACATACAAGAACGGTATTGGTATCAAATATAACAGACAAAAAAAATTTGCTGTAGGTATTCCAGTACGTGACTTGTAGGATGAATTACCTTAAAATTGCCTTAAAGTTCAACATCGCTCTGGTTCGAAAGCTTATTACCTCTGAGGCGTATAGTTTATGTCTGGTATAAATAATATTGTTTCTATCGTGCGCCATTTTTGTAAATAGATAATCATTGCTTCGTAAAGATTAATCGCTAAATACAGCTTTTAAGATACAATGCATTTTTAAGCCAGCTTTAGTATGTATTGTTGTACACTTTGTTGTCAAAAATGATACATAGTCGTGGATAAACAAAAAGGTCGTGCGCTTTGTACCATTTTCATTCTTTCCATATTTAGTTGGAGATAGTTGTATTGTGTTCAGAATTCAATCACATTTCGCAGATATGATGTTTGTTACATTCACAAATCATTGTGAGATAATTTATCATAGAAAATTCATTATTAACGTCGTCTCGTTTGAACTTGGTTTAAACAAACTTGCATAAACTACCTAATTTCTCGAAACTGTATGATCATGTTGGAAGGTGGCTTCAAGCTCAGCACTCAATGAATTCAACTTCACAAGAACTTTTGGTTCCTCGTACGGCATGTAGCCACACTTATGCAGAATGGCTCAAGGATGAACTGAATCAATATAATGTTCAATGCACAAACTTCTTTGAGTAATTTTGTCCTGCGTTTGTTGCAGATATATTGCGCCTCACACATGTATATATTTTTTCTGAATTCGGTGCGCTTGTTTAATTAAACGAATGCGGATTGTAGCTTGCGATTTTTATTATTCGTACAAGTTCCGGAACATTTCTACAATATAGTGTTTTTTATGAATACAAAAACGCAATTTTCAAATGTTCGAAGTAACCAAAAAAAGAATACCTTCTACCGAATTCGAATATAGATTATTGCTGATTAAATAATAAATGTATATCAAACAACATTTTACTGGATTATACAAAAAAAACATGAAAAGACAAAGGACAATTGTTTGAAATAAGCGTCCTAACTTTTACACTATTTTTTAAGGAAAGCACGCAAAATAGTAACATATTTGTTATCTGAGATTGAACCCGAGATACGTAGAAAATGAATGATGGACACCATTTGCTTGGTGATCAGGTAATACTTTCTTTCTGGAATACTTTCTCAAAATCTGACGTGCTTTCGCATCATGGGTCGTGGTTGATTTATACATGACGGATTCGATATACGCTCAAGTAGCCTAGTATGTCACAATTTTTTTAGCCTGCAAATAAATTTAAATTTTACATATATTAAACCAAATATCTTGAGGTCTTTCTTTTAGTAAGAATAAATAAATCGATATTGAAAAAAAGACTTTTTGATATTCGTTACGAGGACATGCTGACGAAACACTTAATATACTTATTGCAATTCACTAAAAATGCACCAAGGCTCCTATTGAATAAAATGGAATTCAGCATCTTTCCAATATACGTGATAAACAGAAATGGTGGGGTGTAATTGCCAAGGTGCCATGTTGTTAGAATAAAGCGACTCTCTCTTTTCAATTTATAGAAAAAACGGTAATTCACACACGATCGACACGCGCCTTGCTCGCTTTTCGTTCGTCTCACCCGCAGATGTTATCTGGTCGCCTCCAGTTACGACACAAGTGATTTACATCTATTGTGTTGTGCGTAGTTTGTTGACACTTTTTGTGTCTTGCGAGATATTTTATGAATATAGACATGACTCATAAAAACGTGGTTGCCTCGGATAGTTTTAAATAACATCGTTAATTTTTTCGCATTTGTACAAAATACCTCTGGCAAATTATAACATTCAATGATTTGTATTTTATCTGAAATAAATTTGCAAGAAGTGCCAAATAATGATTGTCCAACAAAAACCACATATTGTCAGAAAAAAATCTCATCAAAATGAAATGCTAGAAGAATTTTTATCAGAATTAGTAATCTGATATAATATTTTATCACAAATTTTGTGGACAATTCAAAGCCGAAAATTTTTTCTAAAAATTATAAAAATAATAAAATTTTTCAAATATTTTTTTATGAACAATTTTTGAATATAATTTGATTCTATTTATTTGTAATATCAAATGAATGCACAACTTTGGCAATGGATGCCCTAAGAATGTTCCAGATAAAGCTATATGCGTAAAGTTTTAGGAGGTATTTTATGTACACTATCATAGTCGAATGATCTAATTTGAAACATCAAAGTTATTGTTGTTAGGAATTCAAAACCAATTCTTTGTCGGGACGGACGATTAGAAGTTTAAAACTTTCTCATTCTGGCAAAAATATTATTTAAGTCATCATTTAAACATTTGAGCCTTTTCTCAAATAACGGTGCAATATTTTTGCATTTTTATGCCAAATAACACTTATTGTCACTCAATAAGTGTATTTCACAGAACTTATATATTTGTGGAAATTCCAATGAAATAGGCAAAAGACTACCACGCATATATATCGTTAATTATTACACAATTCCAAGGAACAATCTGAATCTTTTGTTTGCGTAGTCCCTCTTTGTCAGCCTTTGCGCTAATAAAAATACCACTGGGGAAAGATATCATTCTTATTTTTAGTTGTTTTGTGGGATATTCAAAAAACGATAGTAACCGTGATTTGTATAATAAAATAAAATAAAATTTAGTACACCATTTGGTGTCCTTTTCATTCATGGTGGTGCTTAATTTTGTTGTTACTTTGTAAATTAAATATACTTTACATGAAATTTAAATCAAAAGTGCATCATTATCTAGCAATATACTTTTATTGCTTTTTATTGAACTTTCGGTCATGAATATCATACCGTATGAAATAGGGACGTTAATTTATATTTATGATCAAGACACATATACCGTCGGTCAAAAGTAATATATGTCAGTCTGTGTAATTCTTTTTTGGTTTGGTTTTCTGGTCTTGGTCGGAGTTGAGATCTGCAGCATAAATATTTTTTAAATGAAAATTTGTGGAACAAAGATGGGAAGCATATAGGTGAAATGTGGTGTTAATTTGTTCCCTATTTGACTGAGATGACCACTAAATTACCCTATACCGGTGATTTTCGCGATAGCGATTCCGAGAAAATTCAGTCATTTTAAATGTTCTCGCCACGATGACAAATGAAGATAGGTAATAAGGCAATTCAGAGCTTGTCAAAACGAACATTTGTCCCAATATTGCCGTTGAAATATTTTTATTGCAATAATAATGCAATTTCATCTCACGTTACCAGAAATAATGATTTGTAAGTAGAAATTATGGATCCAAATTATTCTCAGGAAATGAAGAGGTCTGGATGCATCTAATGCCACGTATGACAAACGAAAATGCTTGATAATTTTTGTAATATTAGAGTATGGTAAAATCATATTTCCAAACTTAATAAAACATAAATTGATGACGTCCGAGGGCGATTGTGGTGTCCATCGAGTCGATATCATGGACTAAGTTCGAATTTGGGCTTCGAATTTTAATATTCTGTTCGAATAATCTGAATCATGTGCTTGCCCATTCATCGTTCAATCTTACACAATTATTAAGCAAGATAACAGACAAAAGAAAAATGATTTCCACAGACACGCCGTTCATTTCATTACTTAGGTCAGAACAAATATTATACAGAACGCCATTGGTTCTGTAATTTGGGACAATTTGACGGTTATAGATAATTCAATTCAGCCATTTACTTGCGGTTAAAGGTCGTAATAAGGTAGATTATGAGTGACCGATTACTGGATATCGTATTCCATCCAAATCACTAAGAAAATACAATTTTAGTCTTACTACAAGCAAAATTACTGCCCCCGTAAAATGACCTTTTCAGCAAAACAAGCCTTTGACCACGACTTGCTGATATCGACTCTGACGCGAATCACCACAAAATATAGAACTGGTTAACAGTTTATGTATGGACAAAATATTCGTAGGTATCGCCTGTATTTATTCTAGTTTCAATGTTAATATATCAGGTATTACGATTTAATTCCATATTTATTCGTTGTATTTATCTTTCCCTCCTGACCTCTGTGAAGCCACTCGAGTTTTGGACAAACATTGATATTTTTTTTATTTGATTTTGAATTCGTGTCAAAGCATAAAGGTTATTTTGTTTCTTTGGTTGCCATGATTACAACACTGACTGGTTGATCATAATTTAGAAGAAGCCAAAAACGGACGTATCACAGTTTTTGAGAACTAGTTGGGAGCTCGGTTTCGCATCGGCGATGCCGACCTTGCGCTAATTGGTACAATAACACACTTATTTATTGGAGAGCTGTTTGGCACTTTTGAAAGAATACTCAAAACAAGGCCACACGCTTTCGTGTGACTGGAAATCATCTGAAATTAAAGTCAATAGCGAGTGCTGAAATGCTAGCAGTCACTGTAGGAATTATTTATAAATTATTTGATTAAATTATTTATGCACGGAGTTTTATGCTAGTGCAATCAATCTATTACTTTGGCTTTGACAATATCCTTATAACGCACGTGGCAGTGTTGACAATACCCACTGGTAACGACGAGCTTCCTATTCGATGGAAGTAATTTCAAGTTGAGAATAATATATTCAACATCCAAAATAGTTTATAAATTTATGTCGTGCTCATGGTTGTGATAGCTGTAGTTTGTGAATGAGGACAAATACAAGAGCACAGTTCAGAATATTATTACTAAGTTTGTTTCATTGAATGTCTATCAGAAATAAAAGCAATTTTTTGATCGGAACAAATTTTAGGTCGCGCGAAGTGTTTGAAGTTCCATCATGAGGTATATGATGAATGTACGTCGTAAGATATTATCAATTTTCTGAAGATTCGCTTTCTATGTTTTTCTGTCGTTAATACCTTCGTCGCGGCGGCAACAATGTCCCTGACAAAGGTACAGTAGTAATCGCATTAACGAATGACAAGACCCTATTTACCAAGTGAAAACCTCTTTGTGTTCCCAAATCCAAGTTAAATATTTGGTTAGGAGATATAACGCCTACTAAAATTTTCGTTTCTTCAATATGCCACACAATTGATTTGGCGTGGGGAATAAATAAACTTAGCATTTTAAAGAAGCCATCTCTCGCCCAAATAAGATCTGAAGTAAATACATAGCTTAATTACCCACGCGAACAGGCACGCGCCGTAAGTCAAACGCATTGATGGGCTGGAGGTTATGAAATTTCATCCTATAAATTATTTTTTATTAACCTCGCCTATCTTTTTTCTCTAAGATAGCAAAAATTGGTATGAAGCAGAAAAAATACCATGTATGACTAGGATGTAAATTATGGTTTATATTAAAAGTTCGTTCAAAACACGATGAAAAGGTGAGGAATTTCGTTTGCCTGTTTTATATTTGTTGCTTGCCACTGCTAGAATTTCGTGTCACAGTTAAGCTATATTTTGGTTTTGTTGATACGCACTATCTAAAGAGAGTTGACTCTGGTGTGACTTGAGTGACAGAAAAACTACCTGCTTTGTAAAGACAAAAACATTTCCATTATATACTTTTAAAAATAAGCTTCTTTAGCAACAAAAATTTGTGTTTTAATAAATTATAAACATCTGTGGGCTTGTTGATATTTTAACATCACAACTATGACAATCACTCAAATCGTCATTGGCACGCTTTTGGTCATTTAATACAAAAGAGCTAATGCATATACTTGAATTGAAATGAATATTGAAGAATTGGTCGAATGATTTGCTTTGATATAAAAGTCTGTGTAGAAAGGTATAAATTTTGTGAATGAATCTCTGACGAATAATATCCCTAGTTGTTTAATCATAACGGGCCCTAAATACATCCCTATATATTACTATTCAGCACTTGCTGAATATTCGCCCTAACCTATAGTCATGCTGTTTATCTTCGTACCCTATTTATTTTGTTTGATTGTGGATCAATTGTCTTTAAATACAGTTAATTAGTCACCTTGCAAATTGCTAATTGTCGTATTTACTAGTTAATATGCAAAAACAAATCCACGCGTAACTCATTAATGGGAAATAATTAACGCAACTGAGAGTGGCAGGTGTTTGAATTCCGATTTAAAGTATATTTATTGTTTTTAGTTAATAGGTTGAAACCACGGAGACAAAATAATCTTGTGGTAGCCCATGCCGTTACGAAATTGGTTTTCAAAAGAGTTTCATTATAAACGTAGGCCCTACCTTCTGTCTATATGTTAACCTATCGACTTGGGCTTTATAATCATCTGTTTTTCTAAAATTAGGCCACAGTCTTCAAATATAAACCAATCAGAAAACTCCACACTTTGTCACGCATCAAAATCAAAGAAGTTTTGACACCTTCTATATTAGTTTGGCTCTTTCTTGGCCAAATACTGCATTAACACCAACCATTTTATATAGTCAGAAAGGTGTTCAATTAAGAATATACTAAACATGCACAACAACAATTTCGACGAGATTGCACTGACGATAAAGTTCAGAATTCACGACCACCCTAGCATCAATATATCCTGTGTCGCCATATTTAAGATAAAAACGTGAATTCGGGTCAAAGTCTCGAGTTACTTGAAGATTTCGAAATATGATGCTGTGCTTGGGGCAGCCTTTGTGACATTTTAATCATATTTAACTTATAGTCGCTCACGTAATATTATATTAATATTATGGGATTATCCTGACATTTTACCTTCAATAAAGATAGTTCACTGAATATTTTGGCTTGGTGAAACAACGGGCAACGTGGTTAGGAATTGAAGATACCCAGTAAATATTCATAAAATGAATGATATCAGGGGCTTTTTTGGAATTGAAAGTATTACATGAAGAATTTGAAAATGCCATTCTTTAGCTTATATATATATATATATATATCGATTTTCGGCAATCCAATGATGATAGATAATATTTTGCATGTCGATTGCGTACTCACAATATTTTTACGCATATTGTATATTACGCCAATAACAACCTGTAACTTCAAATATAGCGTGCTTCCGAAATTATGTTGTTACAGTTGTGAATATGAGTGGATGTATGACCACAATCGCCATTTTGAATGTCCTACATCACAATGAGCTATTAGGATGTTAAGGCATAATTAAAACGCAGTTTTGCGTCAAGTTATTCTACACAAGGGATGGATATGCAAAATCTCGTTGATGTTAGTTGCTTTAAACATAACCTGCATGCAGTTGTTTTGGCTCCTACCTTTAAATGTTAACTTATCAATAATTTACTTAAGATGTATTTTAAAGGTATAAATCCAACACCAATGAAATTTTATGTGGCCTTGATGATCAAAGCTGAAACTATTTACTCGAGGAGATGGCATGTAAACAATTTTCCCCGGTCACTAATAATTCATTGACCGACCGATTCATTTTTCACAATGGAGTTATTGAACAGCAAACGGAGTGAAATTAAACCCATATATCAATCTTTAGTATTCAAATATTTAGATATAATGAACGATATAAATATGATATACAAATAACTTGTCCGCTACTCAACTAATAGGACTTGTCGTGGCTCGTAGGTTTTCGACTAAATCATCAATTTCCTAATGCAAATGGTGTTTTGGTTGAAAATCAATTAACTTATATTAAATCCAAGTTCAGGGATGTTATTCGATTAAGGTGATGCAAGACAACTCACTTGATAATTATACACGCCATGCCTCGAAAATGCCTCGAAATGAAGCAATGACATTAATAGAAAGGTGGGCTCCGATTGCACAGACATAACGTCACTGAGATTCATATTTGGAATAGTAATAGCCGCGTTACAGTATATTTTTTGAAATGATATCATGATATGGATCCCGTTGTCACTTGCTATATAATTATGTCGCCATAAAACAATATTTTTTTTGCTTCGAAGTGAAAAATACATGGACACATTACGCACATTAAATATGTGATGTTATCATGCGAAACGAAATGTGATTTTTCATATTTTTCGATATTCGTAATACCAATCTCAAGTTAAAATTAGATAAAGTTGGCATAACGTTAATTTTTCTGCATTTCTAACAGGCACCTAAAACGAGAACAATAAAAACAATAACGAAAATATCCGGATCTTCGTCTGAAAAGACTATTCCTCAATTTTCATACAATTTAGATAGATGATCCAATGCACAAAAAGAAGTACTTTAGTTTACTGATTGAAGAATGTGAATGAATGGCCTTCGCAAGAATTATTATTGTTTGTCATATATCTGTCTAGAGGTAATTATTCTTAGAAAACAATACCAAACCTTGACGACGGTATGTATTGTGTCTTTTATTGTCAGATGCTGAAAATATGCCTGAATTCGTTTATAGGGTGACAAATGTAATTTTTAAATATCATAAAATACTATACATGAATAATGTGTACATTCAACCAAAAATTGTTGGGAAAGGGAATAGATAGAATCTGTATATCTTATACGTCGCCCATTAAGTCTGAAAAGCACTCTCATTTAAATGTGTTATACGTAGATGGAATCAAATGAAGGCTGTTTTACTGGTTCATTTTACAATATCGCATGGATGATTATAAATTTATAAATATGAAATTGCTAAAAAAGATCTTTTTACATATGAAAAATCTAGTTACATATTAGCATTTTTGTTCTAAATATTATGTATATTTGTAGCAAGCTTGAATGACGAAGGTTTCCATTTTGCATAAAAATAAACCTAATTGTTTATTTATTCATAGGTGTGATCAACAATTTTAATGCGACGACAAATTTCATCGAATTATACGTCATTTAATACGTGAGATTACGTAAATCTTTTGATGTTGCGAGGAATTATAGAATTGTCTTCATGTTGCAATGGCCGTGACGACGATGCCAATATGTCACACAATAAAAATAACGGATGTGTGAAAGCTTGTAAAAATAAACGTGGTTATGGTAATAGGTTGATGTTTTAATGGCACATTTAGGATAATTTTCACCTCGGAAAAACAATTTTCACGCTTCGAAGTTGTCAGAGAATGGCATGGGCGCAATTGAGGGCAATGTAGGTTGCAATATGATCCGATAGGAATCACCGAGTGAAATACTAAGTTTTCTCAGTCTGGTATACGAGCGGCGATCAAAAACGCTCCGATATTTACTATACGTTTCATTTCAATGTTTTGCAATATTCAATCTGCAGTAAATAGTATTTGGTCGGCGGGTTTACTTATATTTTTTCAAGTATGGGAAAGAAGATTCAGGATTTCACGTAAATACGATCTAATCGCTTTCGAACTATTTATTATGTTCTTGTATTACTTTTATTAACAATTTTGCTTATTTTTGTACAAAATTTATATATACGCACTTCAAATCAAAATTTGTCCCTTACGTATCCTCTGTTATCATCACAACATTAAGCATCAAAGTATTTGTATTTACCGTAACATATTTGCGGTCAGCGAACAACCAAGAGTTGGGTCAGCGGACTTGTGCGGGCTCCATTCTGAGCGCGCTATCAGAACGTAATCGGTAGCGCGCAGACGTATTGTCGCGACGTTGCATCGCCGGTACAGCCCAATTACAAGTAGCTAAGACAGTAATGAGCAGCAAACGACATTATCGGGAGTTTATCGAATGTAAATTTCATCACCGCTAATGCTTCCTACGTGCTCCCGATCATATTTTTATCCTATTATAGGTATCTTTTCCGCAATCTGTTTTATTTATTAAGTTATGTACAAGATGCGCTTTATTGAGGGCTCTTATGCAGTAATTCTGTTGACTGTCCACGCCATAAAGTCTACGCACCTTATCATCAATCTAACTCGATCAAACTTGGTCTACGTTATTTATCGGTTGTTTCATTCAGATTTAGTTTATTTTGTACTAACAAACACCCGTGTTTGCTTTTCCTCATTCCATTGTAAATATTTGCATACTTGATATTGTCATGTTGCAGTGGCTTCTTTTGCTTGTCTTTTGATTAATTGTCGTCAACGAAATTCTCGCATATCAATGTTGTTTACAATTAATATTACTTACTTAATTTTGGCAACTTTCATACAAAACTGCTAACATACACGATATTTTATTTATTGTGGTTTTAAGCATAAGTGCTTGTTTGTAAAATATCAAATAAATAAATCGAGGGAGGCATTACTAGACTGCGTGTGTGTATAAAGAAATGTTCGCAGTGAATGCGCAAAACACTTGGGACAATGAAATTAATTTTCGGCATGGAAAACTGAGGCCAATAACTTAGGTTGAATGGCTTCATCTAACACTGTGTGGTTTTACATTTACTGATGTCTCGTTAGGAAACTTGGATTGGTTTCAGGAAATTTTAACCGAACGTGAGTGACAAATTCCAAAATTTCTGGCATTTGATTTTTTATCTAGCATAATATAATTGTAGTCATTTTTAAAATAGAAAATACTATATTTCTTGCATTTTACGATCCATTTTCCGCCGTCGAACACGCGCGCTTTGAATTGCCTCAACAAGTTTTGATTTCACGCTCACAAGTATAAAATATTTAATTATCTCTTAATATTATTATTCATGGATGACACCTGGTGAAAATAAACGATAAAATATTTGTCACGGATCCGAGCCAAGAGAAGCTGCCAATTAAACAAGACTTAAATCCGAATCTGATTGCTACATATGTATCTGATATTCATTTTCCAAATGAAGCGAGCTAAGGGGTCGTCTATGACAGTAATTTGCTGCAATAAATTTACCAAATTATTGCCCCGAGTCGACAAGAGGCTGCTGCATCGTTCGATGTGTCTTCTCTTGCTAATTACCCTCTTTTTGTTGTGTGTACATTCCAAATACAACATAGAAATTCAGATGTGTATTTATTCTGAAGAGATATTCTAGGAAATATAAAGGAGCAAATAACCATTTTAACAATTTATCATGAGATAGATTGTTATTTTTCAAAGTCACCTGTGCGTGCCCAATCCTGTTTGTGGATATATTCGTTAATAAAATTCAATGTGTTTGAATGTCTTTTATTGTTTATGGTCAACAAATAAATATGGCAACAAATGGATAATTTGTAATGAATGGACACGGCGGATTTCGCAATGTTCCGGTTAACCGATCAAATCAAATTCTACCGGTATTTTTTTTCAACAGAATAACAAACAAATTTGTTTTGTGTCGTGCTGGTCCAACAAGGTTTTAAACTAAGAAAAGGATTTAAAGTGGCAAATATTTTAGGGCCATCTCCGGTTAATCAAGACTTTGGTTTCTACTGATACATGCATAGATCAACGAATTGGTCAAGCGTCCAACCAGAGCGAATCGATTGCACCTAGAAACAGCATTTCCACACCTCGACCGTGTACGTGAAAATTTATTCTTTTATTTCGCCGACCAAGTGTTTTGTAAATCAACTCTTATCATGAAAATTTGACACCTCCAATAATCAAGCGTGTCCAAAATCGCTAAAATAAGCAAGATATAATATTGAATATTAACCAAACGCGACATTAGCTTCAAAATATATCAGTGAAGCCATATTTATATATGATTTATACTTGAATTTAATTTGATTTCAGTCGTTAAACCTTTCTGCATAATGGATGCTGTTACTTGAAAGTTAACATCAATTTCTGTCCATTACTGCTTTTATCCTGACACATTAAGAATGGCCTTTCAATCATCGAGTCATTGCTGTTTTCTTCGGTCGCTGATCAACCGAAATTAAATCGGAAATGAAGCTGCCGGTTTAAAGTCGAATATAACGTTTCTCTCAAGATCAAGTTTTTCTAAGTCACCAAGTTAATAAAATAAGCAAATCAACATCAACGAAGAAAAAAAATAAGAATATGAAGCACGGGTAGCATATCTATCAATCAATATTATTTGCGGAATTTGATGTAGTTTAATATAACTTTTAAGTATATACCTAAACATTACAAAATGGCTTTGTAGGGTTTCGATTTCTTATAAACGATACAAATAAAGGCAGCAAAATGGTCGTCAAAACTGATTCACTGTCGAAAACAAGGATACACGCTGAGTCAATTTCGAAAAGTGAATTCGGATCTATGGAAATTAGCTTCAGATGTATCAAATACAAAAACGTCGTCGTTTTACATGACATCATTGTTTCTATTATTGCAAAGTATTGTACAAAAACTAGAAGTAAAACTCGATAACATAAGCGCGTCAAATTCTGAAACGTTGTTTCATGGAGACCACCTGCAAATAAAAGTGTCAACCAGTAGCGAGGTAAACTTGTCACATCATATTCCATAAGAACAACACAAACAAAGTCAGTATATTTTTAATCGACGTGGAACAGAAATAAACAATATGAATTAGGAAGGCAAGTAATCTAGTTTTCTCAAGAATTAATGCATGAGAAAATTGAAAAGAATGAGACAACCTGAAAAAGTCAAATAAAATTAAGCTAATGGTTATAATATTCAAGGATCATCGCTTGTACCAATCAAACTTTGGGTGGAAAACCAGAGTGTGTTAGATTTATGGTAGATGTAGACATGAATAAGAAACCGCCCAATCTCAGGGATATCGACGCGCGACCAGCACGCGCCTCGTTTGCGCTGTTCATAATTTTGCGGTTTTGTCAACAGATTATTATTCATTGCCTCGAGTTATGACACAGTAGGTGCGAGATACATTATGTATATCACGTTAAATTTTTTCCGGCGCCATGTTGTATTACATTTTTAATTTCATCCACTTTTGTTATCGTATTTCGATATTTGTCTACCTGCCTAATGATACCTACTCTGAATCATATAAAAGCCCAATTGGAACGATTTTTCTTTAGCATTTATCAACGTGCCATTCATCATCTGATGCAATATGTTACATTTGTCAGTTCAACACTATCATAGTTCCAATGATTAGGCTGCAAGCATGTTTTATATGGCATTGATAGATTAAATACTAGTCTGTTTAATAAACTTTTGAACTGACAAATTCCAAGAGGAAAATATTGTTATACAATCAATTAATAATAAGTTTGAATAAAGAATCAATGGCTTGAATATTGCAATCGAAATTATATACTTGGCAATTGTTACAAGTATATGAAAAAGAATCATAGATGCCATAACATTTAAACTTTAGGCTATAATAGGTTTTTTCCTTATACCTGTAATAATTTTAAAACCTTTCTCGTGAACAGATTTAATTTTATTCATGACATAAATCATCACATTCATACAATTATTGTTTGATTTCAGCGTTGTTTGTTACATTCATTTTAAAAAAATATTTAAAATAGTGATATAGAACTTCACAACTTGCTGTAAACCATAAAGTTTCCAAATTTGTATGTTAAATATAGAATCTATCGATATGCCATTACACATTAAAACAACTGTATATATATTCAATCTCTTACATAAATTTAACCACGATTGAACCCTAAAAAATAGAATGAGGGGAATAGAAAATAACAAAGAAAATTCATTGGATTGCGATGATCAGAAATATACACAGACACGTTCATTTTATTTGGTTAGCAGAGAACATCAACATTAAGCAAGTGATTTGACATGTCGTGCGATAACAACTTAGCTTGATATCACAGAGTACTTGTTTGCATACACTGGCATCCGTTTATGATAAGGAAATATGTTATGTGACAGTATCTCTCGATTATCTTTCCAAATGAATTCAATTATCAAAAAAGGCAAACATTATACAAAGGCATGAAAAATAATGTCTAAGTATTCTCAAAATACGGTAGTAAACAAAACTGTGGATCTCCCGTGTACAGCAATTGTTTTTATTAAGAACCTGACTCTCGTGGCTGTAGAATATTGAAACAAAAAATTTTACTTCGGGAATTGTCGACGCGGGTTCTATGACACTGAAATACCCCAATGTCTATTATTCAAGAATGGTAATAAAATACATTTGCTAACCATAAAAAAGGGTTCAACAGTATAAAACTTTTCCAAAGAATTATATTTGAAACGATCATCAAATTCCATGCGAGGACATTCCAATTTTCGTGCATTTGTAATTTCTTTTTTCTGACATATTAGGTATTGTTGGAAATGACGTGTGCCAATAGCAACGTTTCGGGAAGTTTATAGTTTAGTAACATAACTCATATGCTCTTGAAAGTCTTGGTATCTTTGTTCGCGCATTCCTATGATAGTTTGTAATATTCAGCGTTTGAAAGTATATAATTTTATGTAACGTATCAAAGTATAACCAAATTGTCAATCTCACACCAATATCAGATCAATTATTAACATTACTCCACTATATTTATCTGGTCCGAGCTAGGCCAATTGTAAATTATTGAATTCTTGCGAAAACGAGACAAAATACTGCGGTATATGAAGGTGCCTCGATGTCGCCTAGAATATTTATGAATGCGGCATAAAATGACCTCGAGAGGGAAAGAAGACAATGACTAGGTAGTAAATTAAAGAAAATGTAAAATCACTCTCAGTGGAAAGAAAAATTGCGGTGACAGAGGATTTAAGAATTATCACCTACGTTCAGTAAACTTTACTTAATTCTGGGATGACAGTCTCCATTTTGTTTGTGTACCTATTAAGAGCATTTTATCTATTAATACATCAAAATGATTGATGAAATATACCTATCTATAACTAAGCGATTTGTGACACAAAAGAGAATTTTGAAGTAGTGACTGTATAATATATAATGTTTGTCGGTAGTTCGTTGTCAAAATTCAGTAATCTAATATTTATAATGGGCATTAACTTAATATTTGCGTACTACTTCGTCATCATCCGCCGAGATTCGCGCTGATAAGTGATCATACCAAGCGTGTTTCATCACATTTTATTCAAGCATAATATATCCGAAGAGAAGTGAATCCAATATATAACTTTTCTAGTATATTGACTCTGTCTTTTGCCTCGTTTTACTCAGCTCATTTTTAACAAACAAAAAGCCTTGAACCGCATGCGATCACATTCAAGTGTTACAAGAGATTGAGATATAAATTATCTAGAGCTGAAGTTTTTCATATGAACAAAGAAATCGACTATGAGGAAATAGGAATTTTTGAACAATATTATCTATATCTTGGGGTATAGTATTTATGAAACTAAGAATATTTCAAGGAAGTTTATTGCTATGGGTAAATCGTGGTGTTCACAGAATTCTACTATTGTTTATACGTATCGATGATTTGTTCAGCCTTATGTTTACATAAGAGATCGCTAATTGTTTTGAGGGAACAATTCAATTAGTTGTGCAGTTTCAACACAATGGAGTTGTAAACGAGCGTGCATTGCAACAGTCTGGAGCGAAACGAATTGAGATTTGTTAATTTTTATTCGTGGAATGGCCACTGTTAGATTAACCTCCGAGATAATTTGTTTCGTGCGAGAAGTTGCTCATGGGTATGTTGCCTTTACTGTTTATTTCTGCGAAAAATTGCAATAGGTGATAGGTGATTACAATTTGTCGTTCAGCTCTTTTGCAATCGACAAACTGAGGTGCAAACAAAATAAACATGAAATATATCATATAACGCTGTGGAATTTGATTTTAGACATCACAAATTTCATACTTCGCTACTAAATTCAGCAAACGGTTTACTTCATAATTGCCATCGTCTAAAATCCCGTCATCGGTATTGTTTCGCAAATTTTCCGGCTTGCAATTGAACGCAGATTAGTTCTAAACCCATATCCGACGACGTTTCCGTCTGTACAATACATACATTGGATATACGCAATCACGTATAATTTCATAGACTTAGCGTACATGGGGGCAGGTGATGGAAAACTGCTCCAAGGAGAAGTCATAGAACTCGGCACTTTGGAATTGCCGTTGTCCAGATGTCGAAGAAAAAATCCCAAATTTATTTAAAACTTGGTATCATTGAAATTTAATTGGCCAAACGTATACTGTAGTAATGTGCACTTTAGCGTGGCACCAGCGAAGGTATTCTCAATAACCAATAACCAACCAGAACTTTTCTATTTCGGCAAATTGTAAAGAAAATGTCACTTCTTTTTATTATCATATTATAGAAAAAAATTACAATTTTAAATATTTTTATCTTTGCCAAAATTTACACAACGGCAAATATGGATATAATTTTCAAAACTTAGTATGATAAAGTTGGATAATTGAAACTTTTTTTAATGCAAAATTTAATGGTGTATTCTATTAGATACAAAGGTGTATATTGAATAAACAAATATTGTCAATTCAACCATGTACATCTCAAGTATTAAGATTATTTCTATTGTTGAAATAAAGAATTAGCTTTCAATGAGAAGTGGTGCAAGTCGCTGGGAATTATAATGAAACTATCTTCTTCGTTTTACTTGGAAACCAAGGACGTAAATGAGCGCGGGAAAGCGCATTGTATTTGAATTATCACGTCGTCGAGGGAAAAAATAAATTACGCGAATCACGCGTTTATAAGGGAGATCATTCCATGATCGTGGGAGAGAATTCTCAACGTCATCGAGAGATGTTGGTAAATTTGATTTCTATGAGTTGGTTTCAGGCTTTGAAGGTCAGGCAAATAACGAATCATGACAGTCGGTGCAAATGGCACGCGACAAGCACGAGCGCATAGAAATTAACCAACGTGACAGCAAATTAAATGTGTCTCTTAGTGAATCGTATTTTAGTTAATTTATCATTTTAAAAACTGTATATTCGTTTCTAGACGTAGATTGGTATCTAAAAATATTTCAAGTAACCGTAATCAAAGAAATGCTGACATCTACAGAAGAATTGCGCAGAGCGGAAGCAAAGCGAAATGACAACAACAATTGCAACTTTGAAGATTCTGAATCAATGACTTGGTCGGTGAACCCACATTGCACAGAAGACGACACTGTATTCACTCATATGAGCAATCATTCACAAAAAAACGACGGCTTAGCAAGAGGTCGTAGAATCAATTCAGCACCTCAACCGGCATTGACTGATACCGGAAATGAGAAACGCAAAGGGAAACGACCTCGGAATATATCGGATGATGCTGCGGAGACTGCCCCCGCAAAGACCGCCAAAACCTCGATTCCCCCTCGAGGACATTTACCAGCCGCTTTCAAGAACCCAGCAAGCGTCGCAAAACGCAACGCTCGCGAAAGGAGGCGAATCAAAAATGTGAATTTAGCTTTTGACGAACTTCGTGAACATGTGCCATCCGGTGAACAAAATAAGAAGAAAATCAGCAAGGTTTGTGAAATTCGCCAATGAAAATAATTGATTATTATTTATTTCAAAAAATCAATCTCTCTCACTTTATCAGGTTTACTAATTTGAGTCGTATGCTTAGTGTGGTATATGTTTGCAATAAGGCATCAGTCAAATTCATTTAAATATTTTCTCTTTGTTTTCAGGTTGATACTCTACAGTCAGCTATCATATATATCAAAACGCTGGAACGGCTAGTGATGCAAAGAAGAAAACAAGAGAAAAAGGAAGAAACAGAAAACTTGGAATCAGGCCTCGATTCAGAGAATGCAACAACTTCAACTGAAATTTCAGTAATTAGCGACAATATCAATGTTTGCGACGAAACTACTTCTAGTATAAACAATGATTCGAGTTCCGTGCTTGATGATCTTGATGATGCTGCATCGACTTACTTACCCACAAGTCAACAGACGGATGACATTGTAACTAACGTCGATTTCGACGACAGTGGATATTCCGACGGTTCACCGGGTAGTCATTATGAGAAAGGTATTCACATTCATCAAGCATATGAATCTGTGCCATTCCATCAGTCCGATACCGATTCATCATTGAGAGAAGTAACTGCCTACGATATTGAAAAGTTTTTGGACAACTCGATGCCTGCAACTGAAAATCAATCAACCTTTCAACAAATTAGTCCTCCCATTTGCATGAGTACTGCAAGTTTCGAATATCCAAGTTCGCTACCAGTAGTCAATGGATGGCAAGAATATCCTGACACCTCTATGATGTCTGGCCATCACCAATTCAATCATCTACCCCTAGCTTCGACTCCGAGAAATGCAAACGAAGTAGCTGCGTTTGTTTTTCCCACTCCTAATTCAAATGCTCAGGTAACGACATCACAACAACACAACAACATTGCTAATGTTTCTGCCATACGTCAAAATATATATGAAACAGCAACCACGTTCGAAGGATATAGATTCGGAGGTACCTACGCTTGAAGGAGCTGTCACAATTGGCAGAATTCAAGAAGACTACATTGCATCAATTAGGAGCGATTCCGTGGAACAAACTCCACGAAAAGTGGATCAGATATCAGAAGAATGCAAACCAAACATTGAATCAAAACAATTCAATCATATGCTGCCAAACTTTATTACCAGTCTTTTATAAAAATATCATATCGCACCAAATTTTTTTTACACTGCCAACAATTCTGTGAATTTAAATAATATTTTCTGAAATCTATTTTGTTCCTTACAATGCACTTTTGAGAAATTTAAAGTACTTTCAGCCAATGAATTCGCAATCATTTCTTTCAATGCAATTATTTATAAACAAAGTTTTATGTCAAAACGTGCCTTAAATTTTCGTACTACAACAAATACCAGACAAAAATTTATTTTTACCAAGTCCAAAGTAAAATCGCTTTTAAATAATCATATATGCTTTTTTATTGAATTTACTCGGGCGACAGTAACGAAGAATAATATATTTATGTCTGGGAGGGCGAAACAAAATGGCGTAAAAAGCTGTAATGTTTATTAACAACAAGTGAACTATATTTTTGAACAACCAAAACTAAGTGTTTTATATTCTTTTAATATGAAAAACAAGAGTTTGCTTGAACACATTCTTATCGAATGGCTTATACTTTCTATGTAATTTAGACAGACAATTTAGGATCAGCCAATCGAGAGTTTCATACTCGCCTATTATGATTCCGAAATTCTCGTCCTATACACTAAGACTAAGCGATCCTAGAATAGAGGTTTCCATCAATGCTATAATATTTAATTATCTTACAGAAATTATGATGCCGATCTTGTTAAAAAACGTATATATTTCTGAGGAAATAATAAAAATATCTTATAAACGCCCGTGGCAACGTTCTTGGCAATGAAAATCATATCGGCAATGTCACGTGTTTCGTATGCGAAATGTTGCACGTGATATACTTAAAAATCGATGTAGATACGTCGTCCCGGATCTATTTTGTCAAAATAATTATTATACAAAAACGAACTCCACAAGTGAATATTATTTTATGATAGTACAGTGTTTAGTAAACACATTAATACTCCGCCTATAAACACAGAACCCCCTTTTAGCATTGTTGAATGGCGACCTTCTAAATACACACAATAGGTATCATCTTCAACTTCTATTGTCATTGACTATTTATTTTTGTCACGCCGAATATCGTTTGTTCTCATCTTCGCCAAATCTCCATAGTTTTGGATACCGCCACGCGCGGAGGAGTGCAGTGTTTACAAACAGTGCTAATCGTTCAAGCACATCTTCTTTTCAGTAATTTAGACACAGGGGATTTGCTCTTATGACCCATTAACCACAAGTGTCATAATTTTGCTCAAAGAGAATATAGTTATAATACTTAAACTTCGTTAATATTTTGTTATTTTACTGAATGTTTTTCCACTGCGCACCAAAACACGCACATTATTGAAGACTGAAGTATTTTTTAATTTATATAGAGTATTGTTGCCGCATTTGGTCAGATCATCGAAGATAATAATTAAATTTATCTTGGATACGAAAAATTGCATTTCTTACTCATGGCAATGCCGGATGTTCAATTTAAGAATATCAAGCAAGCGAGTTATAATTTTGCTTAAAAATTACGTTTTTTATGTACTATGTCTCTCAAATACAATACAAGCAAAAGTTTAACACTACTCTACCTACAATATGGATACCACGTTAGTCAAAAAAACGAAGTTGAACGGAAATCCTCATTTTTCACATAAATTGGAGGTACATTCTTATCTAACACCGAACTAACTTACAATGAAACCCGGGATGACTGGCTTGTAATATCAAAACCACCATTACGAACGTTTCAGATATTGAAAGCCATTACGATAAAAATAAGACAAAACTGAGACACTTACAATTTGATTTTGACAACGCGGATAAAGCGGGAAAAGATCCAATTTCAAATCTCACATAATACATAAAAAACATAGTGTGCGAATGCTCATTTTTAGATGGCATCAATTCATTTTTTTTGCTTCGGCCTGTATCATCAGTCTGTTTTCCATTTTTTTTTGTTAAAAATATTGATAAAACAAGACCTGAATTTTTAAACTATATCTGATCAAACAGAATGGGCGTTTCCAATTAAAACATATCGCCTTTTGAAACCGAGCATTCGATGGATTCACTAAAATATTATTTTATTTTTGAGAGCTGTCGCTCTTTTTGAGAGTGCTGCTGAACTGTCAGTTCAAAATTGCGTCGCAACGTGAATGACATTCATTGGCGAAAGGGCAATCCGAACGACCCAAAGGGTGTGTTTTGGCGACAGATGGGAGACGGGCGAAAGGTGTAAACAATGCCGATCGTTCAGGTCTTGATTAAACATTGATAATGGTTAAATTGTTATCGCTCGATTTTGACATAAAAATCTCTCAGTTTGTTGTAATTTCAAGAAATATTTGTGGTTGTCCAAATGCGGGCAATAGAAAGTGTATGGTTTATGATTCAAATTTAATATTTGTCCTACTTGATCCTATTATAACTAAAAACAGAAAATGTACAATCCCAAAAAATCACATACCGTTTGCAAACAACGAAGGCACAAAAATACAACGGCGAGGATTTCCACAAGTACGCGATAGGCACGAGCGACTAATCCAATAACAATCTAATATTATTAAATGACACGCACAAATGGAAAATGTTTAAAATATTCTTTTTTTAAATTTCCTAATACTGAATAATTACGCTAGTTTCGTAATAAAGAAATATACTTAAAGGCTCTATAAAAGTAATTGAATCTGTAGCGAACAACTTTTTTTTGTCATTTTGTGGTGCCCTTGATGGTATGGAAAGATTGTATCTATTACATAAAACTCCCCCCAATCGCACAAAACTCGTAATTTCGTCAAAGGATCGAATATCCGTTTATCCGTTCCAAAACAAGATCATAAGAAATCTAATTCCACAGATTAATTCATTTGTTGTTATTATTACTTTAACTTCATCAAAAACAAATACAGACATCGCTACTTTAAAGTGCGCTGCAAGCAAATTAAATCCTAACGCAAATTTAATTAATTGATAAAAATGGTTATGATTTTTCAATTTTCCAACAATTCATTGTGTACCAAAAGGTATTCTATACCCGGTTATGTTTATCTTCGGGGCGGAGTGAATATTTTTGGAAATTAATTCATACTTTGAAGTAACGAGTTGATATTGTTGCGAAGTCTTCTGAATACGTTGATAAAGTTAGCGCACGTGTCTTTCGTCTGTTTTGTGTAGATAACTTTGACAATTTGTTAGTGTAATCAAAATTATGCAGGTGTCGGAACAATACTAAATGTCGAAGAAATGTTCAACGAAAGCCTTAATTTTGTGTTCAAACGCCGAAACAACCTTTTTTATACCAGCGAGTCGAAATTATCTGAGACATGATCAATGTACAAACATGATGTCTGTGCTACCGTTTGTTCCGCATATTTTTCGAGTCAATAAAACGTTGCACGGGGTCATGTACTTCATTTATAAAAATTAAAACCAACGTCAACAATTGTCTAATGAGATTGAAAAGTACAAAAATTATCGCTCAATAAAGAGTTTGTTTTCCCAAGCCAGGTATGATACAAGCGCAAATTGAATCTGGGAGCAAACGTAATTTTCCATAACCTTTCTCAAATTATTATTCGGATTGAGTAATAATGATATGCTATTATGGTTTAAGTACACCGGTGCAAGAATAAACACCGGATTATCAAAATTTCACGCTGGCGCAAGTGAAAGACAGATGCAGAATATTTGAATGCGAGCTCATACTTTATTAGTATATTTATACAAAATTGGCAAATTATAATAGATATTTATAAATGATTTTCAACAGGTTTTCTGAACGATGACAACGTACGTACGGCCCATGCAATTTTACGATGTCTTTTTTGATCCAACTTTTTTTGTTCCCGTTGGCATTATCAATAAAAATGACTATACTTTTATTCGAATTTTAAAAACCTCACCCATAAGATTAAATCATTAATGCAGGAGCTCATTCTTTCGGGAATTGTCCAATAAAGTCGGTTCGCGCCACACAATTTATGTCTATAATGCAAATTGTTGTGGACGTTTCCGTGAAACTACATTCATACGATAAGTTTGTTCTTTACAATATACAATTTCGCAAAAGTACGTAAGTAAAATATTCTCACGAAAGCTTACTATCGCAATGTACAATTATGCATAAAGTCTGTTACAACAAAACGCTTGGGTGAATTATATCAAGCGTGTATATTTTTGCAAGGGTTGTTCCAGTTATCCACGTTTCAGGTTTTGAAATTTTTTCAAAACGCATGCTGTTTCTCTCATTTCAAACTTTGAGTTATAAAAAAGCTCGCCCTACATTTTACAATCCACATCATTTATGTTTCTGTATGTCACAGTAATTTTAGAATAAACATAAATATGGGAGCGTGCATTACCAAATCAATATAGCATAAAAATGAAATACCTCAATTTTATGGGTTACCATTTAAATTTTACTCGTGCATTACTCTTCGCCGTGTATTGCATATATTTTGAGACATTAGGAATTGTCGGATTAAGAATACAGTTTGATCCTTCAAAAATTTTTTAGTTACTTTTTCTTACACGCCAATGTGAATGTTGACTGAAATTCAAATTCATTTAAACGCCGCGCTAAATTACACCCGCGTGGCAAAGCTGGTTTCAGTTCTCTAACTCAGTGATACCAACTTACCGTATGAACGTATCCAGAATACTGCGATCAATCTTTCATTGCAATTGATTTCAAATTGATTATTTTGCATCTTAAACCTTACGGCAGCTTGTTTGTTTTTTGATTTTAGGTAAACTGGAAAAACAACGGAAATTTGAATACAGTATACTAAAATATAAATATATATAAAATAACCAGCTCATAGTTGAAAAACAACTACTACAAGAATTTTAATATACCGCCGTTTTTATTTGGTTGAATATCAAAAGTGTTCATATTTTTTCATTACAATAGTAATATTTTATATTTCAAAACTGAACAAAATGAACGACGCTCTATACGAACGTGCTTGAAGTCTACTTGTCGCAATTCCCATTTCTGGGTGTGGCTTGAGTATCTCCCATTATCGGTCGACAGTAAAGCTTGTTTGATTTCAAGCTTGATTCGACGTAAAAAGTACTTTGAAGCTCTGTTTATTATATAAACCAGGGAAAGGGCTATTTGAAACTACAGCGCATCAATAGTCAGTCCATTCTTGGGCCACGTTTCTCTGCAATCAAGAAGGTCGGAAAGAAATACATGTTGCAGCTGAAAAAGTTCACTAAACATGTCTCGGGGCGTTCCGATAAAAATCTCTCAGACACATAGCAAACACTTCCACAAGTTGAGCACGTGCATGTCGTGCGTTAAAGAAGGAACGTGGATTGTTAGTATTACGCGCCAATTCAGAATAAACTTTCTGTGCAACGAACCTCGACACATATTACGCTTGACAATATTTATCCCGCACCATATCAGACACACAGTAAGTAAATTTGATTAAATGAATCCAGCAAATTAGTTTGCAAAATAACCGGGATATTTTTTCCAATAATTTCTAACTCGAACCCAAACTTGATGATTGATGATTTTTTTAAATTTTAATACGTGGCGGACGTGTTTTTACCAAATCTCACATCACATCAAATCTTACATTAGTAGTGGGGACTTTCTGCAAAAGATCCAATAACCGGTTCGCCAGGTTGTACACTGATTTTTAGGGAAATATATGCAAACATGTTACATTTTATGAGGCCTTTCGCACCTTTTTATAGTTATTTAAACAAAATATGGATTGGAGTTATATTTGAGAAGTTTGTGTTCCCCTCGATAAATATATCACAAAATTTAATATATATCTCGTTAAGTCAAAGTTTCAAGGTTAAAGGGCGCATGGAAACTTGCCTACAGGGATCTGACAAACCACAGTCTATCCACGATCATTGCTCAGCGGTACAGATTTCAAAGAGTCAACAGTCTTCAGAAAACGTGAGTTTATTTTTTGGTTTATATGGAAAAAGGAAAAACTTACTTACCGCCACATGTATCCAAGGTATTCAATAAATCATTGACTCTTTTGTCAATAAGTAAAAACATGCTATTTGGTTTTATTTTTGTTACAAATAAAACCACAAATAACTAGAAAACTGACTAATTCTTCTAAAATTTTCCATTTCTTGTATTGATTTGTGGGATTTCATTCTTGTATGTAATTCTTTTGGCGCTCCAGAAGTGTGTGTATCAATACCGGAGGTAAGTAATTTTATTCGCCTACTTTACATCAAGTTGTGTAAAGGGACGGAAGCTTATGAACAGAAGGTGTATTCACTTGGCTAACACAGACCTTCCCAAAACTCGTATTAAAACTAAAATAAGGAAAATCGGAATAAAATTATAGCCTAACCCTGACCTGGTACACACACTATGGGAGTACCATTCTTTTTCAGTACCTTCAATTCGGGAAAATAGATAACTAGGAAAACAGAGAACGTAATTTCTGCTTTAGTTTTTTGTCCCTCAACTATAAATTTTTCAATATATCATCCACATCATATAAATGCAAACGTAGTTTGTGACTTGTGAACTCGCAATATGTATATAGAACGCTAACTAGGGATCAAATATTATCTGAAAAACTTATTATCCTGATTAGAGTCGGTTTACAAATTAACAGGTTTGTGCATAGGATATATTTTTCTGCCCCATCCTATCCCATAGCAATTTATGCCTGTCCCATAAATAAAAATTTAATAATTCAATTCATTCAATAAAAATTAGGATCTAGTGGCATCCAGGGGAGGGCGCACCTGTGGCGCTTCCTACGAGGGGAAATGTAAGGGAGGGACAGTTATAAAAGAAGTACGACATTTAGCAAATTTGGGTAATTTGTTTATGTATAGAGAACTGACTGAAAAATATGGCATGCAATATTGTGATTAAGAATATGTAAATTAATATCGTCCCACTGACGTTTTACCTGATGAATGGTTGTGCAATATTGAGAACTGTATTGATTTTGGTGCATTATTGATTATGTGACCCCGAAGAGATTGTATCTCATTTTATTCTCGAAACATTCGAATCAATAAAAGTAAATAAAAGTATATGTAAAAAGTCAAACTTGTTGAAATTCATATCCCCTGATACATTGAGAAAAAATGTGCAGATCTGATTTTTTGAGAGAGTGATTTTAATAGGAATAAAATGCATTTGGATATTTTCTATTGCACTATTGAAACTAAATTGCAATCTTTTCATGTGAAGATGTCCCATGAAAGATGTCCCATGTGAAGATGTCCGCATAGAAAGACACCAGACCGTTCGGTCACTGGATACTGTTATTAAGCTTATTATGATTGCTTTGTTGATGAGCATTATTCAATGTTTTTAAAAGTTTATCAAAAAATGGGTGAAGGTTCTCAGTTATAAACTATATAAAGTATATAAATTCACTTGGAATTGTTTCATAATTTGTGATTTCCCATTATACATTCGAACCACTATTAATATCATATGCTATTGTTCTTTTGGGCATTCAACTTTGTGCCATTTAAATCAATACAATTCGTTCGTCGCGTAGTCCATACCAACAAAACATTTATATCTTTGCCACAACATCTTTTGTCACATTTCCGTATTGTAATATCACATTTCTCCACCTCACGTGGTACTCATTCATCAGTAGGTCGAATTATCAGACGTTGGTAAAAACAGAAGGAGAGCAAAGTGGTCAAAAAATCGAAAAAGTATAAGCCCATGAAAATCGCAATGAAGAATAAATATCTTTTTTTTTGTACTCCCGTTATATATATAGATAAGTTTCAATGGCAGCGATAGTAGTAAAATGCTAACAAATGTCTTGTTGCATTTTCAGATAGACTAAAACTAGGTGACAGCAGGGACCGCGACATGAGACCTCTCGCTCATTTATTATTCGTCACATTCTGTGGATGTGTGAGCGCCCTAACAGACGCAGAGATAGCACTATTTGTCGCAAGAACTCACATAGAGACAAATACTGGTGTTCAAGGAACTGTATCAGTTACAATTTCATCAACAGATTCAACTGTTATTGATTTATCCAGCAACGGAGTGCCTGATCACGCAACAGGTAGGTCACTTCGTAAACGAAGCTTTGAAACCTATTCGGTGATCATTATGTATGAAGTTAAGTAGTTTAGTAGCCATATTCAAAACATCTGATCTACTCATATATATGTTAGCTTGTTTCAATGCTTTCAAAATTTTATAATAATACGAATTTTGTTTCAGGAACATTTCCGGGAAATGGAAATCCTAATCCTTTATCGGTTCAAACATATAACTATAGAATACCAAAAAATCCAACACAGGCATCAACAACAACTTGTCTACCTCAAGGACCTATTGGATTGGCGCTTAACGGAGTACCGATGTTCAATCCTTATAGCATACAGTGCTGCGATACAGGTAATTTGATAACAACTAGGAAGAAAATCTCATAAAAACGGCATTTCTAGCCTGTTATATTGTACATTAAACTAAACATGCACTAAAAACCAACTAAATAAACAAATTAATTTTTTGTGCACTAAATGAGAAATTTGTCAACGCTAATTAATATTATTGATATTGGAATTGCCTATAATCTTACGAATTTTGTCTCCCATAAGAACTAAAAGTGATGTAATATCGCAAAATCGAGTGTTTTTAATTTTCAGGAGTTGAAGAGCTTGATCTTTTTGACTCATGCATGGGGCATCCAGCTCCCCAGCCAGCTGGTGCCTATCACTACCATATTAACCCACAATGTCTATTCAATGTTATCTGCAACCAGACATCTACTATCGTAGGTATGTGTTTTGATAAAAATTCTAAAAATTAGTTGAGTGAAAAGTCTGAATGATATAACTTCATTTTTATTTTAATATTCAACATTTCAATGAAAATCTAATTTTTTTCCTTTCATTAGATTTCGGGTGCAGCACATTATCATTTGAAATACCTAACTTAAATATTTAGGTTTGTTTACTACAAAATCATTCATAAATAATTCAACGAAAAAATAAAAATAACTTCTTAAATATTGAGGGGTCGCGTTTGATGGATTCCCCATTTACGGACCAAACGACGACGATGGAACTCAACTTACAATAAGTGATCTTGATGAATGCAATGGGAAGGTGACAAACGGCCAATATAGGTAAGGTATAAGGAAAATACGCTTAATTAGATTTAGCATGGTGCGATTTTTAGTGACACGTGCAATGTTAAATTTTACGCATCAACCCTCCATATACGCTCAATCTGATATTCCCGTAGTATACAAACCAGGTTAGGGTTTCGCCATAACTTTATTCCGATTTTCTTTATTTTAGTCTATCACGAGTTCGGGGACTGTTTGTGTTAGCCAAGTGAATATACCCCTTCCCATAGGTTTCATTCCCTTTACACAACTTGATGTAAAATAGGCGACCAAAATTAGTTACCTCCGTATTGGTACACACACTCCTGGAGCGCCCTCAATTTTATATAATGGAACCATTTATGACATGCTTCGTAGATTCAGATACTTACCCCACTATATATATGGTATGGAATGTAGGATGTTTACAATTGCCATCGTTCTAATAACCAGCGTTGAAGAATGTCAAATAGTCAAATGAATATGCCGTTATCAATATTGCTCAATTTTCCGTATACATTATATAGATATCACATCACTGCAGATTTTCCGTACTTTATGGGATGTTTCAAAGGATCATTACTAAGTGATTCGGGGATACAGAGCGGCAATTGCGAATGTACTGAAGTAGCCAACCCTTGCACTGAATTTGTAAGTTACGTTTTGTACAAATAAGCATCGCATGACGACAACCAAATAGGACATAAATGATACCATACATATATATAAACGTAGATATGTTTATATGCAAGGGGATTGATTTTTGGTGCAAAAAGTTTTTTTTTGTGTTGACCGCATTACATAATATAGTTGATGTTTGGGATTTGATTCCTGGAATTCTAAAATCAAATTTGTCCAAACAATCACCAATGAAATAAATCAAAACTTTTTACTCAGAACGAAGTTTCTATATCCCGCAAGAAAAGGCAGGCAACATCAACATCTAGGGTTAGTACGTTTGTTTGCTGTCAAGATGCTTCAAATTGTAATTCAAATGAAGTCTCCACGTCTACGTCGTCCACAACAACTTCAGCTGCCTCAATTAGCTTCACGTCGGTGGGAATACAGATAGTTGGAATACTTTATTTTTCGTTTTTAACGTTGTAAAAAGACTCTTCTGATAATAATAAGTTTTTAAGTTTGTTGACCTTCAAGTTAATGACCTCCTTAACCAATTATTATGCGATAGACCAATTTGACATATAAATAAAATGATTGTGTTCCTATCTACGTTAGTATTTTTAACGAATTGTAACAAAGCACAGTTGTCGAAAATGAATATATATGTAAAACAATTTGTGATACCTATTCTCATTCGACGTCAGCGCGTAAAGAACTGACCCACGCATATTGCAGTTACTATATGAGACACCAATAATGTGAGAAACAATAGGAATAGTTAAATACGACAAGCTGTCGTGTAAACAAAAATATCGAAAACGATTGTTGTTTCAGGTTCTGTCAATATAAAGTTTATATTAATAATACATTAGCAAAGTGTATATGCAAGGAAATCAGTTGAGTAATCGAATAAACAAATAGCAAGCTTGACACCGTGATGTTATCTAAATGTAACAGCGTCAAGCCTTGCCGTCTCAACAAAGTAATATAAAATAAATTGGTCCCATCCTGTCAAAAGGATCAATACAGCTTATTAAGAACTCGTTCCAGAACTTGTATCCATCGCACATTCACGAGTAGTTTTTCCTGTGCCAACCACCGGATTTATCATTAGACAAGATAGGTCAAAGCCTATATGCCTCGTCATTCAATTTTTAACTATTTGAGTCTTCCCACATTGTAAAGGCATGTTCCAAATAAAAACCGATTTAAACTTTGAAAAACTGATATTTGTTTAATTTTTTAATAAGGTTAATAATTTTTGTCCCAAACATTTATCATTTAAGAGGGTAAAAATATGATACAGTTGAATAAATGAATTCGTCTAGATTTGAAAAACGTTTAACCTTTTAACCTAAAAACAAAATATGCTATTTAGATTAATTAAAAAAAAATATCGTAGTTTTCTACCGTAGTAATGACTTTAGTTTATAAAAGGATAAAAAAAGAACAGTATGTATATACCTATACTAATTTATCTATACAACAACGAATTGAATTTATCATCGCAGACACGTTTATTTCAAGGTATGGAATGCTATGGTAATTATATTTTATTTATCAGTTATTGTGCAACGCCATCTCGTGACTAGAAACGGGTATTGGGGCGTCAGATTTTTTGGTTTTATGATTCTTTCTTGTAGCGTCAAGTTTCTTAGGATGGTTTTGAATTCAACGTACTGTCTCATCTATTAGGCGATTAGCGTACGTATCTTTTCTAAAACTAAAATTTCGTTTTTCACGCAATTAAAAAATGCATTAATGACATCCTAGTATTTTATATATATATATATACACATAAGGTGTAGTACACGTAATAATGTTTTATCTGAAGGTCATCAAAAGTGCCTGGCATGAACTAAGGGGCTTAATTTAAGTATGGAACTGAAGTCATTGATAAATGCTAATTTGTCCTATGTAATATGAAATAATCCAGTTAATTGTTAACGATTCCTATATACTACCATACCGCTTACCCTGTTAGGGCAGCAGTATGTTGTATCAGAATAGTCAGGAAAACGTTGTTGCCCGATTAATAAAAATGAATTAGACGATGTCGAACTGTAAACCTTCATTCCATTTCTGCAAGCTTTGAAACATTGACAGAGATATTCAATCGCAGTGGTTTCCAACGGTGAGGCGTAGACAATTTTTGAGAGGGCCTAAAGCTAATTAAATATAAAAATATTTGTTAGATTTCATTTTGCCCGCCTTATATTTTATATAAACATTTCTTTATTGTTTAGACTAGAGAATGCGATTCCGTATACGTATTTTCAACGTGTTTTTTGAATAAAACATACTTTCGTTTTACTATCTGGTATTCTAGCTTGTTGTTAGCGAGTTATTTTTGTATGGGGTGCGAGATTTGACAAATTCTCAACATGGGGCGCAGCTTAAAAAGTTTGAGAACCACTGTTCTATCGAATGAAGTTCGTTTTGTTTCAAATGCCTTTCAATTTCGGAGCAATGAAGGAGAAACTTTTTCAACGCTAATATTCTCGATATCAGCATTAACCATAACCATACGAACTTTGCCTCAAATAAGAACTAAAAGTGATGTAGTATTAGAATCAAATGTTTTTAGCAGTCATCGATTGCGCCATCATCTTCGCTTTCATATATTCAAAATATTGAAACAAATATTTTATACGATATATTTTATTCAAAATAAAGTGTAATATAAATAAATAAAATTTTCATTTTCCTCTTTATTGTCTGCTTGAATGCATTTCAAATATCCATATTATAAATTGTGAGTAGATCTTTCAAATTTTTATCTTCGCCCATATTTTCCTTGTATAAACATGTTATAATGAATACCAAAATCAACCTACGTAGTACCCTGAAATAAGTAACGTGAATTAAAAAACACGAACTTTCGTTTCACCTTTATGTCCAATACAAGTAGTTCGGTAATGACAGGTAAATAGGCCAGTTATCAAATATGTTTTGGTTAAATATCTGAGTTGTATGACCGACATATTTTACCTGGAGATCATAGAAAATTAAATTTTTATAGCGAAAAGCAATATTTTACGAAGAGAAATTGTTATTATGACAGAAATATGCAGTATTGAATTCATAATACCCCAACCTTGACTCTCTGTTGACAAAACAGAACCAAGATGAACTTAAATGAATATTTACTCCTGCAGCTCAAGTATCACCTTTACAGGTTTCCGAAGGAGAATCATCTTTATCAAAATAGCAAAAATCTTCTAATGTTGTGCGAAAGCATACAGTCCTTTTCTCCTTGTTGCTTTGACCAGTCGAAGGTACAGGGGCGAGACAAGATTTTTTAGAAATGTCATTTGTTGAGGTATTTTCCAACTTCTCAATTCCAGCATCCTGTAAATAATTTTAATTGCCACTGAACAAATGGGCGTTTCTGTATTTTGTAGAAATTCGTGACACAAGTCAATTCGATGAGATACCCAGTGCTCAGAAATTTGTCGAAATCTTCTCACAATGGTTTTCGTGTTACTTTTCTTATTACAGACTATGTGCTTAATTGCTAAATATATAGCCTGATATTAGTATCATAACTTATAACCCACCGTTGCAACAGATTCATTGTCACCGCCGTTTGAAGACTCATTCTGAAAACCAAAAAACTTGGATTAGTGAATCGTCTGCTACTAATAGTTCCGAATACGCTACAGAGTAATTGTCTAAGTTTTTTTGTTATTTTAAATGCACATCAGTTTAGACAGTTTAACCATTCACCGTTGACATTTGTCATCAATCGATTAGCCATTCTCTTGCCCTGGCAAAGCACTCATAACTTGCATATTCTTCTCGTTTTCTGCTAGTAAATCCTTGATTGTACTTCAGTTTAAAATAAAATACTTACCGATGACTTACTGGAATCATCGCTCTCAAAATCGTCCTGTTTGAAAGAAAAAAAAATGTTTTTTTTTGATATGTTATACCGGATTTACGAAGTCCTGTTAGCTTTAATGAATGATCATACACACACAGATGGTACTGATTAAAAATGCTACAACATTTACTTCGTATTCTTCCTCGTAGTCTTTATTGTCCGATTTTTGATCCTTCTTGTACTGAAAATATTGAAAACAAAAGATTATTAATGTTATGGTATTTGTTGTTTAAAATTGTATTAAAGCTTCTTGCATGTTGCTCATCATCATCTTTGCTGGTTTAAATGTCCTATCAAATTTATTACAACATGGGTGAGATGGGTAGTGGTTTCGAACCCGGGGTATCCAACCAGCAATGCCTTCATTTTTGAGGTCTAAAAGTTTTATTCACTTATTTGAAAAGTAATCAATTATACCTCTACATCATTTGGTTCTTTGTAAATGGTTTCTCCTTTATCCTCTTTCTGTACGTGAACAATTTTCTGAGAATAATAAAATCACCTTCATTATAAACAATACCGTGGTTGAATTGTAGAACAAAATGGCAGTCAATATAAATAAGTTCTATTCGGCTATTTTTCCATGAACCCTACCTAGTACATGATTTATCTTTATTATAAAGCTATCTACCTGCTTGTGAATAATATTAATGTTAGATCCATCAATGTATAAAGTAAGATTTTAATGTCTTTATGTGTATATTTCAATCATATTATGAAGAGATCATATATGGAGAAATTTGAAACAATATAGAGTTTAGAAGTTGTCAAATAAAGTCACCTCATTTTCTGATGTGCTATCATGAGATTCTAATATTTTCTTGCTAACCTCCACAAGCTGTAACGAAACGAATAATACAATGACGATATTAGTGGGTTTTTACATACATTCAAGATCAAATCGCGGACAAGAGTGTTTGTGAACTATATGTGTTGCCACCCAAGAAACATATAGCAGAACAACAAACGCATATATTACGCGGTCTGTATTTTATGGAGGCTCAAATGTGCTAAGCGGGGGCTTCAACATTAATTTATTGACCATATGTATTTCTGAATTGTTTTGAAATCAACGGCGTAAGACAAAATCACTGCAATTCAAACGGTAATTATCTCTGAGTAATTTCTCTAAACCACCTATTGAAAAAATTGTTACTTTTCCATTTTTTTAGAGATTTATAAACTTTTTTTTTTCTATCTTTGTTTATCCACTAACTTTATTTAGTATTGTCCACTTCGAGCTTTAGAGTTGAATTTTGTTTCAATTTTATCTACATTACTATTATAAAAAATATGAAGAAGAAACAAACGATCTTGCAAACCTGGGGTGGTATGATATTTCCTCCATTGTTCTCTTTTTTCAAGGTGCTCTCAGTGAATTGCTCTATTTTCTTGCTATTTTCCGCAAGCTGGATACAAACGAATAATATAATAATGCAATGTTCATATATGCTATTTGTACTTTTTACTACAAACTGGGAATTTTGTTGGAAAATTCCTTATCGTAAGAAATGGTCGATTTGTTTAATAAAGTAGTATAGCATATGCATGTACGCAGTGGCACAGCCGTTAATATATATATATATAAAATAGGCGAAATGAAAAAACAAAAATATAGGGAAAGTATCCAAATATTTTTGGCAGTAAACCTTGAAAATATTTAAATGGGTCCAAAATTTTGAACTTATTTGTGAAAACGTACACATTTGAACCATTTATTGTGATTAAAATCATACAACATCAATGAATGGATTTTACTGGTCGCTACAACTTGAGGTATAAATCTTACATCAGTATTTTCTGGTTCATTTTTTGTCAAGTCGTCATCAGTGAAAGACGGTGATGGAAGTTCTTCTGCTATTACCTGAAAATAAGGTATTACCATGAACGTGACAATTAGTTAAATACCAAAATCTGGATTGGAACAAAAATCTCTCATTTACTAAAACCATTCCACTTTGAGCTTTGACCAAAACCTCAACAAAAACATATCTGATGTGCGATTTTTGAATTTATTCGAGAATGGACGTTGTACGACAGAAATACTATAAGTTTTATTGAACATTACCTTCTTGGGCAACTGATTAGAACCATTAATTGAAGAATCCTTGTCGTTTTTCTTCTGTCAAGAATGGATAACAAATGTATAATAAAGAACAGCTTTTCAATAAAATAAATAATTAGTGTCATACTTGGCAAGCATACTACCTATGTGAATTTGTTCTGTATGGTCTTTATTTAACTCAATATCTTGTATTGGATATTTGGGGCTCCCGAAGCATGCGAACCAAGATGGCGGACATCGGAATGTAATATGTGTACTAGGTTAGGGTTAGGCCATAATTTTAGGTATAAATACTACTAGAGGCTCTTGGCTAGTCTTTGAACTGATAATAAGAAAAATTGGAAAAAAATTATCGCCTAACCCTAACCTGTTACCCATGTTACGTTCCGATGTCCGCCATCTTGGTTCGCATACTTCGGGAGCACCGGATATTTTTATATCAGATTGACATATGGATGGATCTTTTTTTTTCAATGCTATGTTCTTAAAAATATTTTTTCATATATACTCAAAACTGAGCGGATATTTTATTTACATATTTGTTTACCTGGTCGATTTTCGGTTGTACCTCGTCAATTGTCTGAGTCGACTGAAACTAATAATATAATTATCATATAAATTTAAAAAAGATGTAGAGTTAAATACATCTATGTTTTGTAAAATTTAATCTATTTTTTGATACTTATCAACAATGCAATACTTCACCTTGGTTTCGATACATTTCTGAGTATCTTCTGTAAAGTTATTTGTTTGTATTGATTTATGGTCAACTTTCTGCAAATGAAAACAGTTTTACGTTTTGAAATGCCAACACGAAGCGACGGGCAGCAAGACTGTAGTTGTGTTTAAGACTAATATACTTATATAGATGGTGGCTTGTCAGCACTTGCATGGCCTGAGCAATGAGATCTCTATGGGCAGCAGGGAGAAATGGGTGACACTTTTAAGTTATACATCATATTCAAATTACATACATTTTGTCTACAATACGTTTACTGAGGAAAAACTTGTTTCCTTTCTATTTCCCCAGAGCCAATATATTTCTATAGATTAAGCAGCATCTTACCGGTTTTTCCCAAATTTTTGAAGATTTTAAAAAATTTTCTAATTTTATTGAGGTGTCGATCAGCGATGTCATCCTCTTTTCCATTTCGTTTATGCTGTCAACTGTGAGGTTATCGAGAGGGCCCCCTGATAAAGTTATTCAAATTATGGGCAAGAATTTTTCTATCATTCAAGCTGGTCATAATTTGAAATTGAAACATGAATTCATTTTCTCTGCGCGTGCACATAAGGAATAAGTCATTCCCGCATCTTAATCATCAGAGATTGAAATTCTATGAACCAACCTTTACTGCAAATATTTTCAGATGAAGTTGATCTTTTTATCCCTGAATCCCCATCTTCTGTGGTTCTTACGTTCATTTGGTTTTGTTTTTCGTTAACAAAATCTAAGCTCTTTTCAAACCATAATTTTGCTGAAGTTACCGATTGCAAACCACAAATTAATAGTTTCTTCTGCTCCTCTAATTGTTTCACAAATTTCACCTGAAAAACAACGAAACGCAATAGTTTGTTAGAAGTTGAGTTCCAACAAGCTGCCAAACTGCAGTGAGAAAAATGGAACTGCTTTTAGCGACGTGCAAATCCAATTTTATATATGCTCAACTTTTGTTTCATCTAAATCATTGTGATCTAACAACATTTCTAGTATTTTTTAAACGTACCATGCCATCCATCATTCCTGTGTCCGCAGAAGCATTACTTTTCTGTGAAACATATGGGCCGCTAGATGGAGGCAATATCCCTGTAGTTGACGTTGGGATCGGCTGCATTGAAGGCATTTGTTCTTGGTCATTCGAACTTTTGAAATCTGGAACAATTCGCAACAAAGTATTTGAATATCATCTGTATTTGTATTTAAGATTGAAGCTGTCTTTAGTAAAACAAGCATAGATTGTCTCGACGGGGATACACTGCAATGTCGCTTGGATTAAAACGGTAATTGGCATGTTTTCGAATCGTGTATACTGCAGGGAATAGTGGGTGATAGTTATTTTCAGGCTCTCACAGATTTCAGATGATTGCTATGCTCAATCACGACCTTATCACATGTTCAATCACGACCTTATCACAAACTTCAATGTTAAATTTTAAACAAAATCAGTAATCGAACACAACGACGGAGGTAGGCCCTATGATTTAATATCTGAATGGCTAGATTATAAATATATTTGAGTTTATAGTACCTGCAGATGCCTTAAGAATTTTGTTGGGCAAATCTCCAACGACCCCGGGTAGACTTTGGGTTTGAAAATTAACACCAGAAACAGATAATGGAGGTCTGAATTTTGCAGGATTCGTTTCAACGATATCTTTTGATTTTTCACTAGGGAAATTTATGAAATATCAAAAATGGTTTCAGTAAATATAAATTTGACACATATATAATCATATTTATATTGAGTACAATAAATGGATCAGCCTATCCAGACATGGACAAACCACGGCCCGCGGGCAAATACGGCCCGTTGGATAATTCAATCTGGCCCGCCTGATGCTGCTACAACCAAACTAAAACCATATTTTGAGGTTTTAGCTAAAACTAGATCAAGGAATTTGTTGAGATTGCGCTATTAATTTAGTTTTGGAATGAGGCCTTTGGTTTTCCAAATTTTCTTTTGTAACATTGTAAATATTGTTCAAAATGTAACTTTTACGTCACACTTACATGGCCCGACAGTCTAGATGGGCAAAATTTTTGACCCCAGGTCCAAAAACCTTGTCCACACTAGGATTCTCTATACATACTCTGCAAAGATGTAAAATTTCTTCAGTTTTAAGTTACAATATGGGCGTTGCTGATTAGACTACGAGTCTACTTTATTTTTTTATTGTATCATTGTATTTTCGAATACATACAACTGGTACACACTCAACACTGCGTACACTGTTTTTTAAGAGATTCAAGAAATTCGAGAAACATTCAAGATGGTATTGCAGATAATTGGAAATAGAAAATAAACAAGTTGCTTACAGCAGAGTTTCCCAAACTGGGATCCGCGGACCCCTGGGGGTCAGTGATGACTGCACAGGGGGTCCGCAACGCTATGAGGAGTTTGATCGATCTTTAATGATCGATTTCAATCAAAAAACCGTTGCGTAGCGTTTCGAACAAATACGCACTTCTGTCAAAATAGGCGATTGCCTTTTGTAACGACTTATATACGTGTGTGAAGAAGAATTTACAGCTCTTACCAATATGATAACAAAATACAGGTCGATAGTTGTCGGAGAGTCGCACCTACGAGTTTGCTAGATACAAATTGGCTGAAATTGCTCCGACAATTGATAAATTGTGCAATGAAAAAGAACCCCACCATCACATTAATGTCGTTTGTGGTATAAAGGTAACATTATTTTTCCTCGTTGGTTAGGTACAGAAATTGATACAGCATTGGATAAGGGTCCGTCAAAATTAAGATTCACCAATAGGGGTCCGCGGCCGAAAAAGTTTGGGAAACCCTGGCTTACAGGATATATGAAAATCGTTACGTGCTGTTATTCTGTGCTATTATTTTAGTCTTAGTGAGATAACAAATTCATAAGAAAAATATTTTCAAAATTGTTTAACCTTGCAGTTTTCGATCCAACTCCTGGTATTTCAAGTGGAGGAAGAGTGTTGCCTCGTCTTCCATTTTCGTAACGCTCGTCGTTAGTATGGATTACACTGCTCCCTATAACTGTATTTTTGCTATCCGATTCCTTATCACGACTTTTTCCACCACTTGATGTTCTGAAACTTATACTTATACACGAAACTGTCTACATTTAAAAAGTTGTGTGTGAACTAGTCACTGGAATAATTTCTACAGAACTAGGCTTATATATATATCGTGTTGTAAGCCGCGAAAAAAACGCACACCATGGGCGCAAATACCATTCATTGCTAATATTGCCTATAATTTACCCGACTTTAGATTGATTCTTGCCATTTTTCAAATTTGCTTTTTGATGATTCTCTTTCTTCAAAATCTGTGAATTTCATAATTCCGTAGATTATTTTAAATATAAACTTGAACGTAATATTATTATTATTTTTGTTATATTGTAGTTTTATTGTCAGTATAAAGTCGACAAAGCCGACGTTCAAAAATTATATATAGTATCGCGTACGCCATAGGTTCTCAAAGTGCTCCGTACGGAGCCCCAGGGCTCCGCGAGAGAAACCCAGGGGCTCCGCGAGCTATTGGATTACTTTTAAAAATACTGACTAATTTTGTAACTGTTCAAAGAAGCAATAACAGCTTTGATAAAATCTGACAACAATATAACCTCGAAATATGGCAAAGAGGCGGAATTAAAAAATGACATTATTCATAAGCAGTAGCGCGGCCAGGATTCTTAATAAGAGAGAGGTGGTTCAAAATTGGAATCGGAAATTCTTCATTCTTCGCGATTAAATAAAGGGATAACGAGATTTCTGTTGTGTTGCGAGACTTCTTACTCACGTTTGATTCGAGATTACTATTAGGATTACTAAAATGGAATAATACTATTCTAAAATAACATAAAATATGTGATAAACTGCCAACTATAAATAAATTGGAGTCGTATTTTTGCGATCTTGGGATTTGTCAAACTTGATTTGTTCTTTCGCACTTAAGATTATTTTTAAGCAAGATATCGCCGTTTTAAAAATCTTAATGTCTGGGCAAAATACGAACAATTGAAATTTATTTTATTGCATTCGGCTCCGTCGGTAGTTTCAGAATGAAAAAAAAGGTACATCGCGGATCGCGCGCACAATTGATTGCGTGCGGCTCTGTCGGTAGTTTCAGAATGGGAAGAAAGGTACATCGCGCGCACAATTGACTGTGTTTCGATTTCGCAGTTACTACGAAGAAAACCTAACATAACACCAAATTTTGTGATTTACAATGTCTATAAAAGCGTTTTCAATCTGAGGTGAGTCTGCTGAAACCAAACGTGTGATCTTCCATTTTAATTTTTAGTTTTAATATTTTAGAATGCCGCTTCGCAATCAAGAAATTTGAGTTGCGGATTTACCTTTTTATTAATTATTATTTTTAGCATTTCGTCGCCGATGACTATAATATGGTGACATGTTTTTCACATTGAACTCATAATTCCCCACAAGAACAAAAAAGCAATTAACGTCGTCATTGTGTAACAATACATGTACTCGTTGTGTAACAATACATGTACTCGTATATGCCGAGAGAAATTTTCGATTTAGGGAGAATAAACACCGGCGTAACGAGGTTTAAAGGTTCAAAAACATGCCATGCTGACAAAAAAAATTGGCGATTGTAACAAAATACAATGGCGCACGTTATAAGCGGCCTTTCAAGTCTTCTAAAAATGTCAAAAGGTAAAACATTCGACCCCTAATTTATTCATATGTTTGTCTAGTGTCAGATTTACAGCTTTAGTATATATAATTTATGTTTAAAATTTAGAAATAATTATGACTTGTATTAACCCTATTAAAAAGGTTCAGCATTTAAATTAGGTAAAGTACTTTTAACTTGCTCAGGAATATTAATCTGAAAGTAACAATTTTAACATTTCTTTTGGGGCTCCGTGAATAATAGTCAACCTTTTCAAGGGCTCCGCAACACCAAAAGTTTGAGAACCCCTGGCGTACGCAATAAAATAATTACACCGAAGCCATTTATAAAGGCCTACTTACCTTTTTACCATTACGATCGATTTCCAATCTTTCCTCGTCAACGTTGGGTTTGCAACAGTGGGAGAATGTCTGATGTATATCGAACAACAAAACGTTAATAAACTAGGGGGGCAATGCTCAAAATGTTTTTTTAAATTTTGGTCGGATTAGACTAGTATGATATGTTTCAAGACTAAGATGTGGTCACTCCGCTTAATGTATCGTGTTTTTTTTTATGTTATAAGTAACTTTATATTGGAAAAAAACATCGCTGTAGCATAAAAAATATCCGTGTTAATATCACTAATATAACCCTACCCCTTACCAATTTCCGTTGAACATTTTCACGACTATTTTATAAACGCTTTGGAAATATAAAGTCTAAACTCACCAAGACTTTGTTAGCCTTCACCATTCCTTTGCCGAACCATGAAGCAAATGCATAAATACAATGCACTGCAGTCAAATAGGATGAAGCTTCATCTCGTTCCTGAGAAGTAAATTAAATGAAGTTTGAAACTTGTTACGCTGATATGCAAACTCCACAATATAATCATACTGCGCAATGCAAAGTATGGTCTACTCACCTCCGGAGAAGCTTTTCTAAATTTTCGCCCTCGCCTTTTTCGGCCACATGACACCCTGTGACCCTCATCGAGATTAGGCCTCTCGATGCCAACTTTATTTTGTCTAATAGGCATACCTGATTTGTTAACAAACAAGATCCTATCGATTGGCAAAATCAATGAGACATGGTTCTTCAAAGTTGTGAATTTATTTTAATGGCATATTTATTACGTCACAATACACCTGAAATTCTTATGGCACAGTTGACAATAGTATATGATTCGCGTTCTGTCTTTTCGCGAAGGAGTGATATTATTTAATGTAGGTCTCTTTGTTTACGTCACTATGACGTAATAATATATTTACGACATTTTCCCTTTGGCATTCGCTGTCCTTGCTTGTGATCAAAATTCAATAGTGTATTATAACCTGGGTCAGGAGATTAGTGAATCTGTGGTATTTTATGAAGTGCAATATACCTCAGTCACGCATGACATACATATACTGCGTCATTTTAGGCAAGGCAGAATGTTTTGGGGAGTAAACGAGAACTAGATGCTACCAATGTTCCCTCTAATTTTTTGTAGTATGTGTGCGCAGAAATTTTTGTGTGTGCGCACTTTTTGGTAAATGACTAATATTCGTGCAAAAACCAATGAAAAAATTTTGGCGTTCTAACCGGGTGATAAGTGGGCCAACAACAAACTTTCTCAACCTGCCAACCGAGAACATTGTTACATTACATCGAAATACGCCTGTGCGCAGTAAATCAATGCGTGCGCGCAGCCTCTGAAAGCTGTGTGCGCGCGCACACGCGCACACCTTAGAGGGAACACTGGATGCTACTATGCAGTTTATTCTTTTCACTCACATAACGCCTTTTGGAAAAAAAAATTATAGACTCGACTTAATGACCACAGATGTCTAAAATAACATTGGAGCAGAATGGTTGTAACTTCAATGTGGTTAAAAACCCATCGAAAAATAAAAATATACCTCTCTCAGAGTAAAATTCCATTCCAAACTTTTTTTAAAATCATGAAAAGATCTGACGTAGCATTGTAGTCGTTTTTTGGTAATTAATATGCATACGAACCCGCGTTTGTCCCACATGAATTCGATAAAACCAAGTACTACCAGAGATCGAGCTCATAAGTGAGTGTTGTATTTGTAAAGCTCACAACTACACTACAAAAAAATGCAACAGCAAGTTTTTCTATTGATGAAGACATTGTTTAAATATCTATGATCCACAGTCATTTTTTCCCCTATTACAAATATAATTTGGTCTTATTCAGAAGTAGGGTTCGACATCCGTGACCTAGATACTTTACGAAAGTTTACGTATTCAATTTACTTTGTAGTCAAGTTTACTAATTCAATCACCAAACTGCCTATTTTAACCTGTTACAATAATACATAATGGAGGTCGTTGTACTAATGCAGTCACTAATAAATTAATATGTAAGCAAACTAACTTGATGAAAAGCTGTTTCAAATTTTTGTCCTCGTTTCTTTCGACCACATGACACCTTGTGACTTTCTATATACCGTATTTGCTCGTTTAATAGCCCGGGCGCTTATTTTTTAAACATACTCACTAACTGGGCCGTTATTCAAACCGGCCCTTATTCAAGCAGGGGCGCTTGTTATTTTTAAAGTAAAATTACACACAAAAATAACGATAAATAAGATCGATCGTTACAATAATTAATACCGTATATCGTCATTTCCAGTTCTCAAGTATGATTTAAACGAGAATAATGAAAATTTTGACTTTTTCTACGCACCGCAGGTACAAATCCGCAAAAAAAAAAAAAAACTTTTACACCAGGCGGGTATTCAAGCACCGGCCCTTATTTATTTTTATGTCCTGTTCACACGGGCGGCTATTCAAACGGGCCCTTAATCAAGACCGGGCGTTAAAACGAGCATTTACAGTAGTCATCCGAAATGACATCCACTTTATTTCGTTTGCGACGCATATTCCAGTACTAATTTGCTTCCAATGGAAGGGTTATCCAATTAAGAAGCAGGAAACGAAGTGAAAGGTTTGTCGAACGATTTTTACGTGAATTTTGTGGCCTTGTGACGTCATAATTTCAGAGAATCATTAGATTAATCCGCCAAGACATTTCATGATTATATTGATGATAATTATATGAACATCGCGGATAATTTCGAGCGTGATGGCCTGGTGCATGGTGGTCCTAGGTTGTCGGCGCCGGGGGCCACAATATTTATTTTGTCTTGTCCGCGGGCCACATTAGTCTTACGACATTTGACATGTGGCCCGCGTGCCTGGACCACCATGGCCTAGTCCTAGTCGGTAAAGCACGAGACAGCAGACTCAACTATATATTGGAATCCCGCATTACACATCACGTATCGCTATAGAGATCAGTGGATTGTTTGGATTGAGCTTTGTTAATATGATTAAGGGTCGCGTAAAAAGGAATGAGAAATATTTGGCAAAAATTAGATCCACTCACGGCCATGTCGACATACCCTGGAATATACACTTGGAATATGTGGGGTGTGAATCGTCAACTAGTCGGCTCCCGTTGCATATGTTATTGAGTTAATTATGGGGCCGATGAGGCGCGTATATGTGGAACATAGAGGTACGGTGTATTCAACTATGGTACTAATTTCTGATTTCCAATTTCAAAATGATTCAATAATGTCTTATGTGTGCCACGGCCCACGAGCCCTTTAATTAGGCTTATCATATATCTGAAACAAAAAACCGGGACGGTGCGATTTGGCAAACATTCAGTCTATTGCCAATTAATATTAAATATTAAAACTTCTACCATGCCATTGAGGGTAAATACAGCTGTTAATCTCTACTGGTCTTTAAATTAGGAAAACACAAAAAATTAGTTTGTATTATTTATTTAGACCAAAAGTATTTGTCCGCAGAAAGAACGCTTCTTAAAAATACTTGGTGCGATTTGATTTTGTCATAAAACTGATAACATGGCAGATCCCCATTAATTTTGCAGGGGACGAGTGCTTTAATATTTTCTTCTAGCATTCCGCCCCTGCTTTCAGACCAAAAAATTTTAACAATTGAGAAAAGCCGTTCATCAGATGCCGATGTTTCAGGCAAACAAAATACAAATTCAATAAGTTTCTGCAAATTCAAAATACTAATATTTTTGCGTGAAAAATTCTTGAACATTTCTATCCACTTATCCTCAACGGGCAAAGTAAGCCAAATTGCATTTGATCTATGCTCGGATAAATATTTCTTTATCCATCGCTTGCGATGGAATAAACACACTTTCCATTTTTTCTTGCTTCACCTCAGGCAAAATATCTGCAACATCTACAGCATTAGTACTATCTTTTTCCAAAATGAGAACAATTTTGAAGTAGGTGAGCTGGCCAAGGACAAATTTCAAGTAAAGTTCGTACGCTGGATCGTCGAAACATTTTTGTATAAGAGTCGGGCAGCCTTCTTGAGAATTGAAATAACTTTTCAAGCCTTCAATTTCCGTTATCCTCTGCAGAGCAGGTAATAATGAGAGAAACCGAGTGTTGCCATGCTGCAATAGCCGTTGATATTCAATATCAACAAAGTCGCAGAATGATTTCAGTTCTGTTACTCGGACAGTGTAAATGTAAAAATATTTATAAATTTCTACGGCAGACTTTCTACACACACAGGCAAAGTATCTACGGCATGTTGAATGCAGTTATGAACTACATGAGCCGCACATCCTATACCGGTTATATATTTTTCTTTTTGGGCTTTCTTTTAGTTTGAAATAAACAATATTTGTACCGCGTCTTTTTACGCCTCCGAAGTAGGTGTTGCAGTTATCCGCACAGAATCCAACAACTCTTCCTTTTAAATGTTTTTGATCGAGAACAGAGAGCAAGTATTCAGTAAAAGTTTTGGCGGTTTCCCCGGGTAGAGATTTGAATTCTGATAGTTTTTTTCACACCAACATCAGTTAAAAAATAACGAACCACAACTGGAACAAGCTTTAAATCTTTTCTGCTTAATGCATCGATGGTTACTGATACGAGTTCAGAGGATAGCAGTGGAGCAATGCAATTAACAATCACCGACTCGCATTTAGTTCTGACTAATGCAAATTTAGGCTAAGAAAAATTTGAAATTAATTTAGAGGTGCAGTAAAAACTTTGGCCATGAACAGCAGTATGATAGGCAACTGTGGCCTCTTTGGCTGCAAAACAAAGAATCTTTCGAATTTGTTATCGCAAAGAAGTTGGTCAGTCGAGCCGATAATGATTGGTGCTTCTTGCTTTGGAGATGATCGTTGACAGCTGAACGACCGCCATGACTAATAGAAAAAACAGATCTACAATGAGTACAAAGTGTTTTTCCTCCTTCAGTTTGCTTCAAATAAGGAAAATCTCTCTTCGACTCATTGGAAAATTTGCACTTTCTTTTTGCCATTTCGACAACCTAACGTCAGAGCAGTTAACATCAGGTGACGCATTAAAACATATCACAATTGTGACATAACAATAGACAAATTTCTTTCTCCCTCTCTCTCTCCCTCTCTGAACATGTAAAGTGTGTCGCAAATCAGTGGTAAGTGGGCTGTCTTCAATAAAAAAATAAAAATTTATAATAATATTGAATATAAACTTTTACCCATGGCAGCCGAGCTGCCAAACCGGGACATTTGAGTCTACCGGCCGGAACGCCGGGACAGCTTGTTAAAACCGGGACTGTCCCGGCTAAACCGGGACGTATGGTAAGCCTACCTTTAATATATATATGATGCTGGTTGTCGTTTAGAATTAATTATTTGCTGTCATTTACGGTAATATGAATCTGGAAACAGAGATATTTGAGACAGTAAATGCGGGAATATACACAATTTTTGCTAAATAACGTGATTAGAATTTAATTTCAAGCTTCATAGTCATGCAATTTAATATTAAAACTTAATGTTATTGAACTAATAAAATTTGACTCAAACTTGAATTATATATATATACCTTTTCAGGGAAATTTGCTTGGAGAGAGGTCGCGCGATAACTGAAATGCGAAGAATTGTTGAAATGTGTCAGAAAATGAAGATTGTTTTGAGACTTCAAAATGGGAAAAACACGTAGGTACGAGTTGTAAATTCCACATAACAAGTTTTTGGAATCCATTTGGACATTTTAAAATCCGGCAAGGCTTTTTTGGCAGGAGAGTGAAAAACACATCTACTTGATCAAGATTCTTTCCCAGAAATTTCGATAATGCAATTATTTCACCTTCAAGCCTTTCTTCATAGTAAAGATCAAATGTAAGCAACCACAAAAGAGGAGAGGATGCTGATTGCTGATGTATATTGATCTAGCATTTGAATCGAAATAAAGGATTGAGCAGTACTTTTCACTTGATATTTATTTATGAACTTTTTGAAAACCATTAAATCAACGGCATGAAAACTTGAAATGCAGAAGCACAATAAAATGGAAAAAGAATTATGAACAATTTCAATTATTGAAATATTTTTGATTGGCATCTTTAATATTTATAGCTTTGAGATGCGCCCCTTTTCTCATCGATATCTTAAAAACATATACTACTTGCAAATTGTTGGGTAATATTTTCTATCTCCTAGTAATTGAGAACGTGGGAAAACAATCTTCTAAAGCAGGGATCACCAACCCGTTTCCCGCGGCACCAAGTCGCCCGCATGGACCATATTATGTTGAAATAGTATATCACATTTTTGCAGATGTTCACGATTAGACTGCAGATAATTACAGCAGAACCCGCCCATGCTCGAGCACATACAACAGTCATCATAGTTGCTTTGTAATTGTTCATGGATCAATTGGTTGAAATACAAAACCACTTTTCTTAAGAAGACTCGTATCTGAATGCTGGGAACTTCTCATTCTAATTTATAAAAAGTTACGGACAGAAGTTTCATTTGATTGGAATAGCAAGCACATCACCAAAGAACACCATAAGCAGAAGATCTGTATCTGATTTCTTGGAACCTCTCATTCCCAATTACGAAAAGTCACAATCAGCAGTTTATGGTCAAATATAGAATTTTGCTATGCTATCCTTGATCTAATTACACCCTAGCACAGATAGAAGACATTGCTTCACTCACATATCAGCATATAGATTACGCGAATGCCCAGCGATTCTTTTTCTCAGGTGAAAATGACAAAATCACTGTAGCCTACTACCTTAATTTCTTATAACAATTCACCCATTTTACACCCTTGGGAATAGTAATCATTCTTGTTATGGGTGCCATCCCCAGGTAAGAATACTCAATGGAATTTATTCACTTTGTGTGTGAGATATAATTTGTTAAAAATATGCGTAAATACAAGAACACAATAGTGGTAGATTTCCTCTGTTACTAATACATTTTAGCTGTTTTCAAGGTTCCAGGCAAGAGTGGATAATTGAAAGGTTGCTAGCTAATAGTTCAGTATTTCCTAAAGATTTTACTTAATTGGTTATGGTTCTCTCATTTTTAACATCTGTAAGAGCTTCTTTGACATCACAAACTCCTTGCTTAAACAATTTCAGTAGAAACACGACAGAGAAATGCTAGTACAGAAGTTTGTAATTGTGAACTTGTTATATCATACAGTAGTCTGATTAAACCTCTTTACCGTCCCAGTATGTACCTCGCAGAAGCATGTTTTCTGAGATATTCTTCAGTAGTTGGCTTGATATTTCAATCCATGTACAGCAACTTTGGTGATTAGGTTGTAAGAGCTCGGGCATGAAGGTCTTCTTCAGTTGTAAGTTTTCAAATTGTGAACATCTGAAACAGCAAATGATATACTTACTCTGTAATTGTTTGTAAGCACAGTTTTTATCTATGCATATCGGTAGCCTGATAGTGTTATTACTTATAAACAATAATGAAAACGCATCGAATCTCAACTTATAACTTAAAAAAAGAATACTCTTCTTGTAGCATACTTTATGAGCTACCTGTATCAATATTATCCAAGTTATTGATCTGAAGAACAACATGGCATCTCGAGACGGTACATCGTACACGTGCACGTTTTTTTTACTAAAATATCATAACGCATCTGAATACAGTATTTCTATGAATCCAGCAACGAAACACCATTACATTGCGTTTTTACATTGCGCGGCGGTGTGGCTCAACGGGCTAGGCGTTAGGAATACGCTCGCCACCGCACCTCTAAATACTGCGTGGGTTCGAATCCCATGCAGGGATGGTTATGTGCGAGAGGATTGTTGGACTCCTCGCCGTCGTTGGGTGGTTCACGTAACCGCTGGTCGGTTACGGCTCCCTCCACTACCAAGTCCATGCTTCCGAAAACAAACAATATAACTAATCCCATACCCGACTTGGAATGGTAACCGGACGAGAGGCCGTGGCTCGCCATATGGATAAGCCGTCTCATCGACTTTCCTCTCACACGGGATAAATATGTAAATCCTACCCTATTCACAAGAAATACTGCAAGTCAGGCCTGGAAGCGTTAACGTACAGAGCAAGGAATCGCAGGCGTCACCTCTTTTTGCATCGACGAATGCGAAAGTTACAACAAGTCAAAGGTTATGAATGTCGTTTTTTGTCCTGTCTAAAAAGTCAAAAGCTGGACAAATCCGGCACTTATTGGCAGACTAGCAATACTTCTGTACATGCATCTTTTTGCCATTGCTTTGTATGTGGAAAAAGCTAAAGGGGCACATACGATTGGAGAAACCCCCCTGATAGCATATCAAACAAAGAAACGAGTTTCGCTGTCCAACGACATAATAAAATTCAGAATCAATGAAATGTCTGACAATATTGTTAGCGAGAATCATAACGTGTTTCTAATTTGATGACGTTTTACGTTGTTACGCAGACGTTGCAAACGTATCGACGCAGCATTATTGCGACAGAGTCCTGTTTCTCGATTAATCCCGGGAATTCTAAATTATTGCCACGCTGCTTCGATGAGTTGGCACCTTCTGTCTTGTATCCAGTGTAATCTATTGCGCTAGGAGTTGTTTATCGTGTTTAATATTGGATTTACTATTCGCGGTTAGGATAAACGATTCGAATTGAAGTTATTAATTGGGTTTAAAATCAACGGTTCATACTGGGGTTGTAATATAATGTAGGGATACAGGTTAGGGTTGTAATATAGTCCAAATAGAATGATAACTGTTGTTCTTTATATTTAGTCACATAAGTTAAGTTGTATTTACTTTGGATTATAAATTTGTTGAATTGAGTTGCCTGGAGATCCTAAACATTCGGTATGTAAATATTGTTTTATCTTGTATGATTCATTCTGTATTTTATTATTGTGAATACTATTTTATCCTATGTGATTTAATCTGTACATAATTGTGACATATGGTTATCTGCTAATTGATGTGAATTGTTATTGCTTGTAAAAATGGTAATGCTGTTATATTTGATTAATTGTGCCATATAAGCTATTTAGTTTTATCTATTATTTTGGCAGAAAACCGTTCCTTTAACAACGTTACGTTACGTTCCATTAACAACGTTCCTTTACGTTCCTCATACCCGGTATCAAGATTTACGTTACGTTCCATTAACAACGTTACGTTTCCGGTACCCGGCAAGTTCTATTTTCCTGATTCATGTTTCGAGATTTGATTTGAAGTGTCTGTTGATTGTTATTAAAGATATTCACCGATTTCAAGTTGAATTATATTGGGGCAGCATTTGAAAGGCACAGAAGAATCTGGCGGCACTTTAACCGCTGTTTACAGACTTTAATTGCTTGAAAGCACGGACTAGTTGTAACAATTAACCGATATAGGTTGGGGTCAGGACTGGGGTATTGGGACGCGTTTTTGAAGTCTCCAATCTCTTAATGTGCGTGAGAAGTAACCAGGCTACATAGAATCGAGCGCAACATTAAAGTTTTCGAATGAAGGAAAACTGAAGTTTTCTATTTCGAAATCAAACCAGAGTATTGTAAGCAGCAATTGAAAGATATCAAACTTTTCAATTGATCCTAGATTGAGTGAAGAAAGTCACTTAAAAGTCGAAATGGCTGCAAAACCAGTTTCACAGGAAGAACTGGAACGTTTATTGGCTGATCTGAATGGTCAGTATAGATCAGCAGAAGAATTGATGTTGAATCCAAAAAATAAGGAGATTCTACAATCACAAGTGAAAGAAATAGATGCAATGTTTGTGGAGTATTCTAAAGCTTATGAAGTACATGTTGCAGAACTGCCAGTAGATGAAGAGGCTCAAAGAGTAGCTAAAGAATCTTTCCTGAGAGAAAGTTATGGATATGAAGAGTTCAAGGCACATGTTGAAGAGTGGCTTTCCAGACAAGAATCCTCCATCAAAACCACAATCTATAGCTAGTAGAAAATCATCTAATATGTCAAGACCTCGATCTGCAAGGACAGCATCGAGTTACAAAAGTACAAGTTCCAGTTACAAGAGAACTGAGGCAATAGCTGTCAGAGAACTTGCAAAATTGAAAATGAAGCAACTGTCAGAGCTAGAACAGGCTGAACGAAATACTGAAGAAATGAATCGGCAAGCCGAAGAAAGGAAACGGCAAGCTGAAGAATTAAAATCAGCATCAGAGAGAAAAATAAGGCGAGTACAAGCTATACACGAATATCAAGCCGCATGTGTAGAGGCGGAAGTGTGGGAAATAGGCTCTAATCGCAATGAAAGGGTTCAGTTTCAAGAAATGGATTCTGGACCACCGATAGCACAATTGGTAGAATGTGAAGCAGCACGGGCTGAAGTAAACACACCTCAAGTGGGTCAAACCAATTGTATTGTGCCTCCTAGAGAGCCACAAGTTAGATTATCCCTGGATCCGGTCCAGGAAGTGGTTGCGGAAGTGATGAATCCCGTTAATCAAGAATTTCGAACTAGACAAGATGGAACGAGACAGGCTAATTTGGTGAGTCGTGTAGAAGTACCTAATATGCCATCACAAGATGTTGGCTCAATTCTTGCTACTATGACATATACAATGCGTGACATGGTAGATTTACCTAAACCCGAATTACTTTCGTTTCATGGTTGTCATGAAGAATATACAAGATTCATGAATAGTTTCAAGATAAATATTGAGAACAAGATTTCAGATGACAATCTGAGACTTACTTACTTGCAACAATTTTGCAAAGGTAAAGCAAGAGAATTGATTCGTCAATGTTCTGTGTATCCTCCTACAGAAGGATTGACTTTAGCAAAGAGACTTCTAAGAGAAGCTTATGGACGACCATTGTTGATTGCCAGAACTTATATGGAAGAGTTGGTACATGGTCCAATGTTGAAACCAGATGATCGAGATAGTCTTTTGGATCTTTCTCATAAAATGGAAGAATGTTACCTAACGCTGTCGCATTGGAAGCAATATTCAGATCTAAATAATTTTGACAATATTGCTCAACTTTCATGTAGATTACCCCTGAAGTACCATAATAAATGGGAAGAAGAGGCAGCAGATTATGAGAATAGAAACATTGAACTAAAATTTGAACATCTTTTAAAGTTTGTCAAGAAAGCAGCAATTACGGCACAATCATCGATGGGCAAAGCTATGAGAGCTCATAAAGAGAGGGAAAAGGCTAAACACCCTCAAAAGAAGAGAATTTATGCAAATTCCACTTCAACAAGTGGTGATGGCAAACCTGAACAATCTACCGAGAGAAAAGGTACATTTGTGAGAAATAGATACAGATGTGTTATCTGTTCAAAAGATCATTTTCTTATTCATTGTCCAGAGTTTGAAAGAAAATCTGCAAGTGAACGCGAGGCTACAATTCGTGAATTTCATATTTTCAGAAACTGTTTATACATTGGTCATATGGCACGGCAATGTCGTAAGAATCCTGCATGTACTGAGAGAGGATGTGGTGGCAGACATCATAGAATGCTTCATCGAAATGTTACAGATACCAAACGAAAAGAGCAAAGTACAAGTTCCGCTACTCAAACTGCTACATCGGGATCAACCTTAACGAACTATACCAGAAATTCAGTTGGAGTATACTTGAATATAGTTCCAGTGAAAGTATCCTCACCTCAAGGTAGAGAAATTGAAGTATACTGTTTCCTAGACGAGGGAAGCACCTCTTGTCTATGTGATAAAAGATTGATGGAACTTTTAGAGATTCGCTCTTGACTTAACTGTTAAACCACTGAAAGGGGAAGGTTGTGTGACATTACATCGTGTGCTCACGGTGGATGAAATTCCGACAGTACCGAATAAATTACCTAAAAGGATTGAATTACAAAGGCATGAATATCTCGAGGGTATTGAATTTCCAAAATTACCAGATGAAAGAGTGATGCTCATGATTGGCGTGAATGTACCGGAGGTATTCTGGGTAAAAGATGAAAGGCGTGGTACTACAAATGAACCAGTTGCAAAGAGAAGTATTCTTGGTTGGTCACTGATTGGGCCTGCCTTTAATAAAGCTTCTCGGAATGAAAGTTTTCATGTACAAGTAAATCTTGCTGAAGTGAAAAGAGAAGATCTTCAACGACAAATTAGAGAGATGTGGGAAACAGATTTCAAAGATATATCATTGACTTCCACACCAACATTGTCAAGAGAAGATAAGTATGCATTACAACTGATGGAAGATAATATAAAGATGGTGGATGGACATTACCAATCTCCGTTACCATGGAAACCAGGATGTCCTGAATTTCCTAATAATCGTGATGCAGTTATGAGAAGAACCAACAATTTGGGAAAACGCTTGTTGAGGAATGATGTTTTAAGGGACAAATATTGCAGTACCATGGCTGAATTTATAAAGAAAGGATGGGCAAGGAAAATTCCTGCTGCTGAATTTGAAGCACCCATTGGTAAAGCGTGGTATCTTCCTCATCAACCCGTTACATCAGAACAGAAACCTGGTAAAGTACGCCTGGTATTTGATGCAGGTGCAAGATATTTGAACACATCACTGAATGATCAATTACTGCAAGGTCCAGATATGGCAAATGGATTGTTATCTGTTTTGCTACGTTTCAGAATGTACAAATATGGTATAACTGCAGATATAGAAGCTATGTTCTTACAAGCTCGTGTAACGCCTAGGGATGTTGATGCATTGAGATTCCTATTTTGGCCTGATGGAGATTTGACAAAAACTCCTGTCGATCATCAGATGTTAGTGCATTGTTTTGGAAATACATCAAGTCCATTTTGTGCAAATTACTGTTTAAGGAGAACAGCAGAAGATTTTGGAAAAGACTTTCCATCAGACATAAGTGACAATATCAAAGATAATTCATATATAGATGACTTCCTACTTGGAGCAGATAGTATATCTGAAGGGAAGAGAATTGTCAAGCAAATCTCAGAACTTACTGAATGTGGAGGTTTTCATTTAAACAAATGGAGAAGTAATTCTGAAGAAATTATTTCTTGTGTTCCAGAAAAGGATAGAGCACAAATTCAAGCAAACATAAATTTAGACCCAAATCGTTTTGAACGAGTTTTGGGAGTCGTGTGGTTCGTGAGAGAAGATTGCTTTGAATTTAATACAAAGCTGAAGACAAAACCTGCTACGAAAAGAGGAGTTCTAGCAATTCTTAGTTCCGTATTTGATCCCATGGGTATTGTATCACCTGTGATATTGCAAGCAAGACTTATATTCCAAGAGTTATGTCGTCAACAATTGGGATGGGATGAAACTATCAGAGAAAATGAACAAATAGCATGGGAAAGCTTGACTAAAGCAACTCCAGACTTATCAGAAGTCAAATTACCAAGATACATTAAACTGAATTCATTTGGGGTTATTGTTTCACAAGATTTGCATCATGTTGGCGATGCATCACAAGTTGCCTATGGAACAGTTTCATATCTGAGGTTATCAGATGAAAACTGTCAAATACACTGTTCATTTTTACTTGGAAAATCAAGATTGTGTCCTATCAAGACAATATGTTCACTTCCACGGCTGGAAATTACAGCTGCTGCGCTTTGTGTGCGAGTGGATATGTTTTTAAGACGTCAATTAAAATTTGAGAAGAATGTCAAGTCTATATTCTGGAGTGATAGCACAGCTACTATCCAATCAATTTACAATTCGTCGAAAAGATTTCCTACTTTCATAGCTAACCGATTAGCAAAAATTGAAGAAGGTTCAGAGCCACATCAATGGCGTTATGTTCCAAGTGAATTGAACCCAGCGGATTATGCATCCCGTGGAATGACAGCAAAGAAATTGATTGCAAAGAAATCATGGTTACAAGGACCAGAATTTCTCTACCAGAATGAAGAGAACTGGCCACAAATGCCAGTTAAATGACCACATTTACCATTGGAATTTATTCAGAAAAGGCCAATGAATGTCCTAATTAATCTAGTGACAGAGAATGAACCTTTGGACAAGTTTATCAACTATTATTCTTCATGGTATAAGTTGAAGAAAGCTACCGCATGGATTATCAGATTCAAAATTTATTTACAAGCTAAACCAACTGTTCAAAAAGGTAAATTGCAAACAGAAGAGTTGAGAAGATCCGAAAATGAGCTGATAAAGTATTTACAAAATAGTGAGTTGAATAAAGTTATTGCAAAATTACAAAATTCTGATGTACAAGGAAAAAGTGTGCTTAGAAATTTGAAAATTGCACCTTCAATGCAAAAGTTGAATCCTGTTTTAATTAATGGAATATTGAGAGTGGGTGGAAGATTGCAAAACGCACCCATAGAATTTGATTTGAAACATCCAATAATACTGCCAAGTAACCATCATATCACACAGTTGATTGTCAGAGAATACCATAAAAGTTCACATCATTGTGGAGCAAGTCATACATGGAATTTGCTGAGACAGAAGTTCTGGATTATCAATGGAGCTGTTGTTGTAAAGCGAAATATTCGTAATTGCATTTTTTGCAAAAAGAGAAATGCTTCGATGGGTAAGCAATTTATGGCTGACCTACCTAAAGAGCGTGTGACACCAGATCAACCACCATTCACATGTGTTGGAGTTGACAACTTCGGACCATTATTGGTGAAGCAAGGAAGAAGTTCTGTGAAGAGATGGGGCTTGATAATAACCTGTGCAACAACTAGAGCAGTGCATTTGGAAATTGTGCATAGTATGGATGTCAATTCATTTATTAATGGATTAAGAAGATTCATAGCCAGAAGAGGCAAGATGTCAACCATTATATGTGATAATGGGAGCAATTTTACAGCTGGAAATAAAGTGTTGAAGAAAGAAATTCAAATTTGGAATTCCAGTAAAATGGGAGAATTTTGCAGACAAAGTGATATCATATTCAAGTTCAATCCTCCCACAGCTTCACACTTTGGAGGTTTCTATGAAAGACTCATCAGATCAGCAAGGAAGATACTGACTGCATTATTGCATGATCAATTGGTTACTGATGAAGCGTTGTCTACTATATTTTGTGAAGTTGAAAGTCAATTGAATTCAAGACCACTTACACCTATTAGTATGGATCCTTTGGATGAAGAACCACTTTCACCAAATCATTTATTGTTGCTGAAACATAAAGCAAATTTACCACCGGGAATATTTGACAAGAAAGATTGTTATGCGAGAAGAAGATGGCGTCAAATACAATATTTGGCTGACCAATTCTGGATAAGATGGTCCAGAGAAGTACTCGTCAATCTACAAGCTCGACATAAATGGTTGAAGAAGGAAGACAATTTCAAAGTCAATGATCTTGTGCTAGTGGTTGACAACACAATACCAAGAGGAAAGTGGTTGACTGGCAGAATTATGGAAGTTATACCAGACAAATTTGGAGCTGTCAGACAAGTGACTGTCAAAACTTCTCATGGGTTTTTAAGAAGACCAATAGCAAAACTTTGTATGATTCAGAGAGCTGATGAGTAATTTATTGTTAGTTGTATTACTTATTTGTGATGATTCTCACTTTTTCTTTTTGAATTGTAAGATGTATTCTCTTCGTTCCTACATCTGGGGCGGGGAATGTTAGCGAGAATCATAACGTGTTTCTAATTTGATGACGTTTTACGTTGTTACGCAGACGTTGCAAACGTATCGACGCAGCATTATTGCGACAGAGTCCTGTTTCTCGATTAATCCCGGGAATTCTAAATTATTGCCACGCTGCTTCGATGAGTTGGCACCTTCTGTCTTGTATCCAGTGTAATCTATTGCGCTAGGAGTTGTTTATCGTGTTTAATATTGGATTTACTATTCGCGGTTAGGATAAACGATTCGAATTGAAGTTATTAATTGGGTTTAAAATCAACGGTTCATACTGGGGTTGTAATATAATGTAGGGATACAGGTTAGGGTTGTAATATAGTCCAAATAGAATGATAACTGTTGTTCTTTATATTTAGTCACATAAGTTAAGTTGTATTTACTTTGGATTATAAATTTGTTGAATTGAGTTGCCTGGAGATCCTAAACATTCGGTATGTAAATATTGTTTTATCTTGTATGATTCATTCTGTATTTTATTATTGTGAATACTATTTTATCCTATGTGATTTAATCTGTACATAATTGTGACATATGGTTATCTGCTAATTGATGTGAATTGTTATTGCTTGTAAAAATGGTAATGCTGTTATATTTGATTAATTGTGCCATATAAGCTATTTAGTTTTATCTATTATTTTGGCAGAAAACCGTTCCTTTAACAACGTTACGTTACGTTCCATTAACAACGTTCCTTTACGTTCCTCATACCCGGTATCAAGATTTACGTTACGTTCCATTAACAACGTTACGTTTCCGGTACCCGGCAAGTTCTATTTTCCTGATTCATGTTTCGAGATTTGATTTGAAGTGTCTGTTGATTGTTATTAAAGATATTCACCGATTTCAAGTTGAATTATATTGGGGCAGCATTTGAAAGGCACAGAAGAATCTGGCGGCACTTTAACCGCTGTTTACAGACTTTAATTGCTTGAAAGCACGGACTAGTTGTAACAATTAACCGATATAGGTTGGGGTCAGGACTGGGGTATTGGGACGCGTTTTTGAAGTCTCCAATCTCTTAATGTGCGTGAGAAGTAACCAGGCTACATAGAATCGAGCGCAACAAATATTAAGAGCAAGGTAATATCAAAGATTGACTCCTCTTCTGTTTTTGCCCTTAAACTGGACTACTACTACATTTCTACTTGTGTATGCCAGATATGTTGATGGTGAAATGATTACTAAAGAATTTCTCGTCTGCCAACCTTTGGAAAGAACATCAAAGGCAGTGGATGCTTTTTAAGTATTAGTTGATTTTTTAACAATATTGGTTTAAGTTGGAGTAAGCCTGTTGGCGCTTCTGCCATGATTAGTGATTAGGATTGGTTTCCCTCATAAAGCAGAAAAATCCAGTAATTTAAAGAACTTATTGCATGATTCACTCAACGGCGCTTGTCTCCAAAACCATTCCGAGGAGACTCTACGAGCATTTGTCTGACGTAATTAGAGTGACGTAAATAATTACGTGAAAAGTTTAGCGCTCAGCACTAGACTCTTACGCAAGGTTTGTAAAGATATAGGTGGATAGGATTCACATATTTATCCCAGGGGAGAGGAAGGCCGATTAGACGGCTTAATCATATAGCGAACCACGACCTCTCGTCCGGTTACCAGTTATTTGTTTTCGGAAGCATGGATTTGATTCTATCACACTTGCCGATGCCGATCATACTACACTTTTATATCATACGCAAGTACGTTGGCTCTAAAAGGAAAACATGCTCCCCATGTTTTCGAACTGAAAGAAGAAGTGATGTTATTTTTGGTTGCGCAACAAAAAGAATTGGTCAACTCTAGGGTTCAGTTCACGGAAAATCTCTATCAATCTCATTTCTTCGGCAATACAGCTTTCACGAAAGTATGCACACATTTGTGTGAACAGAACATGGTGATATTTTTAAATGGGCGTTTCCCCGACCATAATTTAGGTATAGTCTATCGCAAGGTTTGTGGGATCAATTTTGGATTATTGCAACTAAACTAAAGGTCCTCAGAAGACATAATGACAACTAATGTATTTAATCAGAAACTACTTTTTGTAAACACATCTGAAAACTGACAAATAACACACAAAATCACGAAAACGTGGCAATGTTTACAACAATACTGTACTTGGAAATCGGTCCGTGCGAAAGAAGTGTCTGGCTCCTTAGATTGCGATTGTTACGTTATTGTGAGTGTACTTACTCATTGCTGATTGAGCCTTTTCATGGACATAAACAAGGGAATCGACACTAGGGGAAACGTCGATTATATCTAGCAATCCAGCGTATGATTCCGATCGGTTGATCATGTGACGTCATCGCATAGTCCACCAGCTGGCCGGCTGTCATGAGGATTTTATATTATTCCAAAATCCAAACCATATTTCGTTTATTATGACGGCGTGTTTTTTAGAACGCCCGAACGTTGCTTGAAATGAATATGCTTTGGCTCCATTCGGCTTGAGAATTTTCTGGTTAGTACCAATGTGAAAATGTGGTTGTTCCTCTCGTAATAAACCTGTAAACTTATACCGGTACCGTAACTTACAAGACTGCAAGAGCTGAAGAGAGAGAGAGAGATTTATTGTTTCAAGCAATTGTACCACACAAAAAAAAGTATCCAAGTCAATTGGGTATAGACAGGAGGGAGCGGTACCGTACGAGCATTGCTCACTACAGCATTAACTGAATAAGGGCAGGAGGGATAAATTTTATGAATGTTTTGTAATGTCAATTTGTACGGTACCGGCGGTACCTACTAACTGACTGACCTAGGCTAGTTTCTAAAAGTCTGTATACTCCGATACTGGTAGGCCTATACCGGGCATTACCAGTATTCAGTTATTACGTCATTAAAAGTAGGTAGCCTACCGGTACCGGTATAGACGTAGATACTACCGGTACCGTACCAGGTATAAAAATATTTTAGAATTAGGTCTGTAGGTAGACTACCCCAATTGATTCTCCATTCTTCAGTTCTTTCTTTTTCTGTATTTGGTCAAAGATATCTTCAATTTATTCAGTTATTACGGTAGCCTACTGTATTAACAGATTAGACCAATAATCTAATTCCTAAATTGTGACCAATTTATCATCGATGTGATACTTGTTGGTGAATTATCAACATGTCTGGAGGAACAATGGTCATGCAGGATGACCCTGCTGTCAATTTAAGCAATGATGGATTAAATTCCACACAAAATGGTGAAGTAAAAATGTCACAAGATGTTATTCTACAGAATACAAGAAATGTAATACAAGGCTTAGATCAATTGAGAACCGAGCATAATTCTATATTACACAGGTAAGCTGTATTTCTTTTCTTGGTTAATTAATGTCATGTCTCTTACAAATATTAAAATATCATACTTGTATCAAATGTTATATCTTTATATATTATTTATAATGACTAAATTTTTATTTTTCCTACAAATTGAATATTTTTAGTCTTCTTGCGACATTGAATGCAATAAGAAGAGAAAATGACAAAGATGTAAATCTTGTTGAAGAAAAATCACATATTATAAAAAAGTCATTGGAAATGATTGAGCTTGGTTTGGGAGAAGCAGAAGTATGTTTTTATGTTCTTTCTATTATCATCCTTTAGTTTTTACATTTTTACATATTTCACATTTTTTCTGCAGTTGACTTTAAATTTTGAATCATTACACTTTCCTGTAATTATATCAAGTTTTTAGAAAAAATATACCTTTTGTTTGTTTAGATTTGAAAAAAAAAATAAAACATCTCAACATAGACATTTTTTTTATTCGCTTAACAAAATTCAGGAAACTATGTAAACTTCAAATTATTTGTAGATGATTGTATCATTGGCTTGTCATTTAAATACTGTGGAATCGGAAAAACAGAAACTGAAAGCACAAGTACGTCGTCTATGTCAAGAGAATGCATGGTTGCGGGATGAACTTGCAAACACCCAACAAAAGTTACAACTGTCCGAGCAGAAGGTGGGGGTAGAAAGATATTAGAAGTTGAGATTCTTAAACATAGTTTACAGCAGGGATGTCCAAAACGAATTGATGAAAAATATTTCTGGTGTCCAAAAAAAGAAATTTGTTCGCCCTTCAAAAGAATGTTTATTCTGCTTTACCAAATTTAATTTTGATAACTTTTCTGTTTAACATGCCACATTTCAGGATATTTTAATTTTTGTATACTAAAATATTGTTTCCACAAGTATTTGTAATATTAATTATCCTGTTTCTGCCATCAGTATGAAATTAGTATTTACTAGACTTCTATTAGGCACAGCCTGCACAGTAATGGTGGTTATTTTTTTGCTTGCTGATTTACTGCAAGCAGTAGTTTACAAGTTCAGTTTTATCAAATGAAAACCTCCAAGAATAACTATTATGTATTCTCAGACTGTACAATTGGAAGAAGAGAAAAAGCATCTTGAATTTATGAATTCAGTGAAAAAATATGATTCTGACACAACAAACACTCAAGGAGTAAGTTATCAAACAAATTCTATCTCACATCTTAATCCTTGTTTCTGCAGATATCTTCATGAAAATGAAGGATTTACCATTTTCACCCTGCTTAGGTTAACTTTATTAATTTAATTGGCACGAAGTGTGTTTATGGATCATTTTGCCAAATTATTGTTGTTGAGATTGGACCAATCAATATCAAATTTTAGCATGTAAATATGGAAGAAAAAACTAGTAGGCTATTTCGTTTATTTTTTTTCAAGTATACTCTGAGTATTTGCAATACTCTGTAAGTTAATATTTTATATTATTGATCTTTGCTTCACAGAATAAGAATTGAATGTAGAAAATTGATTATTCTTATCTCGTTAGTATTGAGCTTACTTCATGCTTGATCACTATTGAAATCGTACTTCTAATATTTGGTCACAAAGTGGATGCATCTTTCTTGGCAAAAAATCTATTTTTTTATGTGCACTATAATTCTTGCCAAGCATGGTTCAAAAATAAATTATGCTTATTCATACGATTTATCTTAGTTTAATGTCAGATATACTCTTAGAATGATGAAATCAATAATTGAAGTCTTCATTGTGCAAATCAATATTTTATGGTATAACTGATACATTATTCAGCAGGGAATTCTGTTCTCTACTCCCCTGGGCCATTTGCTGTGTAACTTTTGTCTATAAACTAGGAAAGCTTACTGGACAGCTGTAATATATTTATATATTTTTGCACATCATTGTTTATTAATATTATGGAGTTTACCACTATATTTTTCCAATTGTGCTGCAAATAGCATGATGTTGTTTTAATAATATTCATAACGATGGCTTCGCTGCAACATTGTTACTGGGAACATTTTTACCTTTGAATCATGATTTCGATAATAATTTGCCGTAATAAAAATGCTCCTTTTTTGTTTGAAACTTGTTATAAGAATATTTTGAATCATTTTAAATGTGATTGTGATCTCTATGTTTATTAACTTGGTAATGAAGTTTGATACTTATATGTAAATTAAAAAGTGAACTTATTTAATATCTTAACTAACTATTATTGTAAACTAGGCAACAAAAGTTTCTATCCAATGATTTGCTGCTCTATTGCTTCTCATTTACGGTAGGTTTTTCCGCACAGAACCATAGCAAACATGGTTATCGAGCACATTGTAATGCAAATTACCAATTCATTTTATTGTATGAAAACACAAATAAAGCGTGGTAATCGTTTGAGTAATTGCAAGTTCAACAAATATTCAACAGTGGCCAAGCAAATATTGTTGACAACTTTTATCAAATTGTCAAATTGATATATAACTTTCAGGTTTCAAACAACAATTCATTACATTGATAACAGTGCTAAACAAACGGTTTCTGCTCTTTATCATACTGATGTGTGGTTTTATTATTCTAATATCATAACATTACTTCAAATATTTATCGGTTTTATGACCTTATTGCAATTCAAATACCGATAGGTTCATTATTATACTTCATGTAAAAATCAAATCTTCTGAGCTATAAGTATTAATTAAACTCTTCAATTATACTAATTGATTACGAGCTGCTTTAGTATAAAATTATCTTATTTTAATTGTGTATATTTTAATATTATAATTACCATAGCCTGTAGTCTAATTACTGAAGGAGCATAGGTTCTTAATTAATGAAAGTCATTGATTAAATTAATTTACTACATCTATGTGAGTGAATAAAACTACTAATGTTGTGTTTGCTTGGTCACTCACACTCACTGTTTTAAAGCAATATGCAACCAACGTTGTCTGATTACTTCTAATCTTGTATTTTTGATTCTATTCAACCTAAGTGCCTTCAAAATGTCGCAGTGTTTGTCAATAGATATTCGTAATAACCGGTAGTAGACTATCTGAATTCAATGGAAATTTTTTGTTCAACTAAATTTTCTATTTAATTTAACCAATTTTGTTAAAACCCCTCATCATAATATTACGTTTTGTGATGAGAAATGTGCACCATATATCAGGGCTACTCAACTGGCGGGCCGCGGTCCGAATCCGGACCTTTCGAGTATTGGATTTGGACCGCACCTAATTATTTATTTGGGATCATTAGCCCAACTTTTTGAATTTCCTATTATAAAATGACTTACATAGTTTTGAATATATACGAAAAGAACTATAACACCATAATAAACAATTTTAATTTGCTACTAATCATTAGCCGGTCGAGGAAGTGCTCGTTTAAGGATGCCGAAATATCATTTCTGGAAAGACCGGACCCAAATGATTTTGAAGTTTTGTTTGCGGACCTTCGTTAAAAATAGTTGAGGTAGCCCTGCCATATACTGTTCTCAGTCATGCATAGTTAATGATTATTGAATTTTGTTTCAATAAAAGAGATAAAATCGTCTGGTACCAGTACATCTGTTGCTTTGTAGATTCATAACACTTATTCATACATATTGGGTAAATTTATTCCCTCAAGCTTCTATTATGAGTTGTGAATCTGAGTTCATTCTCATGTATGAGAGAGTTTATTATAACTGAAACTGAACGATTTTAGTTCGGTTATCTTGGAGTCATTGTGTCAAATCTATTCATTTCTCTAAATGAAACTACCATACAGATACAGATATATTCAGTCCTGATTCATGTATTGATATTTCATTACCACTTGAATAACACTTTGCAGGCTGACGACACACGTTCTGCTGGTGGAAGTATTGAAGATCTATTCAACGATACAACAGAAGCGGAAACAACAACATCAAGTGCAATACCACAAACACCACCTGGCCATAGTAGTGCTGCTTCTGTTGCTAGTGGTGGATATGAGATTCCTGCCAGGTAGTGTATAGTTAGTTTATATGGGATACTGAACTGAAGTTTTTTTCTCTGTCAGAATTGTATCTTCAGATAACCTATGTTGGATTTTTTATATTTTGGAATTCTCGTTTGTCTTTTAAAATGGTGAAATAACAATTAAAAAAAACATTGAAGGTGAAACGTATATTTTCATTTTTAACAACTGATTTCGAGAGATTTCAACCCAAAAGGGTGAAATGTGGATAAAGCTATTTTGAGAAAATGTTGAAAACTTACTTTTTTGATTCTTGAACTCATGTAACTTTTTCTTGAAATACTTTGGTGATAATTGCTTTCAACAATCAGTAGATGGGCTACTAGAGTGGCATTATTTTTGTTCATGTCGACATTTTATAATAAGAAGCCAAATTTTATGAAAACATCCAAACCTAAATATTCATCAAAATTTTCTAATTTTAGACTTCGTACTCTTCACAATCTCGTCATCCAATATGCGAGTCAAGGTCGTTATGAGGTTGCTGTTCCGTTATGTAAGCAAGCTTTAGAAGATCTTGAAAAGACATCTGGACACGACCATCCTGATGTTGCTACTATGCTTAATATACTTGCACTTGTCTACAGGTTTGTTTACATTATTAAGATTTTCGTATTTTCATTTCTTTGCTACTTTATTACGGTCTCTATAATTTATTTTGGGTGATGTACTGAATGCTTGATGATAATTGAAATTTCTGGCCTGCATTTATTATCAAAAATTCATGACCTATATTATAAAATTATTCAGAGCAATTTTTCTTTCTTGTTACAGAGATCAAAATAAATACAAAGAAGCAGGAAATCTACTGAACGATGCTCTTGCCATTCGCGAAAAAACACTTGGACCTGATCACCCTGCTGTAAGTCATTGAAACTTTTGTATAATGCTATTCCTCGGTGAATTGGTTTAAAATTTATTCAGCTATACTTGAAATATGATGCCATGCCATAGGATGTGATAATTTTTTCAGGTTGCTGCAACGCTCAATAATCTTGCTGTATTATATGGAAAACGTGGTAAATATAAAGAAGCTGAGCCACTGTGCAAAAGAGCTTTGGAAATTCGAGAAAAGGTGAATATTGATTTTGTCTTTTCATTTTATTTACAATTTCTGTAGCCTCTTTAGCCAATAGGTATTTGTTTCTTCCTGCAGTTCCGTTTCGTAGGATGTACCTTCATGTAAGCCTGTGTGATAATATAATTTTAATCATGGCATCCTTGGTTACATTATAACTATATATGCAGAACGTATGGAGCATGAAGCCAGTTGCCAAATATGTGGGCCACATCTATTTAAGTTCATAAAAAATCAGGTCAACCGAACAAGCAATGGCCAGTTTTCCAGTGTGTCCTTTTTATGCTATATGGTGCGTTTTTGTTCAATCATATCATGCCAAATGCATAATACGGAATCTATATCCAGTTGGTAAACCAAAATACACATAATTTAGTACTTTCTCCACCACCAAAGCACCATGGAGAAACATGTTTCATAATTGACAACCATAAATAATATCTCAAACAATTAGCTCTTATAATAAATGTAAGCAGGAATCTTCGGGATCCGGATGCAGCAACCAAGCTTGATCTTGGTATAATTTTTTTCTTATCTCAGGTTTTGGGTAAAGATCATCCTGACGTTGCGAAACAACTAAATAATCTTGCACTTCTATGTCAAAATCAAAGTAAATATGAAGAAGTCGAGAAGTATTATCAGAGAGCTCTGAAAATTTATGAAACTAATTTGGGACCTGATGATCCAAATGTAGCTAAAACAAAAAATAATCTGGTGAGTTGATTCTTTATGATAATTTTTTCGCCACAACAAGTTGAAGTTGCAAAGATTTGATAATTTTTACTATTTAGACAGAAGCTATTTTGTATCGAATTTCTAGCCAGTGTCCAATATCTTTACTTCTGCAGGATTTTCTATCTGCTGGATTTTATTTACAGAATTCCAGTCATTAGGAAATAATTTGGATGTTTTAAATCAGCTTGTCTATTTCATAACACGAATTATTTTATGATCTCTAATGCCTCTATTGTTCACTAAAACTTCCTTTCTTCAAATGTTTTGCATTTTATTTTGATCGAATTGACAAGTATAATAATTAGTTTTATTTCTCAATTTCAGGCCGCAGCATACATGAAACAAAGTAAATTCAAACAAGCTGAAGCTCTTTATAAACAAGTATTAACTCAAGCTCATGAGAAAGATTTTGGAAGTATTGACGAGAAGAATAAACCTATCTGGATGCATGCTGGTATGTCCATTCGTTTTCGGATATTTTTTTAATTACAACCAACAGTAGTTTGAATCCCAGTATCATAAATGACAGATTAGGAAGCAATAGATTTGTATTTGAAGAGAACAATAGCTGAATCATCGACAATTTTTATAGTCTGTAACATATCTTGAAGTCAGTTATTGGATACTCATTTGTTGGCGCTCCAGAAGTTTTGTGTGAAGGGACTAAAACCTACGGGCAGGGGGTATATTCACCTGGCTAACACAGACAGAACTCGTAATCGTAATAGAACTAAAATAAGGAAAATCGGAACAAAATTATGGTCTAACCCTAACCTGGTACACACCCTACACACCTGGTACCCATTCGTCAGTGCTATCACTCCTGGAGTGTAAAATATTTATTTTCAAAATTCAACTACCAAATAAGTATTTAAATCAACCAAATGAATTTTTTTGAACAGAGGAGAGAGAAGCCTCAGCATACAGTGGAAAGCACAAGGACAGTGCACCATATGGAGAATATGGCGGATGGTACAAAGCTGCAAAAGTTGACAGGTTGTGTTTTGGAATTTGATAGGCTAATTCTATTTATTTTGAACACATAGTATTTATATATAGGGCGATGATGTCTCTTTTTTCAAAAAATGAAATCTTGGGAAATTATAATGGCTGTTTCTGGAAACTAACTATTTTCGACTTAAAATCATAGTGTTTGTCTTATTTTAAAGTTATAAATAAAGTTACCGAAAATGAATTAATTGCACATTGAAATTTTGGTCTAGTCCAACCATTATCATACGCTTGGTATTTTGATTCAGGTTTGGTAAAATTATGAATTCTGTTGATAAAACGCAATGTTTTGTTAGAAATAATGAGATATAAAAAAAATGATATTTCTTTTGCTTGAGCATCCCTAGCTGTATATTCTGTTGTTATTCTGTTTGCTTCTTTGCTATTTACAAAATAATATAAGTAATTTTTTAATACACATGCTTACAAACAGTAATCTCGACAGGTATGATAATATAATGTTTGTGGGTTTTAACTTGGTCGCCTCGTACATGTGTTGTATGTATTCTAATGAAAGTTTTTTTTAAAAAGTTTTAGATTTTGGAAGTTTTTCGCTACAGTAAAATGTGGAAACCCATTGATTTTGGTCGTTATTGATTAGCCCAGCAAATATTTAATTTGAGTAACAGACAGTTATTGCCATGACAATGGATGAAATTTAGGCAACAGTTTGATGTAGTGCCCATTTAATAAGTCATCACCAATTTTACATTGTCTTTCATGGTCACAAATTTTTATATTTGTCATCGATTAATATATTTGCATGAACTGTTTGTCCCATTGTTTTCTGTATTGCTGTCTATTCTGATATAATTTGGTATTAACAGGTCAAAGTCTCGTTAACCATTTGGAAGTTAGACTTTCTCATTAATTATGATATTTATTCGTCCTTTATCTGCATCATACAAATCATGAAGAAAACTTCGAAATGGTAGTGAATAATAATGCTGCAATGGTTACATAAAATAATATTTTTGTTTTACTTTTTCAGTCCAACTGTGACAACCACTCTCAAGAATCTTGGTGCATTATACAGAAGACAAGGAAAATATGAGGCAGCTCAAACCTTGGAAAACTGTGCAATGAGATCAAGCAGACAGGTTTGTGAATAATTTGCCAATGCACTTAACTCTTCGTTTAGGATTTTGCTTAAGAAGTTGTGCTGTGCTGACTGCGAAGTTAAAGTAATTAGTTCTAGTGCTTGGTACAGATGTTGAATCCCGATTGATTAGAAATAAGCTAATTGTTTTATTTTGTTTGCTTCGCGTGAACATCAGTTTTCTTTTTCTGTACATGGCGAGTTTTAAATCCTTTGGTGAATTATTCTTTTAATACTCAAAGATTAGATTTGTTTAAACATTGATGATAATGTAAGGCAGGGGTCGGCAACCTACAAGTAATGCGACGCTTCACCGAATTATAGTAACAAAACAGCTGTTTTGACGATTATATTCGTTACGTAACAGAATTTATTGTGAGATTTATAAAATTCACAATTACTCGTTTATTGGGCCTATAATTTAATTATGGTTAGACAAATGGCAACAAAATGCAGAAAAGTTGATGCTAAATGCAAGGGGTTCAATGGCGCCGAAAATATTCAAATTGCAATTTTTGAGATGCAATGCAATGAGGAAATAAATCTTTGTTCTATTTGAGATATGAATCACTGCTTGATTTTTATTATAAAAAGTATCATCCGTTAGGGTTTTCAACTTTCTAAAAATAAGTGGGGCCCGCGAGCGACAAAAGGTTGCCGACCTCAGATGTGAGGGATAATTTGAAAATGGGTTCCAGAATTATTGGTACTACCATGTAGTGTGTGTGTACCAGGTTAGGTTTAGGCCATAGCCATAATGTTATTCAGGTTACCCTTATTTTATTTCTATTACGAGTTCAGGAACTATCCGTGTTAGCACAGTGAATACACCTCCTGGGCCCCTTCCCATAGGTTTCAGTCCCTTTACACAACTTGATGTAAAGTAGGCGAACAAAATTAGTTACCTTCATATTGGTACACACACTTCTTGAGCGCCGGCCGAATTATTTGCATAATTTGAGGTGGCGATTCTGCACTTACAATGTTCTTTAACAATCAACATTAATGGGTTTTGATAATATTGCATGTGTTTATGTGTATTAATATAATCATATTTAGCTAAATATCATATACATACAATATCTGTTTAAAATTTGCTACAGCCGTCTCTCTTGAAATCATATATGGCCATGTACTTGTTTGCAAACACATTCAAAGAAATATCACAAAGATCATGTGTGAGGTTTTTTTAAATAGAAGTACCACATAAGCATGGTGAAATAGCTTCCTTATGTTTGAGTGATAAATTCAATTGCTTGACTATAATATGGCAGTAGATATAGGTTCCGTTAAATAATTCTTCACATTCGTTACTTCTGCGATGATGGCGAATGTTTGACGCAATGAAAAATGCATGAGCTCGCAGTGCGTTCAGAATCATTTTTAATCGATTGTTTTCTCCCTGGTTCAAGGACACGATGAATATTTCATGATGTTCCACATCATGCATTCTTTTTCTTTGTCTTGAATTTCAGTCTGGGAATTATTTAGAGAAACATACCATGCTTGAACCAATATGAACATGTAAAAATTATGCTATTTATTTGTGGTATAAACTTGATAGAGAAGCTATTTAATGCAATTCCCTGTTTTGTGAAACAAATTCAAGTTGTTGCAAAGTCAAGTTCAACTGAATATCACACTTTTGTAATCTAACAAATACATTTTTCAAACACATCATATTCATTTATTTTTTCTTTGCATTGGCATACTTGAATATAATCTCAATTTTGATTCAATATTTTAACTTTCAGGCTGTCTCTGATTTAAACTATTTTAATTATTTTGACTCTGAAAGTAGCTTCATTTTGAGTAATTCTATTCAGATTTTAATATGATCGTTTTTATGTTAAATATTCGACTTCAGTTTCATGTGACATAGGTAGTAATATATAATAGTAATGTATAAACAAGGTAAAAATAGAAATATCATTTGGCTGGTGTGTGTTCATAAGTTTATATTTTGTTCGAATCATGTTGGTTTGAACCTTTCTTCTCCTGAGAGATAATATCACAAGTATCTTAGCTTTTTGGAATAAAGTTTTATCATTTTTAAACAGTCCTTCATTAAATATTGACCTCATAGTACATGGGATTCATTGGTGCCTAATGATAAGGCATGAATCTTTATAGAGTTTTTGAGTATTTTTGGAATAACTGGTGCTATATTTTTCACTTATACTACCGGTGAGTTAAAACTGTAATTTTCAATGAGTTTAATCTATTACCAAGGCTTATGTGGATTCAATACTGGCTTGAAAATGACTGTTAAACTACATAACACTTTCATTGCATTTCTGACCATTTTACTTCTTAATTCCATCTCAAACACAGTTTAACATTTTCAGACAACCATATATCTGAGAGAAAACATACCAATCATTTTATGAGATTCAATTGGGCCAAGCTTAAACCATCTTTACATTCAATTCAAAGTCTGGCCAATATCACATTGTGTAAATCTTTGACTCTTCAATATTTAAGTCATTATGTAGACCTACTTTAAATTCTTCTGACACATAACTGTATTTTCTCATAACAGCCAAGCAAGTGTCCGTTTACATGCCTATATTATTGCCAATTTCAGATATTGCCCTTCTTTAATGCATTTTTAATTTGGTTGATCAGTTAATTTCGCTTGAGTAATGATTGGAAAAATTTTTACTCCAAATGTATGCGATACTTAGTAAAGAAGACTGAACTTGCAGGCTTATTTCACCTATTTGCATGGGGTTTACTAATCTTTAGATTTACTTTCTCAAACTAACATTTTATTCATTTTCCTTCATTTTGCATCCACATTATCTTGCACCATGGAATGATTCTTCAACCTTTGTTTATGTGAGTATTAGAAAATTTTTATCATACCTTTACTAGTGATTTTGCGTATCATGAACTTGGGGTGTCAACAATTTGAGTACTCTTCTGCCTTGCAAACTGTTAAAATTTTGAATAATCCTAGAACATTTTTCATCACAAAAATTTGACCCATTCAACGATTTTTATGGCAAATATTTCACGTAACTTAGAGCCAGAGATTCCGGCGTTTTGCATTCATTAAACCCCTTTACCTTATATAGATTATAAATTCACTGGATTCTTTAGTTATTTCTTTAAATAAATAATCTGATATGCAAATCACTAGTAAATTTACTACCGGTATATCTTTTGTTAGTAGTAGTAGTAGTTTAGTTTCTTCTTGTAGTTGATAATTTATTGATATATTGCAGTCTATATTAATTAATTGTTATCAAGCTCATGAAATATAAAATAATACAAAATTTTTAAACTAAACCTATTATTCTATAAACGCTATTGAAAAATAGTTCATTGCGTATTTAGAACTGTTTACATAACGTAGTTCAGAATGATTTTGAAATTGAAAAGTCTTTTTGTAAGTTTCGATAAATGAAATTATTGTTTTCACACAAGAAAAATTTATTATATAATGTCTTTACCATACAAAGGATCTAATCTATTATAATATTTTAAATTGAAAAGCTTTTTGAGTTGTAAAGTTTCTGCGCAAATTAAAAAATATTCAATTATTTTAACCATTACTTTGCATTTTCATTAGAATTTTGGTTTGTTTTGTTTTCAAATACTAGATGAATGCATGAATACTTATATTCTGGTTAATCCGTATTTTTTTAACATGTATCTACTGTTGTTCCAGGCATTATTTTTGTTGATACTCCCTATTACAAGATAATCATTGTTAATAAAACAATATCATTGAGCAAGTAATTTCTCATTTGCAGGCATTGCAAATGGTGAATAAAAAACCTCAGGTTACTGAATTAGCTGACAAAAACAAACCAAAAGTTCATTATACTAAAGAAGAAAACAAGCCGGACGAAGCTGTTGCTGAATGGAGTGGGGTTAGTGCATTCATTAATGTTACAAGCGATATATATATGGCAATTTTGCTTCGTATTTCATACTTTTCATGAATGAATGAAGTGTTTCACAAATTATTGAATTTGCCATTCTATGCTTTCATTGTTGAATTTTTGTTATGGTGCATGAAGTCCCCACTCTCCATTAGAAAAACTGTGTTACTGAAGAGTACCCATATATCTATCGTCCTATGTTTCACATGCATGTTAGCGTTGTATGACTGTGAGATGTAAAAAATTGTCAAAGAATGTTATAATCTGACTATAATTCCATGTATTATTTCCTCTTTGTAATGAAAACCTCATATGATTGTTATCCAGAATTATTGTATGTACAAATTTATAAGAAGGCTTCTCTTTATCCAGGACTATAGACTTAACATATGCAACCATAAATTTCCATATTTCAACAACCTATAGAAATGATTTCGTAGGGGAACATGTCATGCTTGTTTGTTGGTCTGCATGTATGTTTTAACCTGAAATATCTGAAGATATTATCATTCACTTCTCATTGTGTCATAACATAAAAACAACCTCACTCACTCGGCAGGATGGAAGTGGTGCATTACAAAGAAGTGGGTCATTCAATAGACTACGTGCATCACTAAGAAAAAGCAGTGCCAAGCTTGTTAGCAAATTTACCGGGTCGGGACCCCCTGGACCAGAGCCACGTCGTTATCCTGCAATTCCAACCGGATCTTCTAGGTATAAATGACAAATTCATAATTTCATGGAAATTTCCATTTATCTGTGAAACCAGTACAGATACCTTCTCTCAGAAATTTTTTCATTTATTCGTACTTCTTGCATGATCCTTTCATGTGGTAATCTTATTTCTGGTGTGTAGTATCGAGCAGATATCCTTTTGTATAAAGACATCCACATTTCTAATCTTGTGAAAAAGAGGTTTTTTTTGCCCTTTTTTAATAGTATGGTAAGTTCTTTGTGGAAGAGCTTATGCTAACTATCTAGTTTAAGTAACCTTGCTGTACCTCCCACATATGGATCTGAGGTATATAGTGAATAGGGAGGAAAACCTTGCAGTTCATCACAGAATATTATAGTATCCATCATAATAATCTTACCTCTGGAACATGAACAAGTTCTTCATATATTTCGGAAATTTCAATCAAAACAGCTTCCATTAGAAACATTGAGTTGGATTATTTTAGATTGTCTTTGAATTTTTATTTTCATTATTCTATTTTTACCTTTTGCATCATGCTTGCAACTTGCCTGATTGAATTTTGTTACTTTTATTTTCGTCATCTGCATGTCTTCATTTCATCGTGAACATTGAAACGCAAAATTTGATCGTCGATAGTATGAAACGGGCAACATCTCTTGGCGTACTCAATTCTAGGTTTGATGGACCAACATACCAAGTAAGAATTTTGCCGAGTGTAAGACATTGGGCTTTATACATCCAAGTTAAATATACAGAGCCAAGAAATAAAGATAAAATTTCGTTTAGCAATAATGAAACATATTTCAGAATAATTATAAATGAGAAGCAAAGACTTTTTTTCAGTAGATTTGGTGATTTAATTTCTTTTGCTATTTTTATTTGTACTTTTCTTTTTCACTTAACACTACTTCAAGATTATTAAATTTGGCTGAACTGTCACAAGTTTTGATAATTAGATGATCTCCATCTCAAAATATTACCTGATTAGATGATCTGGAGGATTGACAAACAGTCCAGTAATTTTACATTGTCAAGCACTCGATAAAAATATGTCTTGCTCACACTATTAAAAGTGTTTATTTTCCTAATCATTGATAGAAAAATATACTCTTTGTGACCAGATTGATGTTTGGTATAATTTCATAATCAGTAGTGAATGGTTGCGTAGGAATTCTGTTGAAGGCAATCCTAATTTTATTAATTGTGGAATAAACTTATGTTACAGGACCCAAGAAGACAAGGAAACGTCCATGCAGAAGCTCCCTGATCTCTTCTATATCGATTCTGTAAAATAATTTATTGAAATATTTAATGTTCATTGTTATATTTTTGTTGTAAAATTACATTCATTTTATGATTGTATAATTTAAATTCTGTATGACTTATCTCATCCTGCTACCTTGGTTCACCCATTCATGGCAACTTTTAGACAGTTCAATGCTATATTAATCTTATACTTAGGTTACCGGTATATTTTGTTTGGGGTCTTTTTTTTCATCTACAACTGTCACAAATTCACACACACTGGTAATTTTATTAGTTGTTCGTTTCAGTTGAATCTCATTGAGTCACCACCAACCTAGTATCTATAGTTTGACGGTGGAATCAATCAGAGATTGCATATTTGTTGCCTAGGACTATTTTTAAACTATGTGATGCTGTTTACACAATTTATTCAGTTGAGAAACAATATTTTTTTGGTAGTTTGTTGGACAGCTAATCGTATGCATCTTTCATTTTTCACTCATGGCATTGCCTGGTGTGAAACTTTCGTGCTTTAGAAATATAATTTTAGATTATCTCTGTATATATATATACTGCTTCATCAGAATCATTAGAAAATTCCCATATTTCTCTCAACTTCAAATTTATTGGTTTTCTTACAACTTAAATCGATGGAACTGTAAATTTCCTTGAATGGGTACTGAGGATGATGGTGCGATCTAAAGTCTATAGTTCTAGAAACTTTTTTGCTGAGGTTTATATAATCAAAATCATTATTAACCATACTTTTAGGCAATACACTAATCTTCTAGTTTGGCTTCTTTTTTTTTTAAATATTTTAAACTGATTCATCTATCTTGTTAAAACTCAATTATCTATTATGTCAATTACGGGATAACATTTTGTAGTACTGTGTTATCACGAATTTCTGCTATGCCTTATTCAAGAGAAGTAAGATGATGCATTGCATACGTTGCTTAATACACAGCACCAATGCTTGCAGAATTTCAACTTGTCTATTCATAGTTTGGTGAAGTATAATTACCTGATTAGTCTATTAATATATACCATGTCTTATGCATGCACTGTTGTTCCATCTTATGTATGCGCGTGTGTGTACTATACAAATATAATTGATGTTTAAAATATACCATCCTTGATCATGCACGGGAAGTTTGGGGACATAATTTTTTTGGGTTGCTCGCAATTTGAGAAATCTTGTTCTAATCTAGAGAATAGAAAATTGATTTTTATTTTTAAAAGTGAGACCAAGAGTGAGAATAGTTTCTACAAGAAAGGTTGTATATTGTGATGTGTGAGACAGTAATGCCCTTCAAGATATAGTGGCAATTTGATTCGATTCAAGAACTTAGGAAATAACGGCAGTCAGAAATAAGTCCGAACGTTCCGGTTCGAATATTCCCAAATCTGATTCTATTTAATATTCTCAAACTTGAAAGAACTATACAGTGTCCTATTTAATTAAAAGTAATAAAATCATAGAAAAAATATGTGAAGCCTACCCTATAAATACTTTCAAGGCCAATAAAAAAAAACTGCAAAGAAGTGACTGGAAGCATCTAGCGCCCATCAACAGCCTAAACCTGAAAAAAAAAGTTTATCAAATACTTTAGGAGTGAACAAATTCATAATCATGACAGCAAAACCAGGTGTATTTTTCAATAATTGACTTACATAATTTATCTAAATGCCCTTTGTTTTAATATTAAGGTACAATGTAACTGAATGTTTTTCAGTACCAATGGGGTTGAGTAGGCTTGCACGTAATCGACCAAAATCAATTCCGTAATTACGGCAAAATTGTTTACGTAATTCCGTAATTGTGATAGTTTAGCTTACTTTGGCACTTGTCGATTTCTTTAGTCATTAAGTATGGAATCAACAGACAGATGTTACAATCATCGCGGTAGATTTAAATTACTTGAATAAGCTGGTACTGGGCGAACGAAATGAAACGGACAAATAGGCATACTAATCAGAAACAACAAAATGAAATCGACAAATTGCCAAGCGAATAAGCAACATTTGTGTTGGAATAAACATATATTATTTGCAAAACCCGAATAAAATGAACATTGTATTTCCTTAAACTTAGTATAAATCCGCGCATGTATTTCATACTTTGGTGCGGCGTTGACGAAGAACATTTCCATAATTCTTTGCCCAACTTAAGATCGAAAATCGTGTTTTTTTTTCGGCTGTCGTCTGTTACGTTTTATTTTTAACTTAAACTGAACAATAAAATCCGCGATGGATACTAAATAATATTTAAAGCTATTTTATACGCTGTATATATATATATATAAGATTGCAAGTAATAAAATAAAAACATCGTCATGCTCAGTCACTATCGAAGCTGGTGTGGCGTACCAAAATTGATATCACCACTCAGGTTCTTTCTGCCAGCTTATCGGACACTGAAGTTGCAATAGATGTCGTTCACAAAACAATCTTCTTGCGGTTCCAATTACAGCAGAGTAACTAAGTTAACTAACTAGATTAATTATACACCTGTAAGAACTTAATACAACCAAATACTCCAATACGAAATACAATGAACAAATAAAAACACAGTACAAATACCGTAGGATACATACGTAGCACAAGATACGGAATTGGTCTATGACGTCACAGTCATGACCTATTTACTTATAATGGGATACAAAAACCGGGTAAAACATACCTAGATATACATAAGAATAACTAGTATGACACTAAAGATACAACACAAATCCTATCTTATCGACAAACAAGTAATATACATAGAAATACGCATAGAAATATGGAAATCACACAGGAAATAAACTGCGAAAATAGACTAGTTACGGAAGTGTTAAATACAAGCTAACTAGTGAACAGAGCTATGCCAAACTGGAGAGATAGTAAACCTGTACTACTAATATCATTTCACAACAAGAATTACACAGATTAACGCCACGAAAACACTATAATAATAACCCAAAACACAGAGAAATATCTACACTGCCGGCAGTCTGACAAACCAGCTGAAAGAGAAAGTTACACAGCTGTTCACTAGTGACTCAAGTGGTAAGAATAAATATGGGCATTATAGACGTGGTCGTCTCATTACTCCCCCCTTTTTCAGATGGGAAATTACAACGAAATTTTCCATCTTCAAAATTGAAAAACCATAAAAATGTGAAGAAATTGTAAAGAACTGTACACTCAAATGAAATGTATATCTAAAATCAAAACAATCAATTGTTAAAAGCACTATCACAGTCAAATCAAATGTAATCATCCAAATATCTAGGCCTTCGCCTAGTACGTTGGCCATTATCAGAGTTCGCATCAATTGTAACTTCTTCTGGTACAGTGTCTGGCCTTGAAGAAAAAGGTAACTCTTCAAATATATCATGAGCGACCTGCTCATTGTTTTCCACATCAGGTAAAATGTCAAATCCAGTTAAATCAACATCATTGTCTTCTTTATCCTCATGAAGGTAAGGTCTCAGTTTGTCAACATGTAAAATTCGAGAACGTGTTCCCGAATTCTTCTGAATCCTATACAAGTGATTAGGTAAACAGGCCACAATTCGATAAGGTCCAATCCAAGGAATACTCAGCTTACGATGCTTTGGTGGATAATAATACCACACCAATTCATCTCTCTGGAAAGTAAGAGGTTTAACACCCAGATCAAAATTTCGCTTTTGTCTGGTTGCGGCAGCATTTAGATGTTGCCTAGCATGAAGAAAAGCTTTTTCAGTTGCACAGGAAAACCATTCGACAAATTCAGTGTAACAAGGATGAGTTGATGACTCTGGTTTGCCAAACATAACATCAACAGGCATCTCGATTTCTCGTCCAAGCATTAACTTGTTCGGTGAATATCCTGTACTATCATGTACAGTGGAGCGATATGCCATACAAAGATATGGGAGATGGTCGTCCCAATCATTTCGATTCTCATTTACAAAAGCTTTCAACATCTGCTGTATGGTCCTGTTGAAACGTTCAACTTGTCCATCTGAACGAGGATGATATGGAGTTGTTCGAGTCTTTTGAATCCCGTACAATTGACACATTTCTGAAAATAATTTTGATTCAAAGTCTCTTCCTTGATCTGAGTGGAGAATTCTTGGTACCCCAAATCTCGAAAAGAATTGAGTAACCAATGCATCAGCAGTGGTGTCAGCTCGCTGATTTGGTAAAGCAAAACATTCCACCCATTTAGAGAAATAGTCCGACAAAACCAAAATGTGTTCATTTCCATTTTCAGTGACAGGCAATGGTCCAAGAAAATCAATGGCAATCCTTTCCATAGGAGCTCCAGATATAAGTTGTTTCAAATCTCCCTGTCTTCTTCCGTAAAGCATCTTGGTCGAAGCACAAGACTTGCAAAATTTGCACCATTTAAGAATGTCCCTTTTGAAACCAGGCCAATAAAATCTGTGCCTTATACTCTTGAAAGTTCGATTGGCACCAAGATGACCTGCAGTGCGCAAAGAATGGAGCTTATGAAACAAGTCCTGCCTCAAATTTGATGGAACAATCAATTGGATATGCGATTCCTCCGATTTACAATCAGGAATCCAACGACGATAGAGAAGTCCATTATCTACAAAAATCAAGTCCCACTGCGACATTAAACGTTTGGTCACTGTTGATTCAGGCATGTATTCTTGAATGTCAGGTTTCTGAGCAGTAAGTTGTTTCCATTTCAAAACAGCAGAAATATCTGGATCTTCACTTTGCCAAGATTTAATTTGCTCATCTGTGTAGGTATCTAGCCAATTACAATCGGAACAGTCTGACGATGATTGACCGGGCTGTTTTGATATTGCACTTACAATAACATTACTCACAGCCACATCACCATTGGTACCACAATCAGAACAATCTTCTCGCTTGCATTTGCGAACTTGGCGTGACAATCCATCAGCATTGCCATGTTTCACGCCAGGTCTGTGTTCAATCTTAAAGTCATAAGCGCCAAGTGTTAATATCCATCTTGCTAACATTCCTTGAGGTTCACGAAAATTGATCAACCATTTCAGAGCAGCATGATCTGTGCGAATTCTGAACGGTCTCCCGAGAAGAAAATGACTGAAGTGACGAACAGCCCACACCACAGCTAATAGTTCCCGGTGTGTAGCACAGTATCTACGTTGAGACTTGGACATAGTCTTACTGGCATAAGAAAGTACACGTTCATGCTCGTCCTGTACTTGAGATAACACTGCACCAATCCCAAAACCACTGGCATCAGTATCCAATACAAATTCGCCGATTGTCCTCGGAAAGCTAAGAATTGGGGCAGATGTCAGACAATGCTTCAAAGTTTCAAAAGCCTTTTGACATTCAGTACTCCATACAAAGGAAATCTTTTTCCTGGTCAATCGAATAAGAGGTCCAGCAATTGTTGAATAATCTTGAACAAACTTCCGGTAGTAGTTTGCTGTGCCTAGAAAACTGCGAATATCGCTGACAGAATTAGGCGTTTTCCATTCTTTGATAGCTGCAACATTTCCGGGGTCGCAACAGACACCGTCAGATGAAATAAGATAACCAAGATAAGAGGTGCTTCGACGGAAAAGTTTACATTTCGAGGGCTTCAATCGTAAACCGGCACGGCGAAGTCTTATAAAAACTTCCCGAAGATTTGAGAGTGCCATTGAGAAATCACTACCATGAGCCAAAACATCATCAAGAAAATTGAAACACCCGTTCCACAGGAGATCACCAAGGATATTGTCCATCATCCGTTCGAATGTTGCGGGAGCATTCGCCAAACCGAAAGGCATCACTACAAAGTGAAAATGACCACGGCCAGGGATGCTGAATGCTGTCTTTTCGCGGTCTGCAGGATCAACCTCCACTTGCAATATCCGCTTGCGAGATCAAGAGTTGAGAACCATTGAGCTCCGTTTAAGGACTCAATGATATCCTCAATACGCGGCAAGGGATATGCGTCTTTGTATGTGACGTCATTAAGCAATCTAAAATCCACGCAAAATCTGGTAGAACCATCCTTTTTGGGAACTAGGACAATGGGAGAAGAATATGGGGAATCGCTGGGTTCTATGACACCCTGAGCCAGCATATTATCAACAGCTTCTTCGGCTATCTTCCTACGCGCCCACCCCATTCGACGAGGAGCCTGCCGAATCGGCTGTGGTG